CAAATCCACGCACGAGCGCGTAGCGGCGGATCGACACTTCGAGACCCAAGCCGCCATCGTGCGCATAATGAAGAGCCGCAAGACGATCAAGCATCAAGAATTGATTGTGGAGGTGACGGAGGCTACCCGTAGCCGAGGCATGCTTCAACCGGCCGAGATCAAAACCAACATTGAGAAGTACGTTACCTCTCCCCTGTTCCGATTTCCGAGGATACTAACGATGGGCAGATTGATCGAGAAGGATTACATTGAACGAAGCGATAACAACACCTACATCTATCTCGCATAGAGAAAGTCGGAAACTTAAGCCCCAAGCAGCCAACTGGGACACGAAATGTGTGGGGGCACCTTTTTTCGAATTGAGGATCTGTTCAATTGACCTTATAGCGGGCTCAATTATCTCGGATCCCCTAAGGGGGGGGGATAATTTGTGGCGCGGAGTACACACCGGGCAGTCTTTCTATGATGACCAATAGATAATGATGGCGTTTCATAGCCATTGAACCTATTTAGTACTTAACATATTCTTTTTTATTTTCATGATCTTGTGACTTGTTGTTTTCTGGGCCCGACGAGTGTAAAGTCGGAGTAGCTCCGATCCGCCGAGTCGCAAAGATCCAGGCTCGGCCGTTGCCGACATCCCCGGCCTCTCGCCGACCCCATCAATTGGAGCCCTGGAATGACCCGACCGCGGTAGAGGAGATTCTAGAAAGATTGCAGAAGGACGTACGTAATGGAAGTGATAGTAAAATGCCAGAGGGCTCACTGTGGTGATACGCGGCCAAAAACTGAATAGATAGTACGGGCCGGGGGTACGGGGTACGGGGTAAAGCAATGGAATGATTTGATTCAAATTACTAGTAACTATGGGGGACATTGAAATGCCAATAGTAATTTATGCTAAGCAAATTCCCGGCGTATGCTGTATCAATTGAATCGAACACTTATATATCCAAAAAAAAAAAAGGTGTAGGGAAATAGAGTACTGGTCGGTGCGCGGATCTTTGGGGAAGCTTCTCTCGGGACAGCAGTCCAACCAGCCAACCATTGCAGCCATTACAAGCACTGGGGAGCAGTACGAGTGAGTACTGAGTACTCGGGCGAGACCTGAAAGCAAGCTGCAACCGGCAGCGGTGAGTCTCGGACGACAAGTTGCCACCAGAGCTTAGGGTACCTGGCGGATAGCGGGATGTCCGCACAGGGTAATCCGAGATGTCCGAGCCAGACCGGGATGTGGATGGCTGTGGATGAAGAGGTGGATGTGGATGCAGTCATCGTGGCCGATCTGCTTTTTCATGTGAGCAAATAGATTGGGGAAAAATCGGATCATTGGGGAAGCTGGCCAGACATAAAGAGTTGGGACTGCCCTCGTTGACGGATTAGACTTGTTTCCCTTCTCTTCTTGCTTCCTCTCCATATACTCCACACATAACTGCCAGTGTGTATAGTGTAAACCATCGCATTATCTCCCCTCTTTCTCTCTCAAAATATCCAATTTCTCCTGTACGTCTTCTAATACCATCCCTACAGCTCGACACTTCACATTTTTCTCCCCATCTTTCCCCCCCGGATCGCTGTGTTAGCAACTAACCATCCTGGCAGCTTCGCCTGCGTCACCCCCCACTTTTTTCCCCGCTTCATCGCCCCAAAGTCCACGCCCCCATACTATTCGATTCCAGTTCGTGACGAGGAAAGTTTGAGCTTTGCCTTGACACGCCTGGTTGTGCCAATTTTTACAAATTTCCAAGTTGTGCAACTAGCAGCATATCGAACGACATAAAATATTCGACGGTTGGCCCGTTATATATTGCAATTTCTCGCGAGAACAAAAAAAAAAAAGCAATTCACGACCAGACGAATACGACGGGCTAAAAATTGAAATTGTGCGATCCAACAAAATGCAGAGTAAGTTCCTGAAGTTGAAGTTGAAGTTTCAACTTGAAGGTTGCCCGTTCCACAAAGATGCGAGGGGGTCGTCCCGCTTCTCATCTACCTACCAAGGTTACCACTAGATACAATTTTCCGCACTTCCAACTTCCCCGTTACCAATCCCGAACTTGAACGATCTTGAACTTGAATGCAGCAGACTGACCGTCTTTTCCAGCCAAGCACTTCTTTACCGACCCAAACCACCTGGTTCTGACCGCCCTCAACTCCCTGACCCTCACCAACCCGTCCCTTGCATTGGATGTTGAGAACAAGATTGTCTTCCGCCGGCCGGATGCCCCCCGCAAGTCGAACAAAGTTTCCATCGTCACTGGTGGTGGTTCAGGCCACGAACCCGCCTTTGCTGGCTTTGTCGGCCAGGGTCTCTGTGATGCTGCCGTAGCTGGTACCATCTTTGCTTCTCCTTCTGCTGAGCAGATCCGCAGAACCGCCATTGATCGCGTCCCTACTGACCAGGGTGTGCTAATTATCCCCAACAACTATACCGGCGATGTCCTCAACTTTGGTATGGCGACTGAGAAGTCGCGGGCTGCCGGTATTAAGACCGAGTTCTTTGCCATGGCCGACGATGTCGGTGTTGGCCGCACCAAGAGTGGTAAGGTTGGTCGTCGTGGTATTGGCGGCGGTATCTTGATCTTGAAGTTAGCCGGTGCTTTGGCGGAAGCTGGGTAAGTCATTACCGATTCCTGGTATTCCAATTTCAATTTTCGGGAGAGAGCAGCTGCTCACATACTTTATAGTGGCAACCTGGACCAAGTCTACCGTCTTGTTCAGCAGACCAACGACAACCTCGTGTCAATTGGTTCCTCTCTGCAGCATGTCCACGTCCCTGGCCGCGGTGTCCCCGAAGATTCCATCGCCAGCGACGAAGTCGAAGTTGGCATGGGTATTCACAACGAGCCCGGCTCTCACCGCACCAAGTTCGAGTTGGTTGGGCTGGTCACAACTATGCTTCGCCAACTGCTCGACCCTAACGACGCAGACCGCGCATATATCAAATATACTCCCAAGGACAAGTTTGTCCTTTTGATCAACAACCTGGGCGGTGTCAGCCCTATTGAGCTGTCCGGTATCCTTGATGAGGTTCACCGTCAGCTTACTGGCAGCTACAACATCAAGCCCGTCCGTGTCATCCAGGGTTCCTTCCTGACCAGTCTGAATGGGCTGGGCTTCAGTATTTCGCTACTCAAGTTAGAAGACACCGGTCTCGGTGCTGGCAAATCGATGCTCGAGCTCTTGGATGCTCCCGCTGAGGCTACAGGATGGGCCAATCCAATTACCGCCCCTACCTGGGAGAACCGCAACGACAGCCCAGTGCAGCTGAAGAACTCCAACTTGGGCCATGAGAACCCTAGCAACTTGAAGCGTAAGCAATGACCCCTCCCCCAAATTTCACAACAAGAAGCTAATTCAAACAACAGTGGACCCGGCCGTCGTAAAGAAGGTGCTCAGCGCCGGTCTCAGGCGCGTTATCAGCGCTGAGCCTGATGTCACCCGCTTCGACACAATCGTTGGCGACGGCGACTGCGGCATCGGCCTGAAGCGAGGCGCCGAAGCCATCCAGAAACTCCTCGATACCGCCCCGTTAACCGACGACATCGTCAACACGGTCAACCAGATCGTCAACGTCGTCGAAAACGTCATGGACGGTACCTCCGGTGCCATCTACGCTATCTTCCTGAATGCCTTGGCCCATGGCCTCCGCGACCAGGACAAGGGCTCTGCACTCCCCGCATCGACCGAAGTCTGGGCCAAGGCTCTGAAGCACTCCGTCAACGCTCTGGCCAAATACACCCCCGCCAAGCCGGGTGACCGAACTCTCATTGACTCCCTGGTGCCGTTCTGTGACACTCTCTTCGAGACCAAGGATATTCGTGGCGCGGCTGCGGCGGCCCAGAAAGGTACCGAGTCTACTAAGAGCATGAAGGCTAGTCTGGGTCGCTCAGTGTATGTTGGTAGTGAGGAGGAGTGGGTTGGCAAGGTGCCTGATCCTGGTGCCTATGGTCTCAGTGAGTTCTTGTCTGGACTTGCGGAGTCATCTTAGATGCTCTCGCCCTCGTATAAATAGCCATATACCTGATCCCTCTGCCCTTTGTGGGGTCTTGTTCCAATATAATTTCATGACGGTGATGACATTGAAATTTTCAAAGTTGTCAAGTAGTTTTTCCAAGTTTTTTGTCAGTGAGGGTAGTTAACACTTGGAACATTCGATTCTCCAGTGCCCACCCAGTGCACACTCCCGACAGCGGCCCCGCAGAATTGCGGCTACAAAACGGCCCCCAAAAACAAAACAATCCTCCAAATATAACCCTCCACCTGGTATTTCTCGACGAGTGCTTGCCAGCGTTGGACTCATCGTCGAAGCTGCGTCGAGGTACTCACCAAATGAGTCTGTCTGAGTTAACACCGGAGATATTGTGTCTCATCTTCAAATCTGTAGGTTTCACACACGCAGGTCAACAACAAGTGCCGTGTCCTGATCAGAGAAACTCCATGATGCCATCTAGCTACACTCCCCGGATGATCTCAGAAAAGTATGCAGTGTATCGAAATCATTCGACATACTCGCGACCCCGCTTCTGTACCGGTCTGTGATATTCCGCAGGTCAGGATCCACTACAAAGGCGTGGTTTCAATTCCCTAACGATGAAGGGATTAACGGTCAAGATGAGGCAGATGATCTTTCATTTGGCATTTTCTATCGGCTACTTGACGATAGAAATAAGGTACTGAGAGCATTTGTGCACCGAATCACAGTGGAAGACCTCAACACCTCTGACAGCCAGCTTGCTCGTCACAAGCTAATGGGCCCTCAAAATCTTCTCGCAAGGCTGGTGAAGAAATTGCCAAACCTTGAAACTGTGCAGTAAGTCAATTATGGAAAGACCGGGACTTTCATCATTCGGGAAGATGACTTAATCTCTGTATCTAGCTTCAAAAGATCAGTGTCTCTTCCACCATCAGAGGAGTTTGTGGAGGCATTTCTCACTCACAAGAAATCACCGAAGCTATTCCTGCTGGGAGAAAGCGGGTCAAAGACAACGGAAATCACTATGCCATTTGTACATGAGATCCGTACCTGGTTTGACGCTACAGTTTCTCCATCCCCCGAGAACAGAAGGAGTTGGTTCCAAATCCTAAACCTTGATGATCCCGACGCCGAGCCCTTCGAGCCGGAAAGGTTCGCCCTACACGAGTTATTTTCCGCTTATCCAAACATTGAAAGCCTGTCGGTATCGATCGATCGATTTCATGGGGGGTGTGATGGGGACCCGCCTTCTATACGGATATCTTCGCTCGCCCCAGGGACCACTTTCCCGCCGCTTCGAAGCCTTTCACTCAGCGGCTACGATGTAACTAAAGATGAAAAGGGCCAGCGTATTTGGAGTAAAAAGTTCCCCTGGAATCAATTGCAATCACTCACTCTTGGTCACCAAGACAACCCGGGATTTTTCAAGGCAGCTACTGGCAAAGTACGCCATTTGAAAAAGTTTGAGGCCACTCACTATGGGAAACCCAATTCCCGTCGGGACCTCGACGCGTTCTTGTCGTCTTTCCATACTCTGGAAAGTCTCACTGCTAAAGGAACGATTCCGTCCTTAGCTGCTATGGCTCATCATTCCAACCTCGAGCACCTTTGTCTTCACACAATTGAGCAGCCTGATAAGGAAAGAGTATCCTTGAATGCAAGTGAAATAAGAGCTTTGAATCGGAAACACCCTCGCCTCAAGAGCCTAGAGCTCGATATAGACCCGAAGGGAAAATGGGTAAGCTTTGGACAGGATGTACAATTTCGAGTTCTTGAAGCTAATATCATCTCCTCCAGCCTGACAACATAGTCAAAGCTATAGCAACAGGCTTCAAGAATCTTCATCAACTATCCATTCACGTCGGACTGAGACTCCCGCTCCTGATAAAGACATGTGAAGCCGACAAAACCGATGATCTTCTTGGTTTTAACGACAACTATTTCAAGTCTGTATTGACGGACGAAACAGCACAGGCTTTCGCGAATCGATTTTTCGCTTGCAGAGGGCCCTCAGCCGTAAAGAAAATCACGCTACAAACAGGTGAGAGCCTGCGCTGGTTTCCGCAATGGCCTCCTTGGTACGCTGAGTCGGAAGGCCAACATGCTAGGACATTTGAAGCCTATCCACCCCAGCACCAGGGTGACGAGCCGTGCCTTAAGGAGCTTATGAGTGATAGCGAGGGGGTATTTCCGAGCTCAGATTCTTCGGAAAAGAAGCCTCAACGACTTAGCAGGGCTCCCCGAGTTCTTCGGGCGTCGGGATTTCCAAGCGTCATCTAGTAGTGTGTGAATAAGTAACCTTACATAGTTGCGAGTAATAATCTGACAAAATCAAATCAGTCACCGACTAGGAGTTCAGTATTACGGCGGTATACACGACTAGAATCTGAGTAATTCCCAGGTGATGAGTAATGCAAGAGATGATATTCAATAATCCATTGTTAACCACATCTGCTCCAAGCTAAGACGCCACCCGACACAACAGCCTAAGAACGAGGCAAAAGAATCCAAACCAATGAACGCCGGAATTTTCTCTTGATCACTCATCCATTTTCCAAGGAGTGAAGTGCATGCAGGCCCAGGTCGGGACACGAAAAGACAAATGAAAAGCCTCAATCAGAGTTACATACGAATGTCACCTCACGAGACGAAAAGAAAACTTGCTGAGGTGTCCGAGCTGCTTAGCGGTGACGAGCAGAGAAGTAAGGGCGAGAGGGATCAAAAAAAAAGATTCGTAGGGTTAAAGTAAAATAGAGGGTATCGAGATCGATTACATGATTGGGGTCTTTTTTTTTCTTCCGCAGGGCACAGACATATTGGTAAATGGTGCGATGCAAGTGGAAGATCTTTAACCGCCCCGCAGATCCGATTTAATAGAGAGGGATATGCGACGAGGATGGGCGGGACAGGTGCGCATAATAGGCGATACGATAGAGCACTCAGCTGAGCAGAACGAGGATGACGGAGTCACCACGCAGAAACCTAGAAGAGTATTAGCGGCAGAAACGCAAGAATGGCTGTTGATAATGCCATAGAAGTAGGTTGCGACATCAAATTGCTAATGGGGAGCTTTCTGGGGATTCATGGGGTTAGGTAGATCACTCACATCTTGCTGACGAAACGATCCTTGTTCACACCCTTGCTCTTGCTACCCTTGGGCTTCTCAGTCCACATCTCCTTCACGTTCTCGAGAACCATGTTGCAGTGTCGGTCAAAGGCCTTGACACGGGCCAGAAGCTTGCGGTTGTTGCGGCAGGAGATCAGGACCTGAGTGTGTGTGCGGGTGGCGGTCTGCAGGAGAGAGAGGGGGCCGGCGGTGAGCTCGTGCTCCTCAACGAGGGCAACCTCATATTCGCTGTTGAGATGCGCGATGCACGATTAGTTTTCTGTATGTTTCACGCATGCATCGGAATGTGACAGGGGAGGGGTCCGGGTCTTTCTAGGGCTTGAGGATTCAAGCCCCGCACTTTTCCGACTAGGCAGAAGCCAGGGAGGAGGGGGGAGAGCAAAATGTCGTAGAATTGATAGTCATCATATTGGAAAGACCGGGGTGGGTGGAACGTACGTGAGCTCGTTCTTCGGCTTGTTAAGCAGATCTCTGTAGAAATTTGGTCAGCCAATGGAAAAGGCAGGGGTGAGTCATAGAAAACGAACTGAATCTTGGGGTCCGGAGCTGTCGACATGGTGTGTAGTGATGGGGGATATAAAAGGGCCTGGAGGTCTCGCCGGTGGTCGATGATTCCGCGACTTGAGGTTTGACATCACGTGATATTAGACACGATTGTTGCTGGCTGAGTGCCTTAATGCCTTGTTGCCTTACTGCCTAGTGGGTCAGGCCATTCACCCTGGGAACTGCTAGCGTGTAAGCTGCACGCGATTGGCTGTCACGTCGCGTACACGCTTGTTTGCGAGATCGTCGGATAGCTTCAACCGCGCATGCAAGGCTTCTCATTTAAACCTCCCCCAGCCATCCCACCCTCTGCAGGTGCTGCAGCTCCCTTTCGATTTTTCCCTCTCCTCCTTCCCCCCTTCCTCTCACTTAGTCACTTTTTGGTAAGAGCGGTCTATTCTCATATATCCTATTTGAGAATACCTACCTGTCAATCACCGGCTAACATTCCAGTCCTGCAGAGACTGCTCCACTACCCTACTGCATAACCGACCCTTTCTCCCGGACGACGAGATATTTCCCAGTATTCCCCGCGGAGCATTGGCTCATTTCGACCGGTTTCTTTCCCGAATGCTACCTTGAGTGCATTGATTATTGATTATCGATCATCGATCCTATTCCTCCTGCCGACTCTACCTCAAATCCCCACCTCCCCTGCGACAACCTGCCTTGTTCCTTGTCTCCTTATACATATCTCGGATCCCCGCTTTACTCCCTTCCCAACTTTTCCTCAGCCAACGTCGTCGTCGTCGTCGATTCTCCAATTTTCTCGTGCATGGTGGACTACCAAAGTTTTGTGAGATGGAATCTCAGGACGGAATCACCGTCCGCCCTATGAGGCGTACGGATCCTTATTCTTGCCATGTGTGTTTGGAATGAAAGCTAAACAGGAAAAAAATCATACAGTGAAGGTTCTCTACACATTCGACAACGACAATAAAACCAACTGTCTTGCTCGGTGGCCTCACGTGCTCGATATCCAGACTGCCTATTTGGAAGAACAAACCCAAATCGGAGTTATTGAGTTGAAAACATGCATTCAGGCAATTGTATCCGCCAGGTTCGAATTGATTCTCCCTCCCTCTATGGAACTCTAATTGAATACTTATACACCTTTTTAGTCCCGAGTTGGTGGCTCAGCTGGGCAAGGACTACACCGTTTACGCTTATGATTACTCGGAATACGAAACCCCCCCCTAGTCGGTCAAGGAATGCTCTCATGGGTTCTAGCGTCTGCCTCGCCAACCCCCGAAGCTCCGGCTCATCAATCGAAGACCATGGTGACGGGTCGTGTGTGCAAAAATCCCCTCGGTCTTTTTACGAAAGGGTCGGCTCAGGAGACCCTGGAGGTCAAACTACGACTGGTACCGGTCCCCACGGTCATGCAAAGTGAATATATCGACAGCATGCAAAAATATCGTGAGCTTAGCAATGTCATTCCCCACGACTTCGATGCCCAGTCCTGGACAAGCTTTATGCGTCAAAACCCGGGCCTGCTGGAGCGCTCCCGAAGCCAGCAACTTGAATCTGCCTCGTCACCCATGAATCACTCGGGTATTGAACGCTTCCACCAACTGTTGAGCGAAGGAGCTACCCCGCGCGAATTTTCGAACTACCCAAGTAATGAATCAACCCGCTCTCTATCACCCACCCATTCCTACGGTGCCCCAAGCCGGATATCTACTCCCGGCGGAATGCGACCTTCAACACAACAACCATCTCAATCGAAAGGTTTCACATCCAACGACATGATTCGTCCGTCATCGAGTGCCTCTATGCGCGATAGTGATATTCAAGCTTCAAGCTATCACCAACGAAGAGGATCTATCATGTCTGGCTATGGCAGTGGAGGAGAAGAGCCCACAGACCCTCAGCCTCGGAAAAGGGCCAAGGTCTACCAAGCAAGCTGGCCTGGTAAATCCGATATGAACATTGAGCGACAGCCGAGTTCCCTTAGAGTGCAAGCCAGCACAGCTGCTTCGGTCCGAATCCATCGCCCAACTCCAGTGAACCCTCTTCTGGCCGCCGAACACTCTAACGAGGAGCCTGTTCGTCCGCCTACTCCCATTTCACGCCCTGGTGACCATTCCCGACGAGCAAGACCTTCTTCGAGCTTGCTCCGTGAGTACTCTGTTCACAGTTCCTCCTCTTACATGTCACCCTACGCCCACAGTGACGAGGTGCTCACAACGGATCAAACTTCACCTGATGACTCCCGCTACCAAGGTCTCTTTGAGACCTCATTCAGCATGCCATCGTCGCCTCCTGTTGTGGAGTACCGCTTCCCGTCCAAGTCGAGTCCCAACCTGCCTCCAATCTCTTTGGATACTGACTCTGGGTTCATGAGTGGTGCCTTGGATGACATGATGGACGATGTAACCACACCTGTCGAGGAAGTCCAAAGGATCGAGCCGAATGCTGATGACCAAAACCTATCTCGCTCTGTCCGATCCGCTGTCCAGGCCACCTCTCCTGCCAGCACTGCTGACATCATACCCCCGAAAACCAGCGATTCTTCCTCGCAGCACCCGACAAGTGCCAACGCTAGACGGCCGCTTCCACGTACGCAATCATGCGCTTCTTCCAGACCTAGCTCACGAGCTGGCGGCCAATATACCCCGAAGCAACTCGCCCCAGCCCCGATGTCCCAGAGTGAATTCGAGCAGATGATAGCTACACTCCCGGCCAGTGACCCAGTCGGTCCTTCTCATCCTCCTCTTGTTCATGCCCAAACGTGGGCTGGACCTATGAGTGACTGCTATGGCCAGTCGCCGGATGCATCAGCTCCTCCGCCTCCCAAGGGTGGAAAAAACCGCAAAGGCGACTCATCAAAACAGGCTAAGAGAATCCAAACCCGTGCAGAATGTGCAGTTAGGGAAGGTCAGATGCCTCCTTACTGCGAGAACTGTGGCGCCATCGAAACGCCGACATGGCGGCGGGCATGGTCCAGGGAATTTGACGGGGATGCGGACCTCGCGAAAAGCATGTCGGTTAGCGAGCACCACTTGTTTTGGGAACCAGTGGAAAAGGACGACAATGATCAGGTCACAAAGTTCAAGATCTACAAAAAGACACTTCTTGAAGAAGATGTTGACTATGTCCAAGTCCTCCTCTGCAATCCTTGTGGATTGTGGCTCTTCAAGGCCAAAAGTATGCGCCCGGAGAACAAGTGGAACAAACAACCTGCCGAAAAGATCGGCGAAAAGAGACAGCGACCTTCTAGAAAACGCAAGCAGAGTGGGGGCCCTCTTTCTAAACCCTCGAGACGCACCCGCAGCAAGGTTGCCATAAGTGAGGTTGCCGCCTCGTCTCCAGCCCCGACAGAGGCTTCATCTATACACCCCGAGGAGGGCGCTACTTCTCAGGGCGCTACTCCTCAAGTGGAAAATGCACATGACGAAACTCATACCGAGGCTGAGGATTGTGAAGAATCTGCTAGCAAACGTCGCCGAGCAAACAGCGCCGAGCCACCTCGCTCTACTGATTCTGGGAGGAGTCGCTGGGAAGGCCAGGATGCTGTTGAGGCTCTCAAGCTTGCAATTCAATCCAGCCCAGCAAGGAATATGGAATCACGAAAAATTCCTCTGGCAGACGATACTAAGCTTACTCCAAAGCCTGTACGCCGGGCGTTGTTTCAAGCGGGCCAGCAAGACGGCGCTTTGAGAGAGCTAGGCGCCTCATTCGTCAACAGCTGTTCTCCTCGACGCAGCCCTCGCATCGCTTCTACGTCACACGACGACAAGCGCCAACAAGAAAAGGAGAATCAGGGACATCCTGACATTGACGATCTCTTTGAAAGTCCCGCCATGGACTTCGACCTGCCGGTCAGCCCCACCCCCCGTCGACGCAATACCTATGTCAACGTAATGCACGAGAGACGCCGTTCTTTGCCTACAAACTCCCCCACCGCCAGCAGAAAAAGAGAAGCTGGTGCGGCCGCAACCGCAGCCCGACTCACTGCGGAGCGCCTTCAGCGTATCCAGGATAGCCCCCAGTCTACTCCTCGCCAAAACCGCTCGCCCAATAAGACTGGTTCCACGGCACTCTCCGATGGAGACCTCCATACAGATGCTTTCAATGCTCTTGATGGCATGATGCTCGACATCTTTGATGAGGCCAACCGTCCTACGCTTAACTTGGACGGAGTGAAGTTTTCTGGAAACGACTGGGCGGACTGGCTCCCCTCAGACTACGTGTCGCCAACTGGATCTGAAGACGGACCCGCTCCTTCGGAAGATTTGATCAATGTTGTCCTATCTGATCCCAGCGCCATGAAGGAGAACATACACCCTTCCGACTTCAACATCTTCAACTTCGATAATACCGATATCCCTGACTCGGGCTTCTTCAGCTCCGATGCCCTCCATGGAGACGGCCCTTCCAAGGCCCAGTCTATCCATGAGAACCCCAGTGGACAGGCAAACTCCCCTAATGCCTCGACACCACAATAACTTGCTCTTTTACTTTGATTGTTTTTCTAGCGATGGCGTTCCGGTTGGGAGGTTGATTTGATTGCATACCGCATTCGTTTTCAACCGCTGCATATTTATCTAGTACCCCATTTTCCTTTGACTTGTTTTGAATTATGACAGATGTGCCTGCAGCGAACTTCAATACCGCGCACTATGCCGATAGTTAGTTGCTCGTTACTGAGCACCTCATACCCTTGCCTATAGATTAAGCAAGCCCCAACAAACCTTATGACCAATGAAAAAGAAATCCAAAATTACCATGTTCAATCTAAACCGGCTCCGGGGCTTCGAACTGAACCGCTTGTAAATGTACACAGTACCTCGGTAAGCCACGTACTCAGAGCTAGGCTTGACATTCCAAGGTTCTCGCATTCAACGCTCAGTAACAGGCTTAGGCTTAATGAGTAAGTACATCAGCGACCTATCAGGTGACCAGGTAGGTACTTGTTGGTGTCATCAGACAGAGGCTTCCAACGTTTGAGCTTGTCTTTCTTCGCGATCCTTTAAACATGAGCCTGTCAAGCCTACTGGAGCACGTTATGGTGGATTTTCACACCATCTTCGAAGCCTAGAATCTATACAAGGGCAACCCTGGAATGAAAAGAAATTGTATTTTCTGCACAGAGGATTGATGAAAATAAAAGACTCGGATACACCTCCGAGGTAAAGCAACGCTACTTTAATCCGTAAAAAGCCTCTGTATGGGCTAAGAACTCGTGCATCTCAAATAAGATCTTGGACGCCCATGAGGCCGAAGGTGAGTTGAGCTACCCTAGGGTAGTCAAAATCATCACATATGCATTCATTCTCCATCGTAGAAGATCGACTTGAATTTGTGTGTAGCTTCAACAACCTGCTCGTAAGTCCGGTAATCTATGTGGAAGAAAGACACGGTATAGGTTAGCTAAATGTTCCAGATCTAGGTATCGAAATCGAGGGCACTTACCGGAATCGGCAGGGTTACCCCAGTCTGTTGTTCCCAAAACGCGGACACCGAGACCCTAGTAGACGAGTGTATATGTCAGCTATCCATTGAAACATTGGGCCTCCCCTCGCTCTCAACCGCATGTCGCGGAATCTCATCAAGATTGCGAAGGAGTTCAACTGGAAACAATCCAAACATACTTGTCCACCTTCTAAATCAGCAACCTTGCCCACAACCTCAATCATCTTCCCCATCTGCAAGTGCGAGTCGGGCTTCAGGATGAGAGTGACGTCGCCGTTGTTACCGCATGTGATGGTCGCCGTGTCGCCGCGGAGCGAACTCACTGTGCCGAGAATGCGGATGGTGTGAGTTGAACGCTGGCCAGCGCTGGAAGGGTGAAAGGAATTGAGGTGGGAGGGAAGGATCCGGGGTGTTTGGAGCGACATTTTTGCGGGGTGTGTGGTGTGAAGGTCCAAAAAACATATCGGCTTCCAAGGTCGGTACGAAGTGAGCGACGCGGTGCGCGAGACACGTGATCACGTGAGTACATCTAGCTGCCAATGATTAAAGGGGAAATCATAGAAAGGTCATATAAACACTGTCATTTGTAGCGGGCCTGTTTAATTATTTTCTTGGTGGGGATTCTATATTAAATGCTTAGAAGAAAAAAACATTAAAAAAAAATAACTAGAGTAGTACTAGTAGGGCAATTCAGCAAAGCTATTTCAAAGATTTGCAGCTTAGACTGTGAAAATATAGCTCGGTTTGACAGGCAGGAACATAAAGTCATGCCCAGGTGGGTATGTCTCATACAAAGTGTTCATTATCCATGGATAATTCCATTGAATATCGATTCCGAAGTCGAATTTAGCATCCTTTCAAATCGCAAAAGACGAAATGTATCAAGATCCTCCGAGAACCTAATGCGAGATGTCGCTGTAGTATGCCATCACGTGACTATCAATTTCACTCCGAAGCTCTGCTTCCTGCGCCAGTTCAAGCCCGCAACTCTGAACATCACGACACAAAAACAGTCTGGATACGTTCTCGAATGGACATCTGGTTTCTGTAATACGCCCACACTATTGCGACACTCGACCTCTCCTCGCCCCGCATTTAACCTCCATATACCTCAGTCATGCCTCCTCCGCTTCCCTCCCACCACCGCGGGATGACCGCGAACCCGCTTAAGCCTGTGGGCCGGTACCGACCAGGAAAGCCGGTCGCCGAGGAGGAATCATCTTCTGAGGAAGAGGAGGAGGACGATGTTGAAGCGCAGCAAGAAGCAGAAATAAGACGGCAGGCCGAAGCGCGACTCCGACGACAGCAAGCTCCCAAAGCCAGCTCGTTTCCTGCAGCGGCAGTACCCAAGGTCGCAGAACAAGACGAGGACGAAGAAGGATTCGTCACCGAAGAGGAAGAAGAAGACGATGAGCCCGCGCCCGCGCACGCTCCGCTAAAAGCTGCACCGGCAGTACAATCCGACACCGCGGGAGTTTCAGCGCCTAAGACCACACCAGTAGCCAAGGCACAGGAAAGCGAGGAGGAATCAGAGGAAGAAGAGGAGAGCTCGGAAGAGGAAAGCAGCTCAGAAGATGAGGCGCCGCGGAGGATGCTCATTCGACCTACGTTCATTAAGAAAGACAAGAGAGGCATTGCGGCAGGACAAGATGCCGGCGCACAATCGCAACCAGCTCCCGGTGCGACAGACTCAGCAGCCGACGACGAGAAGCGCCGTGCCCAACGCCAGGAGAAAGCCGATCAATTAGTACGGGATCAACTCGAGAAGGAAGCGATTGCGCGCTCTGCCGGAAACCGAGCCTGGGACGACGATGAGCTCGTGGAGGCCGACGAGGAGGAAGCGATTGATGACCGCGATGGCCTCGACCCAGAGGCAGAATATGCGGCATGGAAACTACGAGAATTGAAGCGCGTCAAGCGCGAGCGCGAAGCAATCGAAGAAGCCGAGAAGGAACGCGAAGAGATCGAGCGACGCCGCAACCTCACCGCGGAAGAACGAGATGCCGAGGACCGCGAGTTCATATCGAAGCAGAAGGAGGAACGGGAGGCCACGCGTGGCGAGACAGGATTCATGCAAAAATATTTCCACAAGGGTGCTTTCTTCGGCGGCGATTTGGAGCGTGAGGGCGTTGATCAGCGGAATGTCATGGGTCGGCGATTTGCAGACGATGTCAATCGCGAAACACTTCCTCAGTACATGCAGATTCGTGACATGACCAAGCTTGGAAAGAAGGGTCGTACTCGTTACCGTGATCTGAAGTCTGAGGATACGGGTAACTTTGGCGAAGGTTACCAGAATCGACGACGAGATAATGCTCCGCCGATTGGTATTACCGACGAGCGTTTCATGCCTGATCAGGGCGATTCTCGTGGACCTCAGAGACCGACCGGAGCCAATGCCAGTGTCGTTCGCCCGAGGCGCACGTCCAGATCTAGATCACGCTCTCCGCGACGAGATCGGTCTAGAGAGCGGCGGAAACGCAGCCCCTCGCCATATGAAGATCGGGACAAGCGCCGGCGCGTGGAGAGTTCTTCATGATCAGCTTTATGACTGGAGCGAACAATGCTTCTTCCTAATTCTCTTTTTTGGCGTTTTTGCGGAACCTACGATAAAAGTTGCATGGGTGGCGGCCTTAACTTGTGTGTGATATACTACTAGTAGCATCTTGAGCAAAACATATTGGCCCATGTCTGGGCTGGGTACAGAAATATAATGCTCCCTCGCCGGGAGGGCCTGTATTGTTGGTGTGGTATTGCATCGGCCCAGTGCCAATGAAGCATTTGTACATTAAATTCCACAGGTGACATCTCGGGCTACTAGCCTTCTTCAATCAGGTGTCACCCTTCTATGCATACATAACTTCGTCAAGCAACCACAATCGGCATGAAGAGCCATATCCTCTCGGCACAGATAACGCGTAGGCATGGCAAAGCAAGGTGTGCGTGAAAGATCAAGTGCCGTTTCGAGCCAGTGATAACCAGCAGAGTGGCCATGATATTGGTCGGTTATACCCGTGGGGAAGGAGTATTTCCAATGGCAGCCTCAGAGCGCTTATTTGATACCAGAGCGCTCAAGTACCTTCTCCCTTTCCATCACGCTATCGCCAAAACGTAGCAAGAAAACTGTGCGGCTAGGCCACATCTCTGTAGGTTGGTTATGAGCCGAAACCTTGGCCTCGAAGCCGCATCCATCACAGACCCCCTCAATGACACCAGCAATGTATGCTGCGCAGTTGAGCATGTTCATCTCGCGTGGAACACTGATATACGTATTGACTAGGGGATCGTTATCGGTGATCATGTATTCGTTGGGGGTATCTGGTGACACGGAATGTTCGAGGGCATCGGCGGAACGCTGGAAGAGGAGTCTCCATAGTGGACCGTGGATGAGATGGAGGAGGGGGAGGATCCGGAGAGGACGGTTTGGTGGGGATGATGAGGTCGATGAGCTGGAGAGAGCAGAGGAGGAGGTGGAGGTAGAACGATAAAAGAGAAGGTCAAGAAGGCGAAGGCCAAGAGGATATCCTTGTTCATTTAATCTGGGGTTATCAGTATTCATGGACTTGTAGAATGGAGGTAGGTACTAATCAGAGCACCGCTGTGAACGAGCGGTAGGCACAATACTCCATTGAGCCTGCAGATTGATTTCTGATTGACTAGAATTGCCAGATTGACGTACCTTTTTTCCAAGTCTTGGATACCTGTTACCCTCCGCTGGGCATATGTGACCATCTCTGCGAAAAGGTAGGCGAAGCTCGCCCGGCTGAGCTCTGCATTGCGGCTGCGGTTGAGATGCCTGTCATAGATCGTTTTGCGATTGGAAGGCACACGAAGACCAGAGGCCTGCTGTGGAGTTGAAGGTGGCTGCGGAGTCTGTGGTTTGTCGCTTGATGCGGACTGGGGGGGTACCGGCGTTGCTATTGCTGATGGAGAGCATGGAGACGTGCCTGGGCGGTGCCGCCATGATGTGGATAAATTGCGACAACCACGATCTTCAGACGGGAATAGATGTTAAGAGCAATAGTTGAGGTAGCTGTGGGAAAGTGGCTGGTCCAGGTCAAGGGTTCATGGGTATGTCTATGTTGACCAGGGGAGTGTCGGAGGTTCGACGTGGATGCGATCTACGGTGGAGCACATCGCCCTCGGGTGCAGCCAAAATCACCCAATTTTCATCAAGAGCAAGTCCGCTTAGGTCCAGCATCCTGCTCACTGCTACTTGGGTCTACAATATTTACAATATTTACATTGGAGTGGTGAGAGGTAATTGGCTTGCAACAAATTGTGATTCATTTGATCTTATAAAAATGCTGGAGTGACTGACGAACACACACTTCGTCGCATATATGCGCACCGGAGTCAATCAAGTTTTTCACCACAAGGCACCGATACATATAGAGATGAGCGGCAGCAGGTAGTCCCAGATATCTTTGATCTAATCCAGACCAAAGGTTATAATGCACACGAGTATACGAGAGATAATCCTATTCTGAAGAACCAGCAATGTTAGCGAGGTTCGACTCAATAGTCAAGTAGAATAAAAATCAAAATCCGTTGACCAGCATTCAATCAGACATCCAAGGAAGATTCAGCGCCCATTGCCGTCTGAAAAAGGTTCGATCGACGGCTAGCGTGGAAACTGCGAATGTAGGAAAAGCTTTCATCATAGAAGGACCAAAAGGTCCGGCTGGAACGGTGTTGCAAATGCATTTTGCAAATACGATGATAAAAAAAAAAAAGGGTTGCGACTTACCAAGTTAGTTTGTTTGAAAATTAAGCCGATTTGAATCCATGCTCCAACTTTCGAGGCGGCAAGAGAGCAACATGAAGCTTCTTGTGCTCGAAGGTTGAGTGGAAGAAGGTTGTGAGGAAGAAAAGAAAATTTCGGGAGGGAACGGGCCTTTTTATACCTAAAGGCGGTGCAGCTGCCCCGGAAACCACACACACCGAAACCGAGAGACCGAGAGACCCATCCAGAGAGTGGGAAGCTTCTAGAGGTGTTATCCACTCGAGAGAAAATTTGCATGACTTCTAATTATGTGGTAATAATATGTAAACAGTCAATCTTTCTCAGCTAGGCCTTTGAATATTGGAGCATGCTCCACCATGAGAAGTTGAAGTTTTCCTACGACATTAAGCCAAAGTCGATTAGGTCCAACTTATTGGCAAAAGCTTCCCTAGGAATCAGGAATTATTTGGTTTAAACAATAGCTCTGGTTATTGAGGACCTCTAGCGATACCTATTCGACCCGTATGTACTCCTAGTTAAAACCATCCAGTGGCGGTAACCAACCCGACAGAACGCAAATTAGAACGATATCGCCGAAAGAAAAAAAAATTGCATGTCATAAAGTGGGTCCGCTACTTGAAGCTCTTCTGCTTTGAGCGCGAATTCCAGTTGAGAGTTTTCGAGATGCTGTGGACCCAGTCCTCGCCTCGTCGCCCTTGGGGAAGGACATTAGCAAATGGATATCTCGAAGCTGACACTGTAACGTAGTCTCCAGGGTGCAGTTCGACCCTTCAATCTTTTGTTAGCGAGCTGCCATCTGTAACATTCATTAGATATATCCATCCAAGGGAGCTCACCTCTCGCGACCATCGAAACTGGCCCAGGAACTTGTCCGAGCATCGTAAGGCACACCCATCCGGAGTACAATGGTATCTGGTAGAATGATTGGACGGAAGGATAGTGTGTGCGCGCAAATGGCAGTGACGAGGATCACTGGGTTCTCGGGGTGCGACAGAGAACCGCCAGCAGCGAGGTTGTAGGCTGTCGAACCCGTCGGGGTCGCAATACATATTCCATCGGCAAGTAGAGTGGTAAAGTGCTCGTCGTCGCCAAATAATTCGATTTGGGACATGGCTAGCAATGGTTAGTATATGCGCACATGACTCGTCGTAGAGAGATAGGAAAGTAGAAAACATACTTGGGTTTGGGCCACGGTCAAGCACAACATCATTTAGAATTTCATAAACTCTATCAGGAGTGTGCGTCAATGTGTCCTCTCCTTCTTCTCCGATTAGTTCCTCCACCAAATCCCGGCTTGTGAGTCCTCTGGCATGGGGATCCTTCAATCGTGCTTTACTTCTCATGATAGTGCATTCGAATCGTAACCGGAGGCTGACGACAACGCCATCCCGGAAAGCATTCTCCAGAATGTGCTGATAATCGGCAAAGTCGAAATTTGTCAAGAATCCTAATGAGCCGAGCGCAAAAGACAGAACTGGCGGCACGATACGCTGGAATAGCCAGCTAGTGTACAACACCGTTCCATCACCACCCAGCGTGACGACAAAATCAAAGAGATGTGGCTGATCTTGGGCGAGCTTGGGATCCCAAAACTTCAGCCGGCCCTTGGCTGACGAGTTTTCCTGTAGAAGTTGCAGGGTCCCGAAATCTGGGTGTGTCTCCATCCGCTTTTCCACATACACATTGTAAAGAGTGTCACGGTCCTTCGAGAGAAGCCATCTTGTTACCTTGCGCGTTAAGCTAACGAGGGATTCGTCATATGCCTTGCTCACCACGAAGACATTCTTCACGGTAAGCTTGAGCTTAATGCTTCCGAGCTTCTTTGATAGTTTGCGAACATTCCAAGCCATGTCGGACAGCTGGCGCTTGGTCAAATGTCGCGATTGAATGATAGTAGGAACTGGCTTCATATTGCCACCGTCACCATCAACCATCGAGACAACATGGTCGTCATCGAGGGCGCTCGTATCGACCCCAGGTTCCTCTTCATTGAGTGTGCGGATCACTTCTTGAGCCTCCTCGTCCTCCGCAGCCCCGCCCGGATACTTGACAGGCGATGCCCATTCCCCCGCGATAAGGGAGTGTACATAGCAGGCAGTTGTCTTATCATGCTGGTCAAAGTGGTGGCGGATTCTAGGTTTCTCCATCTTCACCAGAGAGGATTTGCGGCGGTGGCTCGAGTCGGGATAGAAGACGACCTAGAAAGGAGTAGAACAAACGGAAAGCTTAGCACGATAATGAGAAATTTTTCAATGTTCACATACCTCCAACCGGTTTTGCGCATCGGGGTCAGTAGCTCCTCCGTAGCTCTATAATGCATGGGTCAGTTTGTCTGCGATGCCCCGCGCGTTTGGCCCACGTACCTCGTCAACGGCGGGCGAGGACGACTTCCGGTCAGAGTCCATAGTCAAAGTATGTGAGTGTCGTTTGCTTGCTGATCAGATTGTCATTTTGCGTGGTTTAGATGGTTTGCTGGTCGTTGTGCGGTGAGATGTAGTGCAATGCCATCAGCGCGGATTTGAAAGAAGTGTGGGCATGACGTCGATCCGCTCATCCCTCGCGACTCTCCCGCCGGGCCAGTTTTGCTCCCTTGAGGGCGGGGGGACTAGGCGAAATTGAATCACGCTCTTGATTTAGAGATATTTTGAGAGGGCTTCTTACTTCCCACAGCTACTCTACTTTAACTGATCAATGGATCTACTGGTATTAATTTCGGATAAACTCGCGATGGAATACGAAGATCCCCCGGAATAGAACGGATCATGCCAAGATCTAACGAGATCCAACGATCGGGGCTAGTATGGCAGTAATCTAAATAGCCAGTATGAGAGAAAGAAATTTTATGCGCCTTGATGTCCTACCTAGCTATACTCAGTGGTATCCTGAATTATTGGGATCAGGCAAATATTTAAGGGTGTAGAGGTAGAATAGCTTCACGCGTGAATGACTTTGGGGTCTAGGCCCTCTATATTTGGTTCACTTTCTTCAAACTACATGGAATTCTTCATCTCTCTCAAAGCTGCCATAACATCGACCGGGTTGGTCTTTCCGGTGACTTTTTGGATCTCCGGATCCTGCATTTGAGGTTAGCATATCGATATACCTAGTAAAGAATGAGGGGATTGCTTACATTCACACGCATGAACACATTGTGAAGCTATATCTCGGGGTCAATATCAATAAAATTCACAAGTGTGTCATGCTACATACCTTTTCGTCACCGATGGTGAATTTGCCTTGTGTTTGCTGGTTTGCCTCGGCAAATGCCTGGAGTTTCAGGATCGGCTCAGACTGAGACACATGAACGCAGAACTTGACATTCGCCTTGGTGTACTCATGACCGGGCTAGAGATAATTAGTAAGATATTCCACAGGCAAGCCTAGATTATGAACATACGTAGACCTTGGTGTCATCAGGCAGGGATGCTAGCGTCTCGTTCAACGCCTTGTGCATCTCCTCGGCATTTCCTTCAAAGAAACGACCGCAGCCTAAGCAAGTTAGTTTCAAGCAGTACAAATCCATGCGTCATTAGGATAGTTCAGCGGGAAGCATACCTCCGATGAAAAGGGTGTCACCGGTGAAGACAACACGCTGGTCCCCATCCTGCATGAAATAACAGATGCTATCTTGTGTGTGGCACGGGGTGTGCAGTGCCTTCACTGTAATCCGTTCTCCGATCTTAAATGTCTCTCCGTGGGCTGGGGACTGTGTGACAGACTGGCAGTTCTTACCACCAATGACAGGCAGCTTGCCGAATTGGCTCAGCTAAACGGTGTTAGTCGGAAGAACGTGTAGATGAAGCGCGAACATCTTACCATGTCATCATTACCTCCGGCATGATCCCAGTGGCTAAATGATCAGTCAGTCTGCGGCACTTCCACTCAAAATTGATAAAGCCAAAACCATACTGGTGTGTGTTGACAATGGCGGTTAGATCAATCTTTCCAGAGTCGATTTGAGACTTCAGTTCTGGAGCCACCCTATCGCAGATCATGGTTAGGTCCTCATATGAATATTTTGAGGAGAGAAGGGGGCTCACTCAGGAGGATTGGCAGGATCAATGATGACGGAATGCTTTGTAGGCTCATCTGTCACCAGGTAGGCATAGTTGTTGCCCTTCCCCGTCCCTAGATGGAAAATAATAGTAAGCTATCGGCAATTGCTAGCCGCGTAGCTACATGTAATGCGTGTCAAACAACGAACGTACACATAGGAATCGACTGGATATGCATGTTTCTGGCTGATTGAAAGCGATATGAACGGAATTTTAGGAATCGTGTAGCTCTTGCGAAACTCATTACCAACGGGAAGTGCGGGGGAAGCTCTTGAATTGAATATGATCGCGCTCGCTCAAGCTAAACAGCGGATTACACAGCAACGTCATACGGACCGACTTTGTCCCGAGGCCCGTCGGACTACCTTAGTAATTACACGCGATCTAATTGGTCTACTTTAACCGTGCATATTGTACACTGTACTGTAGAAAATCGAGCAGATGATAATTGGCGGAGAAATGCTCAAGTTTTTTTTGTCCTTTGCTGCCTGCAGCAAGGTGGTAATAATGGTCAATTACATTAAATAACCCTAGTTGATTGAAGATATCCCCAAAGGCCGACTGTCCCACTTTTGAAGGGGTTCCCATCCATGCCCGCCGAGCTCCGACGTTATGTTAGCCTCAACATGCATGGAGCTCTTCAACGATGCTCTCTTCTTAGAAGAGTTGCCAATTGTGATTGGAGCCGCTTTGGTAACCTTGCCCTTCTTCTCCAGCTCCTTACTAAGCGTCTGGGTCCAGTGGCTTGAGCATTCTTCACAGGCACTCAAAACATAACCGCGCGGGAAAGAGGGTCGATGGGTTCCCCAAGTAGACGAGGTCGATATATGGCTTAACCATGAGTAAAGTGCCTCTGCGTATGCATTCTGCGGTGATTCACTTGCGGGGTCGAAAGCCAGTCTGTTTACCAGCTCTTCGGCAAAATGAGTCAAGAAAGAAGAACTGCTCTCAGTGATTTTCAAAAGGACGGGATCCCAATGCTTAAAAGCCTTACTTAAGGGCTCTCCGAGTCTATGGGTGTTGTTAGTATATATTCCGATGTGGCATTCGATCCACTAAGCGCGATCTTGGGCGCAAAACTCACTGTCGTTCGGAATCAATCAACACAGACTCCTCCAAGAAAAAAGCAGGAAGCAATTTCACTCCTTCATCCGACGCAGCGCATATCGAAACGAGTTGTGTTGCAAGTGCATCATCCTCATCCCGCTTCCGCTTCTTTTGCGATTGCTCTGGTCCAGTTGAATGTTTCCGTAGGATATCGCCAAGGGCAGACCTGATGGAAGCAATGTCACTGCGTTCAGTCGTTGGCACATCACCCAGCTCGTCGATTCCAGCCCAGTAGTTGTCCCAAAGCCATTCGAGGGACCGCTGCGAAGCCTTACGCAGCACAACTAGTGATGGAGGTTCACGGTGAGTTGCCTCATGGCGTAATTCCACAAATGAGGCAGGCAAGCCCAGGTCAACAGCACGTTGAAACATGGTCTTGCGCGGGCCCTGGATTTTTGAGTCCACAAGGCCGGTCACGAATCTGGGGCACTATTAGTATATGGCGACTGAATAAGGCAAATAAGTGATTTCGAGGTAGCATACCGGCAAAAGGCCGCCGAATAAGTGGCCCTAATAGAGAAAATCGAGTTGTGCTGGGCATCGTCGTGAAGAATCGCGTCTGTTAGCAGCGCAGTTGCTTCAACATGGTGCGGAACATTGCCACGCAGCTTCCATGCTTCAACCTAAATGAAATAGTCAGCACAGAGCAAAAAAAAACTACTCAGGTGTTAATTCACATACCGTGGCACAGGCGTGCGAGCGCAAGTCTGGGCCTTCATATGAAGCTGACGGGTAGAACTCGTTTCGCACTGCAAGTAATTGTGACTGATCTTTCCAAGCAGTGAAAATAACTTTGGCCATTTTGACGAGCTAGTGAATTCACCGGTTGAATTCCCACTGAATTTTTGGCGAGCTCGATATCCGATTGGAGATATCTTTTCTCGGATGAAATATTTTTCGGATGGAAGTTGTTCCTTCGGGAATGTTTTACCGAGCCGGTCCTGACCTGTCGGCCACAGCCACAGCCCTGGAGCGACTTCGGTTTGGATTTCATTACTACCTACCCCAGACAGAATTTCTTTACTCTGGAAAGCTGCCGCATGCATTGCACAGTGCATTACGCCTTTATGGAGGCCCCGGGCTGTCTTTTAAATCGGACCAGCTATGAGAATACCTGTCTAATTGCAAGCTCGGTCATTTCCGCCGCATTTCTGCAGGTGTGTATCTAGATAGCACTGGTGGAACTCCGTACAAGTGTCATAATATCTTTTGTTCTAAATACCGGTGACACTGCAGTCCCTCCGATCGATTCAAATTGATGAATGAGAAAATAAAATGACGGTGAATTCTGCAAAACTCGGATTGGAAGGCTTGCGATCAGAGCCGCTTCTAAGTGAGACTATTTTGCCGAACGGAGCTAGCCTGCGACCAATCAGCGATCCGATCGGCTGAGCTCCCCAAAAAAAGAGTATTACTGCATGGTTACACTAAATGTCTCCACATGAATATACAAAGGTGATATTAGGTGAGGTAATTTGATTGTATTTGTGAGACTAGCTTCTCGCTAAGGTCTCAAAAAGCAACGTGGTTAAGCCACGGCTCGATAGCTATGCTATTCCCAGGGTATCCAACCATGCATTCTAACTCCGTCAATCCGAGCAAAAGAAAATCAAATAAAACTCCTCGCTATGCCGCTGTCGTACCACGCAATCAAACAAAATAGTGGAAAGGAAATGCAGGATTAAAAAAAAGAAAATCTGATGAAAGAACGGCCTTTAAATCCATCCACCATACCCGTAGCTCATGCAAGACTGGTTCAAATTCGCAAATGGCTGGGCGATGGGGATTGGCTGCTGATCCAGATCATCGTGATCGAAGAAAAATGATTTGTGGAGTAGATTCAAGCCGGATTTAGATGGTTGCTTGGGAATCGTCGTCTGTGGTTGTTGTGACTGGATCATGATCGCAGGCTGCTCGATTGGGATTTGCTGAACCGACTGGAAGCCGTTTCCTTCATTCATGTCCTGAACACTCTCGTCGTTCTCGTCATCGGATGGTGAAAACGTTTCCTCAAGTTTGAGGCCCTTGCCCAGTGATCCCGTTTGAGTTTGGGTCTGAGATCGATCGGGTTGGTTGTAGAGACCCATGCCAACTAGCTCCTCCTCGGCTTTGCCACCTTTCTTGGTTTGAGTTGATATCGGAACATCGTCGAGTTGTTGAATTGGCAAAAAGTCCGGTGTTGAAGGCCCACTGAGTTCGCCGGGTGACGGTACACTCGCGTAGCTCGGGCAAGCCGTTTCCGCAGGAGGAATGTTGGCCATGGAAAGCATATCCAGAGACCAGCCATCAGAAGTCGTTTGGGCCATATTCGAGAAATCGGCATTGGTTCCAGTGACATCCCACGCCATTTGCTCGACCTGCGAGCCAGGTATCGATAGTGCTGGAGTCGGTTGAGGCATGTGCATGGCCTCTTGCATTGGATCCGAATACACGGGGAGATAGCCAGGCGAATAGGCGGGGCCAGTTGACATCACATAGGGCATCACATTGTCGCTGCCATAGGTGGGGAAGGCGTTAACTTGATCTGGGACTCCACCCATACCGGCGTACATCTCCGAAGAGAGGTCAGGGACATATGACGAGTGCGAAAGGCCACGGGCCCTGTTTGAGGATGGATGCCAGCTGATCGGGCGAGAGTTCCGAGCCGCAGAGGCGAGTAAAGCAGCCTCCAAGGACGATTGATACTGAGTCGACATCCCTTGCATGGCGCTCTGGGCAACGGTTGTTCTCCTTCGGCTGACAGACGAGGGACTGTTGCCCGCACTACGAGGCTTCATGACCCTAGTGTGTCGAGGACGAGGGAAAACATGAGCCCAATCTTGCATGTTGGCGGGTTGGTTAGAGACATTTTGCGGGAACCATTGCGAGCCTGGCGAAGAGGCAGGTTGTTGATAGCAGTAGTTGGCCATGGAAGGAAATGTGTGAGTTGACTGAAGTAGCTGAGCGTCAATGATATGATGCTCAGGCTGTCCAGGAAGAGGGAGAACCAATGTAGTTATAATGAAGGTTTCGATGTTTGAGAAAGAAGGACGGGATGTTGGGGGAAGGTGAATATTGTCAGGCTGTTGTCCCTGCGAAGGAACAGCAGCACGGAGGGGATAGTCACAGTGTATGTATCCAGGATTGAAGGCGGGCGGCGCCAGGGCGAGCAGATTTGATTATTATAAAGGGAATCCAGGGAGGCTGCGATCTACCACCCGCCCCAGCTCCACGATCCCACCGCACATGCTAAGATGACACGACGTTGACACTAACAAAACGAGCCTAGTCCCAGAACCAAATAAAGGGCCGGGTCCATGATGAATCAAAGTTCCACCGTTTTGGGCAGGGACCCATAGGAAGGAAGGAATCTTCCGGAGGTACGGAGGTACAGGTACAAAATGCGCGGTGGAGATTTCCTATACGTCGCGCGCGTCTGCGTGGGGAAAAAGAAAGGGCAGAGTGAAGGTCAGAATCCAGTCACATCTCCACTGGTGGACCTTTTTACACGGACCCAGTCTGGGGCGACACAACTCCCGTTTTTTCTTTTTTTTTTTTTTTTTACTTTCTTTTTTTGGCTCATGATTTTTCTCATTTTCTTTTCTTTTTTTTTTACTTTCCAACCCAAGACTCAGGAACCTTGGCCCTCATTAACCGCCCATGGAATGCTGCTTGGCCCGCGATCCGTCCCGATCGGCAGTCAATACTTCCCTCCTCAGTCGCTTAGAGACTGATTTTTCTTTCCGTTTCATGGAGATGATCAGCCATGCAATAAGAGAATGTCAATACATACCGACGATGTGGTAGTGGTTGGCATTTCCTTTGTTCTCTTGGAACATGGCGCTCCCTAGTCCCAAATCAAAATCAAAATCCATCTGTATGGAGAACATGCATACATACATACTACTACAGTATTCAATACTGTATACCACACCTCCGTACATGCACCGGACTCCGTTACGCAAGGGTTACAATGTGATGAGCTCCATTCAAGATCGCCTCGCACATCCTTTCGTGTTCCTGCCGGGATATGGACAAGGGGGCCAAGTGGAGTCACCCTAATGTCGACGAGAGAACATGACGGAGTCATGTCTCGACCAGATGCTTGGTTATTCACGGAGCTTTTCCCAAGTAGTCTAGATTAGTACGCTAGAGTCAGGTCTTTCTCACTTGACGGAGGGGCAAAGCCACGTCCCAACTTTCCTGGTTGCTGACTGCTGCTGGCTTGGTGTAGTGGATTCTCTCCAATCACCACGGTGTCTCGCCAACTTCATCACAGCCCAGGTTATCTGACTTACTACTGTACATACTGTACGTACTTGGTTTCTTTTCTCCGCTGCATGCGCCCTCTTCCATCCGGAGTACATGATGCAGGAGATGCATCATCGCCACCGCGATCTTCACTATCTTTTCTTCCGATCCAGCCCACCCCTTCTCGGCTCTTGATTGGACCAATGAAACACCTGGAACTATGCTCCGTAGGCGGGCTGCATTTAGGATCACCATAGTCAAGTAATATACATAACATGTACAGCGCCGCGCCGTACGGCAGTCATTCTCAAGCGTCACCTGAGCTGCATGGGACACACATAATCTGCATTACCCGAGGAGGCGTTGTACGGGTTAGTGGACCTGTTTCATTAAAGTAAAAGAGTGGAAGTCGTACCGGCACCAATGTTCGCCCGTGTTCAACACTGGGCGGGAAGCTCGGCAATTCCAATGAACGTGGAGAGCGGTTGTTGAAGGTTTTTTGTCTATATTGTCTTTTTAATCTATTATTTTTGATTTATTTTTGAAGTTATCCTATTTGAGTCCACACCTATATTTTCAAGTCAGCCCCGGGTGGGGGGTCGAGTCCAGCTAAACCTTGTAATTACATAGCATATCGAGAGTTTCCGACCGTGTGGCCGGGGTCTATTCCTGTATTCCTGGGGGAACGGGGTGCACATAATATGACCAGGATCTGATTTGAATGTGATCAGTCCCCTGCGCCATGATTTTATTTTCTACAAAGTACGGAGTAGGAGTAGGAGTAGGAGTAGGAGTAGGAGATCATAGATAGTACTCCTCCGTACTCGGTACTGTAATTCCAGATCTCTCATTTCTGAATCCTGATTCCTGATTCATGGAACCAATGAATCCTAGTACCTGGACCCCGATAGGTGCCTTGAGAGCTAATTTCCTGTTGGGATGGTCACTAACGTGGCACTAGTCAACGGGGTCAGAATCAATAGATATTATGGCCCGCGTGGTCTGTGAGCAACTTGAACTTTTGAGAGCGAAAACCCCGACGAAAATATCGGTGGAAAAGCCTGAATAGGAAATGGAGTAGATAATTCGGACCGATCAGGAAATGGGCGGTAGAGCCACCATTCACAACGTGGCCGGGCGGATCTCATCGTGTTTAGCGCTGAACTGCCAAACCAGCCCTGTTCGGGCCCGCCGGGAACCGGTTTGCTTCTGTTTAGGGCTTTGTTTTATTGATTATTAGTCTTCTTCTTCTTCATTGGGGAGAGAGAGAGAGATTCGGGATTTCAGGTTAGTGCCTATTTAGCTCTCCGGGACTATGTATAATGGTTCTCCCAGAGTCTATAAATGTTCTTCAGGTGATCTCTCCTTTTAACGTTTATGTACAAGTATGTACCGAGTAGTACGGCTCCGTACACCACATTACATAGTTCACCCTAGATCTTTGTCCCTCCCTCTCTGCTTGTTTTACCCCTCTGGCTTAATTGACTCCACTTCCAACGCAAACGATGTCATGGGGGACAGGGATGCGGTGCTCAGGGGACCAATGCCAAATGCAAAACACCCACCGCAAGCGATCCAAGCCCGCCTCGGAACGCATTTGCAGAGCTCCACTTCCTGCACTGCAGGGGCCACATTTTGCAAAGTGAAAAATTGGAGAATGCGCCCACAGTCCAATTCCAGAAGCTCAGGGGCCAATTTTCCCCCTTGAGGTGGGCCCTGACACAATCCCAACTTGCCGATCTCTGGAGTATGCCGCCTTGAGCACACCGCAGCAGGTGGCCGTCAGCTTTCGCCGGCATCCTGTTAAGTGCCGAGGTGTGTATGGAGTTCGGAGTACGGAGTACGTGGTGCTAGGATATTGCGCCAGTGTCTGAGTACAGTACAAGCTACGGTAGCTAGGTACATAAAACTAGTAGTAGGGACAAAAGTGGACATGGGTCGGTATGTACGGAGTACATAGCATACCTACCTTGAAAAGAGCTTGATAGCCTTGCCCTGCCAGTGTCTCTGTACTTCGCACCCTGAATCAGGTTCGGGCTTCCAGTTCTAGGCCCTGGTGACACGAACGGTACTCTGTCTCAAGTATTCATACGCGATCAGAAGTACGTCGTCAACTCCGTGTTGCGGTGATTGTTTTGCATTTCTTTGATCCAGCCGGTCCAGGATCCGCGACCAACTATTCAAATGTGATGATCCATGATCCTACAGTAATATGTACTATCCATTGAAGGCCCGAGATTGAATGGCGGTCACTCTCCGAGACCCGATGCCAGATCGGGCTTTGATCAGCTCTTTGTCGCGAGCCTCTTTTTTGCCCTCCTATCCCCACTTCCCTCTCTGACCTGTGACGCGTGCTAGTTCCTGGGCGAACTCCATTCCACTCTCACGGGCGGAGCCGATCCAGCCTTCCTTCGTCTTCCAGACGTTCTATCTGGCCCTTCTGATTGCTCCGTCGATAGTGGGTTCTCCGTCCACTTTCCCCTCGTCTCCCCTCCCTCCCTTTTACGGCGTAGCCTCAGTCGGGAACAACTACGGGCAAATCAATTTGGCTTGGCTTAGTGGCATGTCATCAACTTCTTACGGTGTAGCACCGCCCTCGGGCAACCCAAGCATGGGGCCCTTGGTGATGATGTGCTCTTCAACGATACTATAAAACAAACCCCCCCAACGCGAGGCCTGTGAGGGGCAAAAATGCGCTCTATTTCCGCTTAGATTCCTTCTTTGTAATATCTGATCCCGGTCAGTTGGTATGGCTTAGCTTGGCCCCCCTTCTTGTTGCCCAGGTGGTTGCCCTGATGACTTGGACGATCCTCTATGGAGTACTCCGTACTCCGTAGGGGTATTAGAATCTGTAAAAGGTGTGTGGGTGTACTCCGTATTGGATCCATTATCCTCCGAGCGTTGTCCTCCCACCCCGCCGTCGTCTCCTAAATGGATAATGGACTCAACGGTATGCAGCTGGCCCGTTGTCTCGATGTGATTTGCACAGATTGGCTGAAACCGGGCCTGCCGTTCTCCGGTAGGCTGCAACACAGCGAGGCGGCTGTGCTTCAGAATCGAACCATTGCAGGAGTCTCGTCCTTGTCTGTGACAGGGCGCATTGCCTGAGACGTAGAAAGATCCCATACCACGCATATTGTATGTACGTCCACATGTATTCCGTCTGCTTCTCTGATAAGGAGCTTCAACGTTTCGTCATACACACCGCAGGGCGCCTATCCGTCGGGCAGACTCCGGCATGCAGCCCAGCTTTCTCAGTCAGGAGGTCCCCTAACGCCTGAGGCGCGACGCCACACAAAGGCCCAGGTGCAAGTGGGTCGAGGCCGATCAACATTTTTGGATCGGAGCCTAACTAGAGCAGATTCGAGAGTACGAGGCAGCGGTCAAAGACTTCTGTTAGTACCGGTATATCCGTAGGTATTTTCAGAAGTTATGGCGTACGAAGTATCCGTTCTCAATATTCCCGACTCGTTCCATCAGGATTGCTCCATACGTACTCCGTAGTGTATGTATGTTCAAGGGTGGATGTTCAAAGGATCCAACTGGGCAAGGGGGTTGGGCCAATAGATGGGTCGAATTTCCACTTTCAACCTTCTTGGCCCCCAATTTACTTGCTACAAACATACTAGTCCCGCCATTCACTCTAATAAAAAGTCAGTTTCTAATATTGAATCTGTGAACCCCCGGGTTTGGGGAGTGGTCCATGCACTCTCGAATGGGACCTGGCGGTATGCTTATCCTGCTCCAATTTCCAGTTCTCCTGGCTACAATAGGTCCAGCTGCAGGGGCCGATCCTGAACCCTCTCTGCGCCTCGTTCCTCGTTGGTACATTACTTGGTGGCACTCAGACATACCTCCTCCACTCCTAAGGGGCCGATCGGTGCAGCGGGCAAGGGTGAGTCCGCAGCGCTGCAGTGAGATGGCACACACATGCCCAGCCGCAAGGCATGGCGCCGATTATCGACCTGCGGGTGATGGGTGATGGACAAGTGATAGGAATTTGAGGCTTTCTCATGGTCTCCATCAGCAGCCCCTGGTACTGATAGGCTAACGGAGGGGGTCATCTCTGGCGGCATTGGGTCGGTGAGTGCCTCCATCCTGCTCACGCCATGATCCGTGATCCATGCCCATGTCCCATCTCGTCCTGCGCTGACGAGCGAGGCTGGAGGCTCGAGGCTTGGAACTCGAGTCAGCTGGCAAATTCGGATGCCTGGGTGTATTTCGTCTGCTGCTGACGAGCGTTGGATATATGCTTTGCCCCCCCCCCCCACCAAGCCATGCACCCGTCCCACTGGGGAACGGTGTACGTACGTCCGTGATCACTATTTTATCGAATCGACACCCCCCTCAACGCCTCCTAGGCTGTGCATCTTCCGTCTTGAGTGAGCATCCTCAGGGGTGCACTCCGTAACGACTCACAACTCCGTACATACTCCATGCATCCCGTGCACCTGGGCAATCACTCCTATACTTCATGATCGTACTCCGTACCCACCTAGTTAATCACTGTCAATCACGGCCGAGAGGGATCTGCATCTGCAACAATTCAAAGTGGAAACACATCCTCCCAAAGTCCTAACCCTCGACTCCACCGCGCATCCCTTCCCAAACTGCCCATCACAATGGGGACTCCCGTCTCGTTCCGTCGTGGAGGTGAAGGGACCCTCGTGCCATTTTCCCGCGATGTGCACAGTAACCCCAGTCGCATGGCTAGCGCAGAGGTTAGCGTGCCACAACTGGATCGCCTTATTGACTTTGGGCCCAGGGATGGAGTCCCTCAAGCCACTACCAGCAATTAGAAACGCTGGGTTCTCTCGTCTAAAAACTTCAAATCTCCCATTTTCTTCATTTGTGTAGATCGGGTGGAGTCCGTGGCCATATTATGGAGTCTATGCCTCGAGGCTAGAAAGACTGCTGTATCCATATCATCTCGCTCTAACTTTTCAGCCCGTCCTGCACCGTATGTTTCGGCTTTTTGCCTATCGATGGGGGACGGAGTACCATAGCCTTGTATGTCCTTAGTGGCTTTCTGGGTTCGTTACCGATTACCAGTGCGAGATTGGCTGCGTTAAGGGAAATAGTTGATTAACTGGTGCAGCTCTACCGGCCGATCGCTGGGTCATGTGCTCCCCACCGTTGGGCTCGTTCTTCCGATTTCTCCGTGGAGTTACGAGTGAGCAGACTTGCTATTTCCGGGTATTCAAGCGGCAAGTTTGCGAGGGGGGGTTCTACTAGTAATCTGGGACGTGAAGAATTTTTTTCTTCGGGCTCGTATTGGGGGAGGGGGTTAATTTTCCACTCCGGATACGGAGCACCGCATACTACAGTGGCGTTCCAAAGGTTTGAAACACCCTGAGCGACCGCCTTCCCCTACCGCCCACTATATTAGTACACCGCCCCCTATTCTACTACGCGACGTGCGTTGTATATAGCATATTATACACATTCCACGCGTTATATTGAGCTATTTGGGCCTTTAGAATGCCACCAATTCGTCATACTGCTCTGCAATTGGTGCAAAACCAATATGATACACCGTCACAGCATCCAAATGTAACACAACGCTCACGCCGGTGTCAATTAGCACCACATGAACGTGTTCGACTTGTTGAATTGAAAGCTATTGGATGGTCATATACTGAGATCCATGAACGCTATCCTTATATTCCAATTGGAACAATCAAAACTACAGTTGCTCGGGCGGAAAAACGAGGCCCAACTCAGGCTGCATTACCTCGTTCTGGTACACCAAAAAAGTTGGATGAAACAGATCGATTGAGGATACTTGAAGCAATATCAGAGAACCCACGAATTAAGTATGATGCTCTACTAGCTTTAGTCAACTTCAAATGCGGTCGAGCGACTATTTGGCGACTTCTCCAAGGTGAAAATAAACGGAAATGGCTTCAACTTCAACGACCTGAGTTAACCGACCAACAGGCTCGCCAGAGACTGGCTTGGGCACATCGAGTCCAAGATTATGACTCTGAAAAATGGAAAAAGATCTTCTGGTCAGATGAAACAACTATCGAAAGAGGAAAAGGAGGACGGCGAGAGTGGACTTTTACACCACGAAACCGCCAAATTGCGGAACGAGATGTTCAACAGGTCCCATGTCACAAAAGTGTTAAGCAAATGTTTTGGGCTGCCTTTTCAGGGACCGGTCGTCGATCCGGACTTATTCCACTCTTTGGAGATCCAGATTCTCCTAATGGAGGGGTGAACCGATTTGTTATCTTGGAATTATATCAGCGTGTGCTTCCAACTTTGCTAAGCGGAGTTGAAGGTGCTGTGTTTCAACAAGACAATGCTTCAGTTCATACTGCACATATTGTTCGTGATTGGATTGCTGATCAGGACTATGAGATTATGAAATGGCCTCCATATTCGCCTGATCTAAGTCCAATTGAGAATTTATGGTCGTTACTCAAGGCAAAGATATATGAATTGCACCCTGAGATTAGGGGCATGCCAAATAACGACGATACTCTACAGTTTATTATTGGGGTAGCACAGATAGCGTGGTCTATGATTGATATAGCGATACTAGAAAATTTGGCTATTACTATGCCACACCGTGTACAGCAAGTTATTGAAAATGATGGCTGGTATACTAGTTATTAGCAATTGTCAATACATGAGGTTTTTATTTTGTGCCGGTCGCGAGGTTTTAGTGCGGCAGAAAAAGCGGCAGAAAAATAGGGGGTGTTTCAAACTTTTGGAACGCCACTGTAAGTACCAACTTGAAGTTAACAGTCACGGTAAAGAGTAGTACTAGTATATAGTATTGCAATACTACGTACTATTTGCTTTGAGCAAAATAACAACCTCTGACAACGATGAATGCATTTCTGGACAACAAATACCCGCTGTTATCGATCACAATTCATGCCTAGCACCCTACGTCTTGATGTACATATGTCCAAGCCCAATAATGCAGCAAGACCAACAAGGACGCGGAGCCGGATATGACACGTATAATCTGCAAATTATCCGCCCGCCATGACTGCGATCAAGGATCTTATTTCAATAGACCTTTGCGTGTTTGCCTCATCTCGGCAGATGGGCAACCGCATCATTTTTGACTTTCTTTCAATCCTCGATTTGCAATCATCCCGGCAAATCATGTCGGGTACAGATCAACTGTAGCACAGCATTCGCATTAACAACATCACACATGCGATGAATCAGAGGATAATCTTGTATGCTCCCTCCAGATCTATCTTCATTATCCCTTACGTGGGTGATTCCGCCATGTCTGAGTGAAATTACAACAGAGAATGTATCTTCTCATCGGGCATTATTCTCCGGTGTTGCAGGAAACTTCAGCGCCATGGGCAACACAAATGCTGCAGCGTTACATGAATGACTAGTGTCTATTAGGCACAAGCAAATATTGGGGTTACAATGATAGAATATAGAGCAATAGTAAATTCAGGGAACTTGATCAGGAGGGATGATGCCTGAATTATTCAAGGTTTCAAGCAAGGCTTCTTCTAGGATCTTCAAGCTGCCTGGATGGCTTGGGAGAGTCTGAATATCAGGTTTATTCTGAATAGCAATGTATTGTTTTGGCCTAGCCAAATCTTTCATTGATTCATATGTCATGCTCGGGCGAGTAGTATATAGCCCAGTGGTACTAGTAAATCTCCCCTTGGGCAGTCAGTCATTGTACTACTACTACTAGTAGTAGTAGTAGCGTCAAACCTACTACCTAGGTACCAAATCCCACGACACAAGACAACCTGAGGATACTAGTATAAATCATAGACTAATAGTACTACTAGTATTAGATGCTACAACAAGAAGTTCTTTCTTTGCCAGCAAACCTTGGAATCTACTACCGCCCACTAGTACACACTTCTTGAAGCACTTTCGAATTTGCCATGCTTAATTTATCCTATTTCTACTACTACTTACTAGTACCTAGGTAGGTTTTAGTATTGACTGGGACCGCGCCGCATACTTGACGGAACAGCTGAAAATTTTATTTATCGCACTCTCTTGACCGTAGTTCGCTCTGTTGCTTCGACCTCCTGGCGCCGCGGATCCGTATGTTCTCTCTTATGTCTCTCGAGGAGAGCCAACTAACAATGCCGGAAACCAACGAGCAATAAGCGCTAGTTTGGATCTGAAAATCTCCATGGATATACTTATTAGTACCTAGTAGTATACCTTCAGGGCTACCTACCTAGGTAGTAAGCAGGTACCGTACCGTGACGCCTGCCAGTGCCACCAGTGCGCAACAGCCATGGATGCCAACATGCGCGAGAATCTCTGGCCCAGAGCCCAGCGGTTTTCCACCTGGGCAGGCGGCCCTCGAACCATGAAAGCAGGATACTTCCCAGGCGCGGCAATGATGCAAGACTTCAAGCCGATGCAGCAAATATGCGCCCATTTAATGCATTCCACGAACGATCCAACCGGGGCCCGCTGCGTCGAGGCGAACCACTATTGCACACATCTCACAAACAGTCAGCCCAGCTCTGGACAAAACTCGCCGTACTACTCGTGCTAGTACAGCCGGAGGGAAGGAACTCACCGAGAAACTTTTCTGGCATCTAGACGTCCGTCAATGTTTGATCTACGACTCACCCAATAAATGCCCGGCTCATTGGCGTTGAGTATATGGTCACCCCGCGCATCTTTAGGACGCTCCCCGAAGAAGAGCGCAAGTCATGGCACACGCATGAGTTCGAGGTCAAGAGCGGGATGCTCATCATGCCCGCGCCGGTAGGCATTGCCGCGCCAGCCTGGGATGCGGCGGACCTCGGGAGATGGCGGAGATGGAGGATATTATTCCCATTTACGGCAACTTGAAGAAAACATCATGATATAATATGTGGCAGGTTGATCGGGGCGATGTAGTGTCAGTGGAACCGCCGTAGTTGATGGGGAGCTTCACGTCACCCGAGAGCGTGAAAAAGGCTCGGAAGGTAGGACTAGTTAAAGGCACTGCGGAAGGAAAGAGACGAGAGGTTTGGCGTGGGTCACCGTCAGAAGGCGAAAAGGAGGGAGAGTATTGCAGTTGTTGATAAGCATCCAGGAATGGTGCCGTGAATTGTTGTACTATGTCATAATTTCAACTTGCCTGGATGCTCGTTCCACTGACAAGCAACTTTGCATAGATGCCGACCCGACGTGGACAGCTGTGAAACATAAATATCAATCGGATTTCCGTATCGTGTTCATAATATGGAACCGAAAGTTACAAGCTGATCGGAAATACGGATGTGGACGACATTCGAAAATATGGAATTGATTTGATTCATAACTGTAAACGTTGAGGAGATTGTCTCCCCACTGCACAAGCCTCATAGACCCAGTCCCATAGTTAAATGGGGTCGAGATGAGACAAGTTAGGGGGATGGCCTGTCATATAGACAGACCGGTCGTGTCAATCTTGCTTCGTTTTCCACACTTGCTCGTCCTGGTGCTGTATTTCGGCGACGGCAAGCTCTAGCATTGGAGAAGCGGTGGATCCCAACAGCGATAAGCTGAGAGACGGTGTATGGTTCAATTCTGAGAGATAAGGTGATGTGACCAGGTTCTCGATGGATGATCAAGGTACCCCTCTCTCAAAAGATCAAGACAACCCTGTGGAGAAATAGACCGAATCGAACAAGCGTTTCACACATTAATGAAACGCTGAGCCAATGGGTCGAAAATCATCCAAGATGGCAACAGCAATTGAGACAGCTTTCTGCCATTGCTGTGCTCATTGTGAAGAGCATGTAGTGACGGGGATGAAGAGGGGCCGCGGGAAAAAATCGATTAAATAGAGCAGTGCCACGTGACTCGGTCTCCGCAATGGCCGATAATCAATTCGGAATCGATTAGCAGCACGTCTAGAGCTCTGCGAAAAATCGAGGCATGCGCTCGCCGTTTCCCCAATGGAGAAGCTACTTCGATACGCATTAACAGTCAAGCCGGGCAGGTTTGCTCGCCTTGCACTCAATGGCGCCGGCACATTCTGCGCTTGCACCCTGGTTTGGGAGCACCTAGTGACTGTACAATCCAGCGAAGGTCCCTCGATGTACCCGACATTCAACCCACGCGGCGATTGGCTCCTCGTTTCACGACTGCATAGCAATGGAAAGGGAATAAAGGTCGGCGATATTGTGCGATTCAACCACCCAACCTTTTTGGGTGTACATGCTGCAAAAAGAGTGATTGGTATGCCGGGAGACTTTGTTTGTCGTGACCAGCCACTCAGTACGGAAGCTGGAAAACAACCGGATATGATTCAGGTATGGCGATATTCATGATTACCCGAAGATGCACCTTAGTTCAGAACTAACTGAATTTGTGTTGATATAGGTTCCCGAAGGACATGTATTCCTCGTTGGCGATAACCTACCCTGGTCAAGAGATTCGAGAAACTACGGCCCCGTCCCTCTGGGTCTGATCAATGGGAAAATCGTGGCTCGCGTCTGGCCACCGTCGAAGATGGAATGGGTCAAGAACACTATGCAGCCGGCTGAACTGGACGACTAAGCCTTACGCGATGGGTTGAGCATTTACACGGAGTTTGGTGCCTTGTTTTCAAAAGGAATTGGTCTGCTGTGCATATTCATACATATTCACTTGTACAATACAAATCTATACTCAAACGGCGCCTGGAAAGGAGATATAGTAAACAGGAATCAAAAATTACCTGAACGAGGAAGGGTTTCTGCGCTTGTAGGGAAGAGGCTCGACCTTCTTCCGGCGAAGCTCCAGTTCCACTCCCTCGAAACCGATCTGGTTCATCACCTCCAGAGTGGTCTCGTCAAATTGGGTGCGGAAAAGGTGCGCACCAATAGCCTTGAGATGGTAACGGGCCTGGATGGTGCGGAGGAGGGTGTTGTCGCGGTCGGCCTCCTTGGCCTTGACAGCCGCAAAGTCGAGAGCTTGCGCATCCTTTTGCTCCATGATGAGGACGGAAAGGCGGTGGTAAGGGCTACCCTTCTGAGCAACAGGAGGTAACCAGGGGAGAACGACCTGGGAGTCTTCGGAAAGCTGGCCGAGGTCGATCTTGGTGTTGACGGCCGAGATGGGCACGTTTACGGCAAGATAGTGCGTCTTATAGTCGAAGCTATCGGCCTCCACATTAGGGACATCGGAGTCGACAACAGCGATAGTAACGAGTTTCTCGCCACTCTCGAACATCTGCACGTCCAGCTTAGGGGCGCTCGTGCTCACGTTCGCGAGGACGTAGTCACCAGCCTGAACTTGGCGCTTGCCGAAGTACAGCTTGGTGTCGACAACGGGGTCGCAGTGAGGAAGGACATCGGGGATGACATTCATTTGTGTGATACGCTGGACGAGGATCTTGCGGCGGTACTCCCGCCATTTTCGGTCAGCCAGAAAACGGTAGATGGGCTTGCTCATATCGCCTATGAGAAAGCAAATTAGCACCAATTCCCTAGAATACCGAAAGTTGAGGCCTTATCGAACATACCTTGACCATCTTCGAATTTGCGCTTGACTAGGGGGGTCATTGATGTCGGCATGAATCTTAAGTTGCTCCAAGTGCAATTGCATCGCTCCCAAGCGAGACTTTCGTGATTGCTCTCCTCCAGCCTCTTCGGTCGAAAGATCCTTAACTCTCGCGATTCTTTGTCTCATCTTCTCAATTTCCTCGAGCTTCTCACTTCGGTCGGCAAGAAGAACATTTCGCGCTTCTTGGAAGCATTGGTAGGGGAGCTGCTCGAAGGGAATGTTGGGGGAGCCCTGCAGCGCAGCACGTCGACGACGGGAGCCAATTGGAGTGGTACCCTGTCGCATAAGACGTCTCTCTAGGCGAGGGCTTGAGACAAGCTCAGGATCGAGGTTCTTATGGAAAGGTTGGCTCTGTTCGGATTGAGCCTCAGCAACGCCGGCTGTTGACTGGAAGCCACGTGCCTGGACCTGGAGGCTCGACAGGCTTTTGGTGTAAGAGCTGCGAAAGCATTGAAGCAGCGGCCTAGATGCCCGCTCGCAATGGGCCATGGTGTGAGAATCCCGTGGTTGGATTGTTTGGGGGTGGAGGTCGAGGGTTGGCAAGTTGTTTGACCCGGGGGAACATTTTCTCGTCGCCGCCAAGACTTCTGCTAGTCGTCACCGCCTAGTCAACTTTTGCTCCTAAACTTATCCAAAGGCTTGGAGGCAGCACATCAATCAGACCACACAACTCTATCACTGTCGTTCTTCTTCACAATGCCTGGCAGTGAGGCTTTCAGAGCACTTAGGCTGCTCTCACGCGCATCAGGTGGACTTTTGTCGGGGTCGGAGGCCGTCACGGTATGACCATTGAACCTTCATTTTTGTTCGCGCGATGCAGATCGCCTGAATGAGTGGCAGGGATACAGCTCGCTAACCCATACTCGTTACAGCGACGATGCCTTACTCGTTCAATGGCCACTGAAGGCCAAGCCAATGCTTCATCCACGCCCGATCTCTCGAAAACTTCGCCATTCGCTCCATGGGACGCCCCAGTCCAAGTCATGACCTACAACTTTCCTTCCATGGAGCCCACCCGTCTCGTGGAATACTCCCAGAAACAATTACAGATGCCCATTCGGAAAGATATTCTTCACCGCGCAGTTATCTATGAAGGTGACATGACCCGGCAAGGAACAGCCAGCACGAAGTGGAGGGGTGACGTTCATGGTAGCCACCGCAAGCTCATGGCACAGAAGGGCTCTGGCCGTGCTCGTGTGGGCCACAAGCAGTCGCCAATTCGAGTGGGTGGTGGTGTTGCCCACGGTCCTCATCCTCGTGATTTTTCGACCGGACTACCTGCTAAGCTCTACGACCAAGCATGGCGCATTGCTCTCAGCTATCGATTTGCGCGCGGCGAATTGATCGTTATCGACAACAACATTGCCATTCCTTCCAAGTCCACGCCTTTCCTGATGGAGCGTATTCTGAAGGAACATGGCTGGAACACCAAGAAGGGTCGTTCAACTTTGATCACCGCCGACTTTGACGAGGAGTTGTTTGATACGATGGACAAGTTGAAAAGATTCGCGACACTCAGGGATAGCAGTGAGGTGGATGTGAAGAACCTGTTGGAGACTGAGCGATTGATCATCGAAAAAAGGGCGCTGGACCGGTTCTTCCAGTGGCACTCGCGGGATTTGAAGAGTAAGCCCTCCAAGGCACGTTACCTGGACCTGTGAAAGGCTTGATCTGGGAGCGGACATGTGCATTTATATCTCTTTCTTTCGTTTCTGTATTCTGGCCAATCTGTACAAATAGAATATCTACTACAATTACCACTTCTACAACACCTACTAGTATCGCTTGATGCGGGAAGAGACTCTTAATAGTCCTTTGTCGAGTAACAATATTGTTGACTGTAAATCGATGGAAATCCATTGAATCACTGGTGTGGAAGATTATAATATAATTTCCCCATCTCTCTCCCGATGATAATACAAAACATTACCCCTGGTGTAGTGTTGAAGGCTACCTTAAGGTACTTTAAAGGCGGCTATCTGCGGACGCGGTCAACTGTCGCGCAGGCGGAGAAGTGGCCCTCGGACCGGAGAAAATCCAGTCCAAAAAACTCCCGAGGTCGACGGTAAAGCGGAGAAACATCTGATCGTCCATTATAATCCTACCCCCTCTCCGTCGTTTTTTCGGCACCAGTCTTCTTCATGCTGCTGCGAAACTCATTCTCACGATTGCCCTCGCCGCCGAGCTGGATCTCGCGGGTCTCATCGCCAGCAATGCCTCTACGCGCCAAGGTGACCAACCCTGCCTTCAGGGCAACAGCTTCGGTGAGTCCACGAGAAGAATCTATAGTGATCCTGCGGGAGATGCTAATGGCTGCAAGCTGTCAACAACTCCCGAAATTCCCAAGGAACTCCCCGGCGACGAGCCTGACGATGTCCTGTTCAACTCTATTTACGGCCTCCGCAGCGTCGAGCTCAACCGACCCAAGAAGCTTAACTCCCTGAATGGCTCCATGGCCCGAAAGATCTTCCCCCGCTTGAAGGTGAGCTGGTCTTGAATACACAGGTTGGCGGGTATGCTAATGGTTGGAAATACAGGAATGGGAAAAGTCTCAAATCGCGAACATCGTCCTCATCTCGGGAGCAGGATCGAAGGCGCTTTGCGCTGGCGGCGACGTCGCTGCTCTGGCTCTTCAAAACGAACAGGGACCAGAGGGACAAAAGGCTTCGACAGACTTCTTCGGACTCGAATTTCGCCTTGACCACACCATTGCCACATACTCCAAGCCGGTTATCTCGTTCATGGACGGTATCACCATGGGCGGCGGTGTCGGCCTCAGCATGCACGCCCCCTTCCGAATTGCTACCGAGCGCACAGTTTTCGCCATGCCCGAGACAACCATCGGTTATTTCCCCGACGTCGGTGGTTCATTCTTTCTTCCACGCCTGGACGGTGAGACTGGTACCTACCTGGCTCTGACTTCCGAGCGCCTGAACGGTGTCCAGGCCCTGTATTCTGGCATTGCTACCCACTATTTGCACTCCAGTGTTCTCAGCAACGTCACCCAGCGTCTGTCCGAGCTGGTTTTCCCCGACCATGTTGGTCTGCCCGAGCGACTGCAAACCGTGAACAAAACCATGGCCGAGTACTCGCTTGGTCTTCCGTCTCTGCAGGAGGAGCCGATCCTTTTGGCTGGTGAACTGCGCAAGGCGATTGACCGTTGCTTCAGCTTCAACACCGTTGAAGAGATCTTCGCGGCTCTGGAGGGCGAGACTGAGCAGAAGGAATGGGCCGAGAAGACCCTCAAGACTCTCTCCAGCCGTTCTCCCACCTCCTTGAAGGTTACTCTCCGCCAAATGCGCCTCGGCAAGAAGTGGAGTATTTCAGAGACTTTCCAACGTGAGCACCAGGTTGCCGCCAATTTCATGCGGCACCCCGATTTCGTTGAGGGAGTGAAGGCTCGACTGATGTCTAAGCCCCCCCGCCAAGCAGAGTGGCAACCAGCCACTCTGGCTGAAGTCTCAAATGAGACTGTTGAGTCCTTCTTCGCTATCCCCGAAGGTGAAAGCCGCCTGGAGCTGTTGAGTGAGAGTGATTACACAAGCTACCCACACGAACAGCTCGCCCTGCCTTCGGAGAACGAGATTGAGAAATTTGTCCGTACCCACGGTACATCAGTTTCTCAGGTCACCAGCGAGTTCGCTCAACGGTGGAACCAGAAGGAGGGTGTCCGCGAGAAGGTCTCCGAGGTCCTGGCTCGCCGGACGAAGCGAACCGAGAAGGGTATTGAGTGGGTTTAAAGAGCGAGAGTCCTATATGGCAGCATGTAATTTTTATTTCGATGGCGAGAGCTTTTCCGCCGCCCGTATGTATTAGAATTTACCCCAATTTTCCGTTAACCCATCATGCTGCATTCAATCAATGCCATTTGCGCACCATATACGACAGGATGTAAGGTGAGGCCTATAGAGTATCCACAGAGACCAGGCATTGTAGGAAAAGCTTGTTCGTATGGCCCAATTAGGTTCGATCCAATGGCGTTATCAGCCCACTCGGCATCGGCACTCCCAAGGTTCCCGTCCTAGTCCCAACACTTTGTTTGCTCTTGACCCTAACGTCCACTTCACTGAAACTTCACGAAGGACGGAGTTCGCAATCTGCAACATTTGATAACATATAGGGGCTTCAATGAATGATACAATCATATCATGACGAACGAACAAAGCCTTCTAGTGACCAGTCACTCGTCAACGGGCGAGAGGGACGACGTAATTTCCCCTCCCAATTCTAATGGGAATACGTCTCAACCAGAACCCAATGGCTCTGCACTGGAGACTCGCTCAGTTCTGAGACGACTCTATGTGTCTCACAGTCTTTCGGCATGGAATTCGCGGATGTTTGAGTTCGGCGCAGTCCTCTTTCTGGCTTCTATCTTTCCCGGAACTTTGCTTTATGCCTCGATCTACGCCCTCGTTAGATCGCTTGCTGCTGTTGCGCTTTCATCGTGGCTAGGTGCAAAAGTTGACAGTGCCGACCGGTTGGTTGCTCTGAGACATTCGATTGGTAGGTTATGTTTCTATGTGGGTGAAGCTCAGGTTGGTCTCATTCACTGATCTCTCTCATCTAGTCTGGCAAAGGGTTCCTGTGGCGGTGTCTTGTTTTTGCTTCATAGTGCTCTTCAAAATTGCTGGATCTCGGGGGTTTTCCTCGACTTTATTTGTCTTTGTTAGCTTCTTGGCCTGTGTTGAGAAGTTAGCGGCGGCCGCCAATACAATGGCTGTCGAACGAGATTGGGTACGTTTGAGGGGTCATCGAACATTGCTGCATCAAGCCTTTGCTGATTAATTATCCTTCAATAGGCTATTGTTATATCAGAAAGCATCGATGTTCCCCGACAGGGTAAGTTTCCCCAAAGTTGTCTTTGCCTCCAGGTTTTCCAACAACACTAATGACTATTGCAGACTTGAATGCTTCAATGAGACGAATCGACCTTTTCTGTAAATTAGCCGCTCCTGTTTTTATTTCCCTCGTTCACAGTTTTTCGGCCCGAGTGGCTATCTGGACAGTCCTTGGACTGAACACGGCTTCCGTATTGGTCGAATATATGGCCATCGCTCAGGTATACCGAGCAGTTCCCAACCTGAAAAGGAGCTCTGCAGCTATTCTGCAAACCGAGGCTTTGGACGAATTCACAACACAAACCCAACCTCACTCGCCACGCAGTCTCATGAGCCGGCTGTCAGATACCTTAGCACCATGGCAAGAATTCGGGACAAGCCGGGTATTTATGGCCTCATTTGCCTTGAGTCTCCTATATCTGACGGTTCTGTCATTCGGAGCTACAATGGTCACCTACCTGCTCCATAGTGGATTTACCCCACTGGAGGTTAGCTACATGCGCATTGGTTCAGTTGCAGCGGAGCTGTCTGGAACATGGATTGCGCCCATTATCATGAGTCGCATTGGCCCAATCCGATCTGGACTCTGGTTCCTGAATTGGCAGTTTTGTTGCGTGGCTGGTGCCGCTGCAGCATATGTACCTTGGGATTCGAATTCCCGATTAGTTGCAGGGTGTCTCGTTATTGGAGTCGCCTTTAGTCGGATAGGGCTCTGGGGATTCGACCTATCTGTCCAGTTCCTCGTGCAAGAGGTGAGTAGTAATGATGTCTAAATTGGAGCTTCCTGTTGCTCATGCTGACTTGTAAACTATAGAATGTCGAAGAGCATGCCCGAGCACGGTTCTCGGCCACCGAGATGGCCTTGCAGAACATCTTTGAGATGTTGTCTTTCGCGTCTACTATTGTGTTTTCTCGTCCCGAGCAATTTCAATACCCAGTTATGATCAGTTCGGGAGCAGTCGCAGTAGCAGCGATCTGCTTTGCAGCGTATGTGCGCAAGGAGCGAGGGCATTTGCTGCATCGATCCAAGTGTATAGGAGGGGACAAGGTGCATTACCGGCCGGTGGAATCGGCAGCATAGTTAATATTTGCATCACATAGAGATACAATTTGTTAAAATCAGAAGTATCTTGTGGTACCTGAGATAATCTAGATATTAAAATCGAAATCCCAATCCCGATCTACCAAGTACAAGCACCTCCTTACCACGTGGAGTCTGAGCGCAGTGCATATCATTGCTGCGATCGCTGTCGGATCATCCCATTTCTTTTCATCCTGGGAACAATCTGGTGAATGGATTGAATCTAGCCATGGCAGCTACCGCTAGTATTCATCATCATAAGCATCACATCACATCACATCACATCATAGCAAAATCTCACCCGTGGCGCCATCGAGCTCGTCATCCTCGCACCATCGACAACCGTGGGACCGAAATTGCGGGGAAACTGGCCACCGCCGTTCCTGACACAACAACAATGCCTCTGAACCCAAACCTGGGTTCGTTCCATCATGGAGGTACGGTCCTTCGCAACACATTTCCGTCTTTCTCGACTAACACCTTCGCTTCACAGGTACCGAAAGCCCAGGGAGCTGGTAGATCAGGCCCGCGCCGCCGCACCGGCTGCTTGACATGTAGAGCTCGCAAAGTGCGATGCGACGAGGCCAAACCGAGCTGTGCAAACTGCGACCGCTTGCGTCTTCGATGTGTCTTTAAGCCCCCGATTGCATATAGAGACTCGCTGAGTTCCTCACCTCATCGGTCTCGCAACTCGATCACCGGCCTGCAGGGCATTTCCTCCCAAGGCGCTCCGACCCCGGCCCTGGGACCTGCATCTGCTGCAGCGGCAATCGCAGCAGCAGCAAATGTCTCACAGAGATCGCCAGACCTGAATTTCTTCAATACCGTGTTGCGCTCGGATGATCACCATCGAACAGTCCCGGCGATGGCAGCACCCACCGATACCGAACCATACCCTGCACACCTGGAAGGACCTTTCGATATGCTCGGATTCATGGGAGGAATCACGTCGGAGCTGGAACAAAAACACCTCAATTTGACAAGTGGTCTGGAGGCGTTCACTGGGAGCCCTTCACAGGCAATGACCGATGAGTTCGCTATGAACGGAGCAGGAGAAAGTCAATTTGGAACTGAGCAACGATCGTCCTTCAGTCCCGATGGATCCTCTCCCTTGACAGATGGAGCTTCGATTGGAGATGTATCCGATGCCGCGACGCGGCGTAGTTGGTCTGATCCGGGCACCACTTCGTACGAAGACCAGCTCCTCCAGCACTTTTTGTCTATTGACCCACCGGCCGTCATCTTCGGTCCGATCAATATGGAATGGAAATATGTCCGTCCATCCGTTCTGGATCATTCCCGGGACTTTAGCCCCCTTCTGAATGCGATATACTGCTATTCAGATGTCCATAAAGCTGTAACGGAAGGCAAACAATGGCGCTGGGCGCCGACGTATTTTCGAGTAGCCAGTTCCGAGATCCATGCATCTTTATTGGGGGATGTGTCCGAAGCAACCTTGCTCAAGGTGTTTGCGGCGGTATTTTTCTTGATGCTATCTGAGGTTTGTGTTCCCCGTGTTGTTGGGGCATGTTCAATCCTTGAAGCGGACACTAACACCCGACCAGTTATTCTCATCTCCCGACATTTGTGCAGCAGGTACTTCTTATCTTCACTCTTCATATCTTATATTACAACGATTTAGTGATCGTACCCGGCAATGGACTGGACTTGGACACCTCCTGGTCTCGTGGGTTTCACTTCTCGATGTCAAATCCCTCATTGCTGGCCGTGACGGTGACCTATTGACCGAGATGGGAAATCTTCCTGAGGACAAACCCAAAAACAAGCCACTGGAAGTACAGAGCACGACCGAGCCTCGTATTATTGAGTCGCCGGGGGAACACAAAGAAGAAGAAACGAAAGATGGCCTCTTCCGTAGCCCCAGCTACTTGGTCTATCAGGCCATTGTGGGCCCAGCATTTGATTTCTTCGTACAGGCACAGCAAGTTGTTCGACGCATAATCTGTATTGATTTACACCACCGCAGTCGTGGAACACTGAGCGACGAATTCGAGGTGCTCCAGATCGCACACAAAGTTGGCGCCGACCTCGAGACCCTTTGGCACCGCCGACCCTCCGTGATCGACGTATATGGGCAACCGGAAGCCCTGCATGATACACTTTGCGCCCCAGTTGCACTTGAAGTCTGTCGTACTTTCAGACAATATGTGGCAAATTTCTTGGCAAATTTCATCTACCTCCACCGAGTCGCCTTTGCAATTTATCCTCGAACAGACCGTGTCAACGGCGCCGTCGACAAGATTATCCAGCTAGCTACGATCGAATCAGCGGGGTCTCTACCTGGTCATTTACCGGTCAGCTTCATGTGGCCAATCTTCATCGCAGGTCTTGAAGGTTCGCAGGACCAACGCCAGTGGATTGTCCAAGAGATGCAACGCATGGCAGCCGCACGCGAGAATGAGCCGGCCACGTCGATTTCACGACATCCCTCGGCTGATAAGATTCTCTTATTGCTGGAAGAAATGACTCGTAGGCAAGATGTCTCACGATCTTGGGCGGATTCGCGGTGCGTGAGACGGGAACTATTCTCAAATCCGTTTGTCATCATTTGAATTCTGCTTCGCTCAACTTGATGTCCATATTATACCCTCTAGAAGAAAGAATATTTCATGCAATGAACAATATATTAGAACTGCTTCAATCTGAAAATGTTATCGTCCAAGTCTACATTCGAGAGCGACAGGATACTACTAACCATCCGCCATATTTTGCCTCCCTTCAGTCCTATAAACTAGGTTACCTTGGCGGGTACAGCGTCATACGGGTTTAATACTACATTAGGCTCAAACTTGAAATGTACGACTACTAGTTAAAGATTTAACGAAAGTATTCATTTGAATCATGATGTTAAAACAATCATCTCGACAACGAAAAGAGCAATATAATATCATATTGAGACAAATTTGGGTGAAGGTGCAAAACAATTTGTGCCAACCCGGGTAGGTTCGTTCATCCCACAGTTTACAAATCAGAGCCAGAATTTGCTGGAGGCTCAGTCTTTTGCGAACTAGTGATTGAAGAGAGACGCCATCGAAGAATAGACCTTGACGTTCAGACCAGCCGACCAAACAGACTTCTGGCCATTGTTGACAGTGTACGCAATCGATTCTGCGACCTTGTCCTTGGCTCGCTTTTCGAACCAGAATACGTGCTTCCAATCGATGAACACTTCGTAACCATCGCCCTGATCGTGGACAAGGATAGATGGCTTATCAGTCCGGAATCGGCCTTCGAGACTGACACGAGCTTCCTTACCCCAGTTGCCGTCAATCCTAGAGTTGAAGACGATGGCGTTCTCAGCACGGCGGATGGAAAGCAGGAACAGGATGTTTCCTTCACCCTTCTTGCCGTCGGTGAAGTAAAACTGGGTGTTGTCAATGCCCTTGGTCTTCGCAGGAGTCAAGTTCAAGCTAGTTGAGTCAATCAAGACGACAGCATCGGCCTTGACAGACTCCTTGAATGTCCTGTTAGTGTTGACCTTGAGAGAAGCCTTAGGGATCTTAGGGACGGCAGGAGGGGGCACAGCGATGGGCTGCTTCAGGTGTGGGCTAAGAGCACCGTCCTTTCCTCCGGAGATCGTGGGTTCCTTCGCAAAGTTTTCCAAGAGAGGAGGCTTGCTCGCATCTTGGAAAACGGTCGTGTCGTTGGTGGCTCCGATGATCTCGAGATCAAGAGGGTCAAGTTCATACGAAGGTACTTCCTCGCCTCCTCGAGTCACTCTCCAGTAAACTCTTTCTTGGAGGAACTTGAGAACATCGGGCTTCTTAAGACTGAGCAAGTCCCTGCCAGTCTTGGCTAGGCTGAGAAGCACCGGCGTGATGGAGATATTGGCGTTCACCTTCAGGCCATTCTTATCGTTACCCTTGCAGTTGGCACATGCAAGCTTTCCTGCCGCGTCTTGTGGTCTCTGACTGAAGTTGTAAACTTCAGTTAGCAGGTCAGTAGAGGGGGTCTGTTTAGTTCCATCCTGAGACAAGTAGATTCGAACCCAGAAAGGATCACCACCAAAAGCGTACTTGCGGAAGCGAACACTGAAAGAGAAGTCAAGTGCTTTACAGCTGTCCTGCAGGACCTCGACACCTGCCAAGCTAGAGCCAGCATCAAGCAAGGTTTTTCTTGAGACTCCATATAGATCATTGATGGTCGTCTGGAGATCTGCTTGGAATTTCTTGTTGTCGTAGCCTGGCTGCTCGTACTTCCACGTCTGCAACTCCGGATATGTGTGACCAGTCTTAAAAGGATAACGAACGTCGGAAGAAACCATGAGAGTTCCCCCAACATCCTTGTGAAACGGTCGCAGACCAGTCTCGGGAGTAATTTCGGAACCCTCAGGTAGACCGATAGCATCTTGTAGGAATTCATTGACCTTGGAGGAGGTGAACCACTTGTCCGGGTTTTTGGCTTGCCACAAGGCAAAGAGACGATCAGCGTTACTATGCATTTGGTTAGCAAGAGACTACAGATATTGATCTCGCGAGAGGAATTCATGTCAACTAACCAATGGAGGAGCCAGAACGAGGGATCGAAAGCCGCCATGGGGATCTGAGACATATGACCCATGTGTTCACCTCCAACCCAACCGTGAATGTTATTATGAACTATTGAAATATGTCAGCTCCGTACTAGTAGCTCATACTGAGGGTTATCAACTTGAAAGAATGAACACATACTATACTCCAGATTAAGATCCTTTTCGACGGGGTGGTCACCCTCTTGCAGGCCAGTTGTAGCAAAGGTGAGGTAGTCCATTTCAACATTGAGTAGACGGTGAACCATCTCAGAAGCATGGCCATACTCTCCTCCTCCGTCCCACTTAGGGGCCGTCAAAGCGTCTCGCACCTTTGAGTTGTTGACCACACCATATTTCCATGTCGCTGTACCTGAGGCATTATCGCCCTCTTCAGGCTGGCGACTGGTTGCAATACATTCGCTGAACTATTTTCAGTTAGCTGGATTCCGAAATACCTCAGGTTGGTGCCGGTGACATACATAAAGCTTCTGCTTGGCATCGTGATCCCACTCGGTCACAAAGTCCACCACACCGGCGCAGCCCATAGGCTTGTGGTTTGGCATGCGGAACTGGAAGAGCGGGTTGGGAATATTGTACGTAGTATCCTTGCCGTCGAAGGTTGGAACAGCAATGGTGGGATACTTGCACAGCTCGGGAACCGTGAACTGAGCACCGAAGTCCCAGAAAGGGAGACGCCATTGTTGAGCAAGTTCAGTCCAATCTTCGCGATCCTCCTCGGGGAAATTGGGGATAATTTCAAGCATGCACTCATAGATACGTTGCTAGATAGATGTCAGTCAAGATCACTATGGTCTCAAATGGGAATGATTACCTCGTAGAGAGCCAAATAAGCACGATGCCAGATTGGAAACAGGATGTTGTTGTGAGTACAGTATCCCTTGCCCTCTGCCTCCTTTGGGTCAATGGGCTCATCCCATAGTACATTAGGTTGTCCATGAATTCCTGCAGCCTGGAAGTATGAATCCCGATCCGAGGGGTCGATCTTCTGGTAGCGATCTAGACCCAACACAAACAACTGAACTTGCTTCAGATTATCAGGGTCTTTGCTCCATGTGTCGATATTCTGACGGATGGGAACCGGGGTATCGAATCCGATGCTTGGAAGGTCAAGATCTCCGACCGGAACACCGGTGATGGGATAGTACTTGTGGTCGGGTGCAGACATCTTACTGAATCGTGACGATGAAGATGAACTCCTCAACGACCTTCGTGATCTTCTCGGGTCTTGATTGGGATGAATGAAGGGTTTGAGAAGAAACATCTGGGAAACCTGCGTGCCTAGGTGGCGTATTATTTATATTCAGAATTCTTAGACCAAGCAAGAATTAAGTATCATATTTCACCTCGATTGACATCAGCTAGGTCACAGCTGCAGCTGTGAGGATGCAGGGGCTAGCTGGGAAAAAGCATACCCCTCTCAGTTGTGTGGTATACGATACCCACACCTGCATAAAAACAAAACAATATATGCAGAAGCACTTGTATCACAGCATGTCCCAGCTGTATGTACAGTGGGGAAGAAAAGAAAATTAAGATACCTCGGAATGAAATCAAGCCACTAGAGATATTGCGAGCCAAATAGCCGAAGTTCTGTGGCGGAACGATCTGAGCACACGTGTCTGTCAGCTTTTGGTGAAGAAACTTGCCAATTTGAACGAGAACAAAGCGAAAGAAGTACGATTATCTGCATGATTTTGATGGGGTCGACAATTTGCCTTTGGTGGCAGCTGCCGATCAATGTCTGGGAGCTCAGCTCGCCACTATTATGGCTGAGAGGCGTGTTACACGAGGAGCTGTGCATAGCAAGTAGGGTGCGCTCATCCTGCATGCTGCATGATGCATGATTCGCAATGCATGAACCCGCATATTTACGCCCAATCAACGATGGAGCAGCTTTGTTACCGTGGCTAATTAGCGTGTTTGTTATGCCTTTGTAAAAAAAGCAAAAAACAGACCAGTGGGATACTCTGTACAGCTCAATAGTCCAGCCTATGTTCCACCCTCGGCCAATGTGAACCACGACATTCATGCACGAATCTGCGCCATAAGTACTTTGTGGATGATTTAGCGCGTAAGACTCGGAGTGTAGCTAGGCTGGCGCAGCTGATGCTGGCAACTCAGGTATCCCTTGCCTTTTGAATGAGTCGATAGTATGGCCTTTCTCAGTACTCATAGCTTTAATTCTTAAATCTGTACTCCGCACTCCATACTTCAATTTCTAACCTGCATAGAGTCAGATGCCTTTTTTGGTCACGGATTATAGCCTAGACTGATTAAAAGCTTCAACGTCATCTGCGGTTAGCAGTCAAGGGGCCTTCACAGGGTCGCAATGATTGGAGTTGGGAGGGGCCATGTCTTGAATTCGCATCATAAGTCAATGGCGGAGACTACTAAATATGTCGTCATGGGTGGTGTCAAAGTCATGCACAAGGTTAAAGATACTATTTACTAGTGCTTTGTCGGCTCGATCCCATGCACAGGGCCAGAAATCGGGTTGCCTTTCGTAACACAAAGAGGTGGCCAATACGCACGCTTTTTTCAGATGGATCGCGAGGGGCTCCCAATTACTCCTTACGATAATCACTTGAAGATATTTCATTAAAAGTGTCTAGGTTCTCCGTACTCCGTAGATGCCCCATATTAATGCATTGCCTTCCAAATCAATGTTTATAGCATAGAATGCTTCCAACTAGGCACATACTAGCATTAAGACATTAAACAGGAGCTCAAAGTTGTTATTAGCAAATCCATTGAATCTGAAATACTCTTAATTTAGGCTTCACCCAATCACTGAGCGCCATCGGCCGTTTTAGATGGAAGGTAGCCATCCAGCAAAGGATGTCTACCAAAATATTGGATTTTCACAATTTATGCCCATTTCAAGTCCCTAGCTCCCCCCCCCCAGTATCCACTAATTCCAGCTCGTCAAAATTGATAGTCTTAGATTTAAATATTTATTTAAAATTACAACCTAATTTGGGCTAGCAGCATTTGCAATGTCGTCGTTAATTTGTTTTGCCCAGCGGTATAGTGGCCAATGCCCCGAATTTTGACCACCGGAATAAGCGAATGGGCCATTATGACCAGAGTAAGTGAATTTCGATTTTCAATAAGCCCCAGGGAGTTGTTTTGTAAGAGAACAGGCCATGTGGATAGGACACACAAGAGGTCAAATGCTGGCGTGTATATAGTTGAGAATAGAATATATGCAAATATGTATTACTAGTATGTACTACTAAAGAACGCGGACCACGGTGCATAGTCACAGAGAAATTCTAGTACTGACTACATTGATTCACTGCATCGAGCACCAATATTTGGACGTACCTAGATACCACGATTTCGTAACAAATGACCACTCAATATTTGACTTACTTCCTTTGCGCCCCTAGAGCTATCAATACTACTAGTACCTTCATCAGGCTCCTGGTTTTTCTTGTCGCTTGATCCTGCGGCTTGGTCTTGCCGCCGTTAAATACGGCCAATGTACGCTCAGTGGTGCCGACCAGGGGACGAGGTGGTTAAATTAAGGTGAGTGAACGTATTTCTAGAATCAGAACACATCTACTTCCTCTTGTCTACAACCCTTTACTGGTTCACTTCCACGAGACCGCACAATATATATACTAAATCAGGTCTATTTTCATATATTCATCAAACGAGGTATCGTTACAATAAAATCGCCAATGCAGTCCCTAGAATGGTTTCACCGTTCGCTGAAATCGAGGAGGCTCACGAGTGAACTTCTCAGGCGTATCGCGCGCACCTTCTTTCCAGTAATCAAACTCCATCCATGCATTTTCAGGCATTTGTGCCTCAGTCGCTTCCAAGAAGTCTCCCAGATCGGGACAGAGAGGAATGATACCAGTCTCTAGAACATACTGATCCCACATCTTGAGGAGTGTTTTCAGCTTCTCAGGCTCCTGATCTGCTAGATCATGTATCTCACCGGGGTCCTTGGCGAGGTTGTAGAGTTGCCATTTTTCGGGACCCTTGGGCTTGGGAATGAAGACGATTTTCCAGTCTGCGCAGCGTAGCGCGGCCCGGCCGCAGGTTTCCCAGCCTTGGATGAAGTCCTTCGGATGGATACGTTCGGACTCGCCGATGGCCCAGGGGTGGAAGCTACGGCCACGCATGGAGACAACTTCACGGCCCTGGTAGCTCGGGGCCGGGTGCTTGAGACCGGCCATGTCCAGGATGGAGGGTGCAAGATCCATAACGGTAGCGAACTGGTCGGTAATACCACCGGGTGTTACGCCTTGTGGATTGAGGTTGACATTCTTGGGAAAGCGGCATGTAAAAGGGACGCGGACGCCACCCTCAGTTGTGTAGGCTTTGTAGAGGCGGGAGGGGGCTGTAGCAGCCTGCGCCCAACGCGGACCATACCAGATAAAGGAGTTACCGTTGCCCAAGTTCTCGAGGCTGTTATCGTAGTACTTCTGTAGGTGAGGCATCACGCCGTTCTGCACCATTGGGTAGGCCTCGTACGCGGCACCCTCGGCACCATTGTCGGACATGAAGCAGACAAAGGTATTGTCTAGCTCGTCGATCGAGCGCAGATATTCGACTACCTTGGCCACGTTACTATCAATGCATTCCACCATTCCAGCAAAGACTTCCATGGCAGTTGCGGACTTCTTCTTCTCATCGGGAGTAAAATCATCCCAAGGCTTAACTTCCTCAGCGTTGACTGGGTGTGCTTCAACATCGTCTCGGATCATACCCAGCTCCTTCAGGCGTTGCAGTCGCTTCTGGCGCAGCACATCAGGGCCTTCATCATACACACCACGATAGTGATCAATGTATTCCCGAGGAGCCTGCAGAGGCCAATGAGGGGCCGTGAAAGGCAGATATCCAAAGAAAGGACGGTCACCATTACCATCAGGACCTGCGCTGCCACCACTCTCCTTCCACTCGCGTATGTAGTCGACCATCTTGTCACCATAACCATCGGACGAGTACCAGTCATCTGGCAGCTTGCGCACGTACTCGCCATCTTCCATATGCAGAGCGATATACGAGGCTTCGATAAAAGTCGGGATCTGGTCCTTGTCTCGCAACTCGGGTTCGTAGGCGTAGTGGTTGGAGCAGGCGGGCAGGTGGGCGAAAGATCGAACGAAACCACGCTTGTGGGGGGGATCTCTCCGGAGTTAGACCTAAATGCCACTTTCCAGACATAATTGTGTGATATCCACCGTCACGGAGTAACTCCGGTAGTGCAACGACCCGTTCATTTAGGTACCCCTCGTATCCGGGCATGCCACGCTGAGGAGCCGTACTCATAGCAGATCCCTTGGGACCGTTCTGACCAGATATGTTGGTCCATTCAATAAGATTACCGAGACCAGCAATGTGGTGGTCGGTACCGGTCATGATCATTGCTCGCGTGGGACTAGAAAGTTGGCATTTTCAGTTTCGGAGGGTACTTCCAGAACCGAACTGAGTTGTGTATACTTACGAGCATGCCGCAGCGGCGTGGAAATCCGTGAATCGTAGACCTTCCTTTGCGATCTGGTCGATATTGGGGGTGCGAATCTCGCCTCCAAAACAGCCCACGTCGGAGAAGCCGAGATCGTCGGCAACGACAACGAGGAAGTTGGGGCGTTTGGCCATGGTGAGGGACCGAGGAAGCAAGTAGAGGAGTCGAAGGAGATGGAGACGAGTTTATTCTCCGGTCAATGGCTCAGAACGGAGTTCGACAAAGGACTGGAAGCAATGGAGGGGGAGAAAAGTGAGGAGGGGGTAGACGTGCATATGCAGTCTTATAGCGTCGGAACAAGCACTTACAGTAGCACTCGGCCTCAAGGCCGATCCTCTGTGCCATAGGCATAGACATACCCCTTGTCCTAGATCGCCCCTCGCTCCTCGCCATCGCGAATCCACATTTCGTGCTCGGCTGGGATCAATCGCTAATCGGCCATCGGCTCCAGTGGATTTCCTCCAGAGTGGAGTCGAATCCATCTTTCACAGCACTGTGGTAATCGGCTGTTTTGTTACATGCGGGGGAAGCTATTTCCCCGCAATTTGGATCGGTTACTTTGGTCACATCCAGTATTGATTACTTGCATGTCCGATAACTTTGTGTGTCTACAGTATGTAGATCGACTAATTAGGTATATTGTGTCAAAAACTATTCATGGACACAGTACTCCGTAGAAGGAATAGAACCGGTCTTTCGCTAGTAGGTGCTTTGAATATCCTCACCTGAGTAGATAGAGCTCTAAACGGATTACAGGGTGGTATCAAGGGTATCTACCCCGTAGTATATTGCAATCTCCAGAGTTTACCCTATTCACGAAGAATAACTCCGATGGATAAAGCTGCAGTGTAATCAGAAGCCAGATGTACCTCGTCCTCGTCTTTCATCGTACCTGATCGACTGCATGGCGTGATGCTTCCTCAGTATCGGAGGGTCGGCCGTCGGCAGTCCATGACATAAGACACGCCGATCCGGAAACAACCAACTCCCCAAAACAGCCATCCTCTCCATGAACTGCCCGGTTCACTCTTCTCGACGATCGCCTCCATGACCTCTTCTTCCTCCTCTTCTCCGCAACATGTCCAGCCATGTAATCCCTTCTATAACAAGACCCCCCCGCGACCACACCTTCCCCTGAATCCGTCCTTAGTGTTGCCCGGACTCATCTGTCCTGCTGGTGGAACAATTTATTCAATACCACCTTGACATCGTACACCAAGCTACCCCAGCAATCGGACCTCGGCTCCACTCAATTACAGTCGGAGGATCAATTCCACGCGATGGAATCTCTGCGACTGTCAAAAGCCCGATGGCGCACATACTGGCTGGCCGCTGTACTCTGTTGCGGCGGAGCTTTATTCGGATACGACTCGGGCGTCATTGGTATATCTTATCAAGCAAGACCGCTGCCATTGAAGCTATAACTAATTCTCCCAGGTGGGGTCCTGACCTTCGCTTCGTTCCAGAAGTCCTTCGGCATCACCTCCGAGCAAGAAACCCGCGTTAGCGCCATCGCCGTGGGTATCCAGCAAGCCGGCGCATTGGCGGGGTGTTTCCTGATATGGCCCGTGACAAACCGGTGGGGACGGAGGATAGCAATGATGGCCTGCTCAGTCGTCTTCTGTCTTGGCGTCGTGCTGGAAGTCATCGACACACACTCGCTGCCGGTCTTCTACGTCGGGCGGGTCATCTGTGGTCTTGGCGTTGGTGGTTCGGCAACCGTTATCCCGATCTATATGTCTGAGATGAGCCCCAAGGAAATTCGAGGCCAGCTCGGCTCCTGCTATCAGCTCACTTATACGATCGGTATTCTGGCCTCTTACTGGATTGATTATGGCGTCAAGGCTATGCCAGCTACCTCCAGGCAGTGGCAGCTACCAATCGGTCTACAACTTGTCCCGGGATTCCTGATGGGAGTAGGAATGCTCTCGCTCGACGAGAGCGTGCGCTGGCTACTGGCGCACGGGAAAACAGACGATGCATGGCGCAGTCTTGTCTGGATCCGGGCGGGAGACAGCGAAGCCGTGAATGAGGAGTTCAACGAGATGTGCCGCGGTCTTGAAGAGGAGCGACACGCCACGGCTGGTTTCCGTTTGCGCGAGCTCCTAGAGGGCCCGAACATGCATCGCTTACTGATAGGTGCAGGGATCTTTCTCGCACAGCAGTCGACTGGTTCGACGGCGTTGGCGTATTTCGGTCCGCAGTTCTTCTCGTTGCTCGTTGGGCCCGGCGATAAAAATCTTCTATTGACTGGTATATTCGGCGCTATCAAAGTTGCCGCTTGTCTGATATTCGTGCTTTTCATGTCCGATCGCTTCGGACGGCGTCCCGTGCTGGCAATGGGGGCGTCGTTCATGGCAGTGTGTATGCTTGCTACGGCAGGTGTGGTCAAGAATTACCCGCCGCAAGATGGGGTGATTTCTTCCGCGGGTATCGCCACCTTGGCTCTGATATACCTCGATATAATCGCGTATAACTTCAGCTGGGGTCCTCTGCCCTGGCCGTGTACAAGCGAGATCTTCCCCACGCGTATCCGCGAGCCGGGTGTGGCGTTCGGCGTGGGTTCGCAGTGGCTCTTTAATTTTGTGTGGAGCTTCTCCACGCCATACATCATGGAAGGGATTGGGTGGGGCACTTTCTTACTTTTTGGTGTTCTGGATATTTTCATCGTTGCATTTACGTTCTTCTGTCTTAAGGAGACAGCGGGCAAGACATTGGAGGAGATAAATGAAATGTTCGATGGGGTGGACCCCGATGCGGAACATGGTTGGAAAGGCGATGTCTTCGACGAAACGAGCGGCTCGGATGGCCGTGAGAACTTGAACAGCCCAGAGCAGTTCCTGGATCGCAACGATTCCGTGATCACGGCCAAATCGGACCAGTCCAAGCATGGGCATACACATGTTGAGTCGACCGCTAGGCGGGATTGATGTATAGCCACTATAACGACCTTCAAAGGACAACGCAAAGTCGTCTACTCAGTGGGAGGTATATGAAACTTTTACTAGATCTCGGCATAAAAGGGCCCCGATAGGGTATAGAACTGTTACATGTAGAGAGATTCAAGTTCAAAGCATACTATTGGATGCATTGCATCTGTGTCATTCACTGACCAAGTTACACTCGGACTCCTATCCTATCCACTGAGTAAAAATAACGAGCCTCCGAGCCACCTCCTAAACAGCAAAGCCCTGCCAATGCTCAAGGACATAACAGCATGGCATTCAAAACAAGCGAGAGGAATGAACAGGCACACTAGTAGCATGGGTAAGAAGCCTGCTCCATAGTTCCAACCCAATAGACACACTAACGCCAAACACCCTCCAGCTGAAAAACAAAGACATGGGTAAATTTTGTGTCTGAAGAAAGGGAGAGAGAAATAAGATAAAAGTAAGAAGGATAAGAAGAAGAAAGGACCACAATTCAAGTCCTAGCAGGCCGGCTGCCTCCCAGCCTCAATTAATTGCTCACCATCAACGAGAAGCAAACCTTGTATCACGCGAGAGGGCCTTGTAACGCTGATCCCATCATATCAAGATACGTTGATAAGGTCCTCGAATGCGTCATCTGTTGAAAAGGCGTACGACGATTCCGACACCATAGTCGTCTCTGAGTCCCGACGCAGTTGCTGCTCCAAGGAATCTGCGGCGAAAACCGGAGCGACTACAGCAGGCTCTAATTGCATCGGGTCATCAAAGCCAAAGGACAAGACCGAGGAACTCTGGACCGCAACAGAAGCATGAGTCGCGGTTGGAAGCACCGCAATCGGGGTAGGAGGGCTATCGGATGAGGAAGTGGGAATATTCTCAGCAACCTCCGCCATGGGCTCCGGGGGCACTGAAGGGCGGCCGTCGGTATCGGTGATTTTCTTGACCATATGCGCGAGATGCAGCTTGATGGGTTCATCGCCGCACTGGGCATGCTTCAGAACTTCGTTCTTCAGGTGGAGGAGGTCGGAGCGTAGTCGGGCAATTTCCGACACAAGGCCGTCTTTCTTTTCGGACTGTTCTTTGAACCTGAATTCGAGCCGCTGCGTGTGTTCCTTCTTTTTCTGTCGACACTTGCTTGCTGCCAGACGGTTGCGCTCAAGAAATTTCGCCCGCTTTGCGCGCTCCTGGTATGGATTTTCATCCAGCTCGGGGCTCAGACTATCTAGGGCCGTATTGCATTCGCGGGCTCGACGTCGACGACTGGCACTTTCGATATCCAAGCTGGAGGAATCGCGCAGGTGTTGCTCATCATAAGGTGGAGGTGTAGGCTGGCCGTTGCGGACCTGAGCGTTCTTCAAGTCTCGTTCCAAAGCTGAGCTGGCAAAGGCCGCGGCCTCTGCTTTGGCATCCCATCCGGTACCCATAGCAGGAGAGACTGGGCTAAGGCCCCAAAGCTGATCGTCGTCGGGGATAGGAAGACCTAGAAAATCGCCAGTGAGAGCGTTGGTAGTCGGGAAAGCTGACGTGCCAACGTGAGGGAGACCGTGATGGGCGATGGAAGGGTTGAGGTTGCTGGTAGACATTTTGGAGGTTCAATTGAAAGGTAATTTGCAGGTGCGAGAGGAAGGCGCCGCAACTTAATTCGTGTGAATCTGTGCTTTTTTGGGCGTCGGAGGAGCTGCGTTTCTGTTCTGGTCTTTGGTTTTTGGTCTTTGGTCTTTGATCTTTGGTCTTTGGTCTGTGTTTGTGTCTGTGTCTCTGGTTTTCGATTCCCTCTGCTGGTTGCTTCTGCCTCTGGCTCTGGCTCTTCTGCTCTCTTTCTCTCGAGAGTGAATGGACCAGGTACAACCTGCAGACATGGAAACACCGACCACAACACCAAAGTCTCGGGCGTCAAGACCAGCAAAGGTGCGATGCCTGTTGGGGTTCAGCAGTCAAGAACCACGGATGCGAGGCCGGCCGGTGCCTGAAGAGAAGAGGCCCAGGTGTCGGTCGACCGATTGGAGCCACGGTCGGACAGAACTTCCAGCGGTCCAGCAGATCCGGGCGAATGCGCGTGCAGCGTGAGGTGAAGTGTCTGTGGAACAGACCAGGATGAGAGTCAAAGTAGTTGCAAGAGCCATGCCAGAACAGCGGGGGGAGGGAAAGACAAACGCAGTGCTATGGTCAGCCCTGGCACAATGAACTTTCTGCAGTCCTTGACATCATCCTGGAGCTGACTACGACAAGACCAGGGGGGGTTGCCAGTGGGGAAAGGGAAAGGGAGGGGGAGAGGGGTTTACAAACAAATAAAAGAGTATCTACTGCCGAGCAAGAGGAGAAATACCCTAGGGTTAAACTATCATCCAATTTATTACTATGTAGAATCACCCCCAACTAGGTACCTAATCTGATGGCTCTTGACGACTCCCTCTTACCTATTACCTAGTCTATTGAATAGCTTCTGAATTTGCCCTATAAATGAAAAACCTCAATACAAAGAAGCTCTCAATTCAGGGAAGAATAAGTGAATTCGGGAACTCAAGCCGTCCAATAGAAACAGCCAATGCGTGGGCCCATCATCAAAGTGGGCCCGGTATAATGTATACAACCAAAAAAAGAAAACAAGAGGGTTAAACTATACATGCACATCACACCACATCCATCCTCATTCCAGTTGCACTAAAAACAAAAAGAATACATTCCCGAAAACACCCCACAACACATCAGTAAACCTTCACTCTTGCTGCTTTACCCCTGCAGCCCAATCCCGCAACTGTCGGTTCACGCCTTGCCAGTTCTCCATCAGTAGCCGCACGATAGCAAGATACCCGGCCTCCTCGGGGTTATCTCGCAGGTGCCGATATCCAAGCAGAGTCGGTGCAAAAGCCCGTGCAAAATAATCTAGATTTTGCGGACCCGCCACTCGTCGGAGTGGAGTCCCGGCAGGCAAAACAGACCGGTCTGCATCCGATGCTTGACCAAGCCGGACTAATAACCCAAAGGTAGCGCAGAGCAGAGCCCGCTGCATTTCGCTGGTCAATGCAATAATGGCAAAAGTGATGAGTTGGATTCTTGGAGTAGCTGGGATAGGCGCAACTATGTCGGCATCGTAGATGGTCTGAAGAGCCTCGAAGAGTTGAACAGAGCCGAGGAGCCCGTCTGGCAGCCCCGTCAAGAGTGCTTGGAATGTAAGACCCTCTGTCAATGTTTGTTCCGAGCTTGACTCTCCCTCCCAATACGGCATTGCGATCGTTCGCATGGTTATCGCAATTTTGGAGTCTTCCTTCTCTGCGTCCAATACGTGACTGGCAAAGTAGTCGTACAGACGATTGGCACCTCGGGCGTCGCCCTCATTAAATAGACCGTTGGTGTTGTGACCATATTTTCGCAGGTACAGAATCATCGCCACAAAGCATGCTGGTAATTTCAAAGGCCCAGGAATTAGTCTCGACCCCTAGACGAGATAGCTATGTCCGCCAAGGCGAGACATAGATTCCAGAGACTTTCCCTGGAGGGCAGTCATCGGCTTCTTTTGGCGAGACAGGTTTGCGAATGTCTTCGATCGTCGCAATTTTGTCACTGATGGCCCGGGCACTGATTGCTGAGCGACAATCTCCATGTTGGATTGCACTGGGCGAATACGACGGATTACCAGATTTCGGTTTTGAACGTGGTCTTGGTCTGCCTTGTTTGCCGCTGGCGTAACTTTGTAGCAGTTGTTAGCTAATTCATACTTCGAAGTTCAAATTTGCTTACATTCATCAAATCCAACAAAATATGCTAGAGCTTCTTCAACGAGCTTGAGTTGGAGGTTGTACTGCTCCGAAAGCAAATTGAATCCTCTAATTGCCCTCACGGGATCAAGTAGACAAGCTCGACTCGCGTAGCTGGCATTAGATGTATGGCGGGAGCTGAACACGCTCTGATCTTTAGGAGGAGGCTGTGAAGTGGGCTGCATACTAGTGGATCCACTCTCGTTGTTTTGCTCATGCGAGGGCTGCTTCGAAGATCGCTTGGAGATATGCTTGGGAGACTGGTTCGAGGAGCGCGTTGAGGAGCGCTTTGAAGAACGCTTTGAAGGCGCACGCGCATTTGCCTGAGGCATCCCTTCCTCGATGGGATCTGATCCTTCGGCAAAGTGACTGGCCTCTGGCCCATAGTCTGAGAAGAAAGCTGGCGAGAAGCAATCTTGCTGCAATTCCAAAACCGGGGTCCTGAGCTGAGAAGAGTGCCGGTGCACTGTTGCACTGGTATTTTCCGAGTCCTGTGTTTCAGCAGTTTGACCACTAACGGTTCGCTGCTGCTCTGTAGCCTCCGAGCCGGCAGAGGGTGGGTTCCGAGATAGAGGAGAGAAGGCACCTGGAAGGCGGGTCGGGGCTTCTGATCCCTCACTCTCTGCTGGATGATGGGTTGGTTGGGCTGGCTCCGAGCTCTCGTTTTGTTCATTGGGTTTGCTGGATTTGCTGTAGCGGAAGCGGGTAATGATGCTCTTCAGAGGGTTAGAGCCACGAGTTCGAGAGAGACTCGACGCGGTGCTCTTTCCAGCAGCCTCTTGGGTAGTGGACGCGTGACTAGAAGGCTCGCTGGCCTCGTCATCTGCCAGTGCGTCCTCGTCGTGCTGGGTAGTAGTAGGGCTCTCTTCCACGGTCTCGCTCGTGGGCTCTGACCCAGCATCACGAACTGTCGGGTCGGGAATATCTGGTACAATGTCTGCTTCTGCCTGATACGGTGGAGGTGCAGTGGTCTCTGTACGACGACGACGATGCCAGGTGAGACGAGATCGCGGGGGGTTTTCGTCCGATCTAGACAGGCCCAAGATCAGTAGAAGAGATGCCATTTAATGTGAAAATTTATCCAAAGCTCAATTCTAGCGATGCAGAGGGAGTCGAACTCAGGAAGGATCAATAAGAAATAGAGGTAATATGTGTGTAGAGAAGAATGAAGACACGGGAGACTGTTCATAGTAGAAGTAGTGGTGGACAAGGGAGTGTTTGTTTGGGGACTTTGGGAAGGCACGAAGCGAAAACGCCTTATGAAGATTCCAAAATTGGCAGGAGCGGAGGATGACTTACTACTCTATAGAGTCACGGTACTAGTACGACTACTAGTAGGTAAGCATTGGCATCTACAAGATATACAGCATTGGAAGGAAATCTATAATTCTGCCCCCGATTGCGCCATGGCTCGATCTTTCTCAAGCCCTTTAAAAGGGAACATATTACCTTTGCAAATTCAGCCCCAAATGTCAAGGATATCCGTCCAAGATCACGCAAAACAGAGAACGCCGGTTTCATGCAATTCAAAAAGAGTATGTATAAAATGGGTGGGAGGACTTTAACTCGCTCTCGCTCCCAATCATGCTTCGTCATTTTCTCCTTCAAGGAGAATGTAATGGAGGATATCACTCAATGTGATGACTCCCTTAAGCTTGAACCACTCATCCACAACTACCAAACGGTGGACGCGGGATTTGCGAATCGTATCGAAGATCGTATCCAGTCCGTCATTGAGTGAGCACGTGTAAATACCCGGGAATTCCTGTATCCACATATTAGTACCACTGCCTGTTGAACAATGACATGTTTCAACATACCGGTGATCGCTTCTTTAGCACCTCTCCAACCGTCAAACTCAAATCATCGTAAACACCACCTCGAATCAAGGCAATCACATCAACCGACTCGAAAACATTGTATACGACGCCTAGTAGAAGAAATGTTAAATCATGAAAAATCCTCACTGTGAAAAGAAAAACCGCAGAAAGATTATATAGTATACCTTCGGAATTCAAGATTGGCACGCTGGATATACTCCGCTCGACCAGAATATGAATCACGTCGATGACGGGGGTGTCCATAGACGCCGTTGCTATATTATCATAGGTACCCAATAGCAACTCTCCCAACGGGCGGCGCAATTTCTGTGTATCGCTGACATTGACGGCGACGAACTTCAAAATGCGATACTGCGTTATAACACTGAGCACATGGGATCTATCGGTTTGGCTGTCGTTGGTGACGAGGGGAATACGACGCGCGCGCGATTCAAGCATGCGCCGGCATGCTTCGTAAAGAGGACGCTCGGGGTCGATAGAGACAGTCTCAGGAGGCGCAACGCCCAATGCTTTTTCGACCTCTGTACCCGCCCGGATTTGGTCAGCTTGGATTGATAATAGGCCGAAATGAGAAGAGGAGCGCGGGAATGGCGCTACATACCGCGAAGGCTATCGAGTCGGAACTGATCGATTTCTCCTAGGGCGGCGGGATTTTGGAAATAATATTGAATCACGTTGATGTAGTCGGAGGTGGTCAGGAGACCTGCGAACTTCGAGGCCTTGGAGTCCCACAGCGGGGCTGAAACGATGCCTGTACTTCCCGATTACGCTTCAGTCAGCCAGTGTCTCTTTGCTTTTTGCTTTTGATCGCGCGCGTATCCGCCTTCCTCAGCTCACGTAGAGCCATCACGCAGGAGAGAGGGGGAAGGGTCCGAAAGCGACTTGCCATTTTGGATGAGAATATTCAAGCTCTCCTTCACGGAAAGCGAGGTGTCGAATATAATGAGGCGGAAGCTTAAGGGGAGGACATCGTAACTAGTGCGAACCTTCAAGAAGTTGCGAATGGCACGCTGTTTGACGCCGCGTTAGTCAAGATCTGGATGCGAGCTGGTCACCCGCCACGAACGGGGGAGAGGTTTGCAATTCCGGAACCCCGTTCGATCACACAACCTGGGCCGTATGCCCCGGCTTGTCTCGTTCCCCGGTCAGATCCTTATTGAAAAAGAAGCGACTAGGGAGGGACAAGAGGGTTGATTCTCTCTCCTTGGCTTCTGGGTCTCTCGATTCCGATCTCTCTCACTATCTCCCTCACTCTCTCACATCCGCCAAATATGGAGGGGTCGACCAATGGCGCGGGGGAATCGAAAAGGGAAAAAAAGAAAGTCACCAACTTACCAGGCCCTGTCGCTCTTCCAGATCAACTGGTCTCTCAGGGTGGGAGGTCATTGGAGGCCGAAGGTACGAGGATGGCTGCACGAAGGGCGCGTGACCGAGGGAGGTGAAGGGCCGGGAGAGGTGAGGCCGAGTGTCCGCCTTCGTCATGACCGGAAGTGGGGTGGTGGTGGAGTGCTGGGGAAAGGAGAATGGAACGAGGAGAAAGGTTCGCCCCCAGGAGCATTTGGTATCTACAACTCTTCTGGTCGTTTTCTCTCTGTTTTTTTCCTACTGCGAATAGTAATCATGGGGACAATGCGAGGCACGAAAAACAGAAATGCGCCTGCTCGTCCCCCCGCTCGGGGCTTGGGGCTGATGCCTCGGGCGGGTGGCGTGTGTATACGGGATCCTGCCTAGTGACATACTCAATACCTTGAATTATTAGGATTTTCCTTGTTTTTAAAAGAAAAACTACTTTATTCCATACTCGTCCTCCACTTGCAAACGCCTTGTGCATATACTATGGGAATAATTTACTGTTACTAGTCAAGAATGTTGGAAAAGATATGTAGACTTTGCTGCGTGACAGAATAATTTGTAAGTTCATATTTGCATCTAGACTATAAAAGCCGACCCCTGGAACGCCTCCTGCTACTCGCCAAATGCAAGGTATCATTGCGCCGCAGAAAAAAGAAAGAAGAGAAATCAATGTTTCATCTGACTCCGATTGAGCATCCAACAAATCAAAAAGAAAGGGAATAAATAGAGCAAGAAAATGTCGTAAGTGGAAACGCCAGAGGTAGGAAGCTTGGTGACACCTTAACTCAAGAATGCCCGTGGAGCTTAAATCGATAAAGGCAGGTTTGATCCGAGCCCCAATTATCCTTGACGCGCAAGACGACCTTGTCCACACGAATGGTTGGAATGTCGATGATCGGCGACAGGGCAAAGGCCTGTCTATAGTTGAGTTCCTTAATATCGTAATAAAACCGGCCGATTCGGTAGAAGTTGGGTCCGAGGAGAGGATCGTCCGAATAGTCCTCCGGCTCAGAATGCGGGTTTGATCTCTTCAAGGCACTCATGAGGACTTCAGAAAGCGAGTTTGCTCCAGGTAGGTTGAAATCTCCAAGTCCTTGCTTCTTTGCTGGTCTGGGTTTTTTGGATTGACGTTGGTTCTTTCCACTGCCGTAAGGGGACTTCCAGTCAAAGTCAGACCCGTATTCTTCATCATCGCCTGAACCCGAATTGACGACAACAAACTGTGCCCACATCTCGACGATCTTTGGTGCTGATGTGGGATCCAAAGTTGCCGTCATTGGGATATGCTCGATCACTAGTTCTTCCGGCACGATAGCACGACCCAGAAAAACCGCGAGCTGGGTTTCCTTCACGCTGCACCAGCAATCACCGGCCTCCTCCCAGGGCAATAGTGCAGCTAGCTGCTCGTGTACTGATTTCATTGTATCGTCTGAAGAAAACGGATTGAGGCTCCTGAGGAGCTTCCTTAGAGGGGAGGTTCGCTTGACAGTGCTTTCGCTAGCCGAGGGTGAAGTAATGCGTGGATCGACCATGGCTCCGTTTGACGGGGAAAGAAAGTTGACTTGGAGGTCCAGGGAATGGAATGGAGCGTTATATGGCATATTGGTGGGGTGCACTGTCAGGCCCTCTTGTTCCGATCGAGAAGATCTCATCTCCTTCGATAATGATGATATCTGGCTATTCATGTCCGACAGTCGACTTCGGATCTCACGGATAGTTGCTGGGTCGGTTCCATTTGAAGGAATGTTCGAATATTCACCAGGGGGGACAAATAAGCGAACGGTGTCACAAATATTTGTCTGATAGGCGCCGAAAAGAAGCAAGGAAATCAGCAGAAAACCTGCGGTTTTAATCCAATTGGTGGCAATCCAGTCAACGCCATTCAATGTCGCTTCAGAAATTACACGCATAGAGTCTCGTATGCGGCTCTCGGAGCCTGAGGATGAATCCCATTGCTGGGGCTCTGCCAGATTTGGTTCATCTGATAGTGACTCCGAGCGAGGAGCGGATTGGAAACGAGATGGGAAAACGGTCCTTGCTTCGGCAGTCCATGTTTGATCCGCAGGGTTGACAAATTCGGACTGGTCAGCCAGCACAGAACTCGGTTCATCCTCTTCTTCAATCGTCGGTTGGATCTGCACACCGGAGGGCCGTCGAGGAGCCTTGGAAAGATTCGAGCCATGGTCCCTTGGTCGCGTACGTTGCAGCTCGCCATCATGAATTGTGCGCTCCAACTCAAATGATACTTCGGAGGCATTGTCAACCGAGCTGTGACGATGCGGAGTACCATTATCAGGTTCCTCACGAGAAAAGAAGTTCGTTAACTGTCGCAGCGGCTTCGGATACATCGGAGAGTTCGTGATAACAGATATTAAGCTGTTCTTGCGTCTGGGTGGCGGCATATCGGGACTTGAATCTGTCGAGACTGCTCGTGGGATAGGCGGAGTCGGTGTCCTGTCAGAATGCACTTCTCTGCCGGGTGACTCGGTTGCTTCTCGTAGCGTACGGAAAAGTTGGTCGTCCGGCGTAGGTTCTCGCTTGGTTCGCCGACTGTTATGGGTCGAACCGCTTCTGGAAGGCACCACTGAGCCAGTTCTTGAGAGAGATATTCGCTGTTCACTATCGTCAAGACCAGTGTTGATCCTTTTAACCATGCCCATGACATCCTGGATCGGATCATGTGCTGCTTCTTTTGGCAATGCCGTCGGCCCCGTGGCGCCATAATTGTGAGATGTTCCAACAGCCACCGGCGGTAAAACAGGGCCATTCGAAAAGTCCAGTAGTGTTTCAAACGGCCGTTGAGGAGACCCGGGGCCCCGGCCCGCCGTAGCGCGTTTAGACATGCTACATGTATTCTTTCAGCACTGAGACAAAATTGGAATGAAAATAGCAAATTGGCAGAAAACAGGTGAATCGCAGAGTGTCAGGTTGAGTCCGGGAAAGCAGATAGGTGGGTACCTGCAGATGGGATAGATGCTAGGGGTGGGAAAGTAGACATTGAAGGGTCATGCCCGGGAGATATCAGGACATGTTTTCGCAGGCAAATAATGAAAACAATGAATGTGACACATTTCAAAGACATGGGAAGGACAAAGGAACAGAATTAGGAACAGAAACAGAAACACAAAAAAAAGACTTACACGAGGTCGTTCCAGTGTAAGCAGCCCTAGGATGAACGGGATGAATCGCCAAAACCAATCTTTTTTTAAAAGATAAAGAAAAAAAAAATTAGGCTCCGACTGTAAGTCAAGATTTCGGGATGCTGGAAAGTCAAACACCAGTCTAGGCGTGAATGAGGCGGTTGTGGTGGGGAGGTATAGTCAGTGGACGGGGCACAGAGCAGACGATCAAGGGCGTCACAAGAAAAGGACCCCGGGTTGCGGGGTTTGACAGTAACAAGGATGCGTCGAAAACGGAACCGAGCAGGATTTAATGTAATGCGTGGCGTTGCTGGTCTCAATTGTCGATGGCGACCCCAAAGTTTGCAAGAGTTGAGACGCGCAGACGCGCGACGGAACGTGACTGCGGGCTAAGCTGGGAAGGGGGTGGAGCCGCAACAATTGGACGATTGTCGATCGTTTGCCCGTCACCTGTTGAGGTAGAATGAGAATCAGTCCACTCGTCTTGGTGTTGTAGATGGACTGAGAAAACAAAACTGGGGGAGGGAGTTTTAAAAGAATGTAAATTCGAAAAGGAGCAAGAAACAGTGAAGGTTCCAAGGTTGACCTCGGTGAAGGTTCTCGACCCTCCCTCCACAGGAAGCTTCATTGAGCGCCTTTCTTTGTCGCTTTGATGTCTCTGCTTCGATTACCTCTACTTCAGACTGCTACTATGTGAAAGCCAGTTTTAGAGTGACTTGTTACATCTGCAACTACTACAACTGGGTTGACCTCACAATGCCAAAGAATGAATTTGAATTGGATCTACTGTCCGTACAGAAGAAAAAATTCGATATCATGGTCCTGCCACTCCAGATGGGTCGGACGCTGTATCCAACTCTAGACATAGGATGCAATACTGTACAAAGCGAGTAGGAAGTGAGGGGTTGGTGGGGAATCCTCAGACAAAGAGACAATGGGGAGAGGTGGGGAGGAGGAGGGTTATATCGGTGTAAGTGGTGAAGGTGGTTAGAATTCGGGTTTATTTGTTCAGCAGGTCCAAGCGGCCAGTGTACCATCTTTGCGGCCCTCAACAAGATATCCATCCTTGAGTCGAACACGTTCAACCGTTGCGGGAAGAGGTCCTTCCTCGTCGAGACCGACACCAGGCCCGCAATCCCAATGGTGGGCGTCAGCCTTGTCGTAAACCTTGACAACGTTTTCACCCGCAGCAGCAACGATGCGTTTCGAGTCAAACATCATGCTGGTGATGGGTTTATCATAGGCATAGGCGTCGTAGATTGAGCCCATTCGCAGATCCCAAATCTATCCAAGGTTAGCATCGTTCAATATTTGAATATGAGACAAAAAGACTTACCCGAATACTGCGATCAAGACTTCCCGTCACTAGGTGCATATCATCGAACTGCAGACATGTGACCGGACCAGTGTGACCCACAAGGCTTCTGTGAACTTGGCCACTCCGAAGGTCCCACAGGCGAACCATACCGTCGGCAGTACCGCAGGCCAGAGCTGCATCAAAGCATTGCACTGCTCCAACGAAGTCTGCAGATGCATCGGGTGTGCGGCCGGTTGGGCGCCAGCTGCTGTCGTTTGTCATGGAGGATGAGGATGCCTGGGCAGCTGCCCACATGACATCCAAAGTCTGAACACAACGTCCCTTGACCAGATCCCATTGCCGCAATGTCTTGTCCGCGGATCCAGAAATGAGAGTGTTACCCTTAAAGTGAAGAGCAGTCACCTCATCGACATGTGCATCAAGCGTAAAGACATGGCAGTCTTCCAGGTTTGATGAAGGGGGCACCGGGGTAGTGTGTGTTTCGGCATCTTCAGTATCGCGCTCATGCTTGTTAAGGCGACCATCTCGCGTCGTGGGTCGAGCGCGGCTCAGATCCCACAATCTAACTGACGCATCCATAGATCCCGTCGCGACGATGTTATCTTCCACTTGCAAGCACCGAACCGAAGCGTTGTGTCCCTCCAACTGGCCTGAGCATCGACCGACGTTCATGTCCCAAACTCGCACTGTATCGTCTAACGCTGCACTGACCATTGTGCCAAATGGATAGTCAAAGTCAATTGCTGTGATCATATCTGTGTGGGCTTCTATTTCTTTAATTAAAGAACCAGGAGCAAAATGCTCGTGAAGAATTGGCATCGATCGTTTACCTAAGAGCCCGGGTCAGTCATAAAGTAGTCCGCAATTGAGTATTGTAGTTCATACGTATCGAGCGATGCCGCAAGCTCCTTGGTGATGGAGTGGGAAGTTTCTCGTAGATCGATTCGGACATGAATGAAGCATCCATGGCCGGGTCATCGGAAGATCCGATGGTATCATCCTGGGTTTCTGAGGACTTTGGCGTTTCGGCGGTAGCAGAGTCATCGACGGGTTCTTCTTCTTCTTGCATGTCCTCTAACTTGTTGTCGATTTCCGTAACTGCATTCATTAGTTCAGAGAGAGCTCTCATCGACAGAACCTCAGAAAGAAGAAACCCACCTTCGTGTTCTAACGACGCCTCGTCCATCTCTAGGCCGGCTAATCGGTCTAGAACGATCTGGCGCATTTTGTGCAAGTTGGCAATCTTGTTATCGATCTCGTGAATTTCAGCGCTGCACATGTTCTTGCGCACACCCATCAGCTCTAGACGCCTATTCAGCACTTTCCGCTCTTCCTTCAGACCGGCCGGGCCAGCTGTCAAAAGTCCACCTTTCTCGCTGTCCTTCAACAACTTGCCCCCCTTGGAGGTACGTCTTCGGTGTTTCTTATGCGTACGTTCATCTTCGGGGAGGGAAGCCTGGAAGCCCTGGAATAGGGAGTAAGAGCTTTGGTCCTCGGGGAGGTTATCGAGAAGGTCGTCCGGGAGCGAGGAAACGGCTCGCGATTGGATTTCCGCGGTCGAGAGCTTGGATCGCACGAGGTCGGTCGGGGTCGTCTGGGTTAGAGCGAAGACTTTACGTTGCGCTGCCGGCCGGCGCAGCTCGCGGTGGATGTCCGTCATCGCATTATGAAAATGGGTGCCGTGACCTTGCTCCGCGGGACCCATCAAATGGCCAGCGGTCGAGGTGACTTTTCGCCCAAATGCTTCAATATGCCGGGTCTATTCCGTAGCGCATCATGGTCAGCTTGCAGGATCGAATGGAGGGGTCCTCTCGTTGAGACCCCCAAAAGAGTAAACCGGAAAAAGCAAAGAGAGAGAGAGAGAGGGCATACCGTGAGGCCGGTGCCCAAGAGGCCTTCGCCTTCTTCGATATCGGACAACCCAGTGGGCGAGTCATCACGGCGGTGGTTGTTCTCCATAGCCGGAGAGATTCTTGGGTTCAACCAAGGCCCATGCGCGGTTGAAAAGGTGGGAGATTCGGAGGTTGCAGGAGAGATAATCGTCACGCGCAGGCTTTACCGCGTTCCCCGGCTACGGGCGCCCGGACACTCTTTTCACACCTTTTCTTTTAGTTTCAGCTCTAGTTTCAGCTTCACACAACAACCTGTCCGCTAAATTGACGAGTCAATTGTATTCGTATGCACCTGCTGGAGACTAACGACTAGGCTGCAAGGTGCTTGTGCCTATGGTTTCCTATACCGGTTCGGTACAAGTAGCTGTTCTCTCTCCCATGCACTGGCCTCGGTACTCATCATGTACCGACTACCTGCAGGAGGCGGACTCACCAGCAAACACTACATCACATATAAACTAAATGATATTCCTTGTACATAAAATAAGCTGTCGCTACCCCAGACCAGGATCCAAAAGCGAAGAATACCGCTGATTTGTTCGCACTACTCCATCCCCCATAGTCAACCTCCCCTTCCAATAAATTCTTGGAAACCCGCCCTTCAAGTAGAAAACTAATCGTCTCCGACTTCGGCAGCTCTTCCTCTCTTCAACTCACCACTCCTCAAGCCATGGATACCGCCATTGACTTATCCGATGCCTCCAAGGCATTGGACCTCGCCAATATCCGCTTCCAGCTGATGTGAGCGTCTCCAACCCCTTCAACTCTCCCCCCAGCACAAACCCCCCGCCGCACCCCCGCCATGAACCACAGGCACTTCGAGCTTCCAGCAAACCGCAACACTATGAGAACCGCTACTAACATTCCAGGCCTCCAGTCGGCTCGAGGACACCATCACCTTCCACTTCATCGAACGAGTCCAATTCCCCCTCAATAAAACCGTCTATGTCTCCGGCGGCGTAAAAATCCCAAACAGCAACCTGAGCCTAATGGACTACATGCTCAGCGAACAGGAACGCATACAGTCACGATTCCGCCGTTTCCAATCACCCGATGAATACCCCTTCTTTCCCAACGTGCTGGAGGAGCCAATCCTGCAGCCACTGCAATACCCCCGCATCCTCCACGACAATGACGTGAATGTCAACGATGTCATCAAGGACCGCTACGTGCGCGAAGTCCTGCCCGCCGTGTGTACCCAGTTTGGACGCGAGGACCGCGGCGAGACACAGGAGAACTACGGCTCTGCGGCCACATGCGATGTCGCCTGTCTGCAGGCGCTCTCGCGCCGCATCCACTTTGGCAAGTTCGTCGCCGAGTCAAAGTTCCAGAAGGACCCGGAGACTTTTGTTCGGTTGATCAAGGCTGAGGATCGGGCTGGTATTGATGCCGCTATTACCGATTCCAAGGTTGAGCAGAAGGTTCTTGAGCGCTTGGGGCTCAAGGCTAAGACTTATGGCACGGATCCTGCTTTCCCGGATGAGAAGGGGCAGAAGATCAACGCTGAGGCGGTGGTGGCCATGTACAAGGTGAGAGAAACGAGAGAATAAGATCCTCGGACCCCCGTTGCTTCTTTGGAGGAGCTATTGCTGACTTTTTTTTTCGATAGGAATGCGTCATTCCTCTCACAAAGGTGGTTGAGGTCGAGTACCTGATGCAACGTCTCAAGGGTACGCAATGGGAGTAGAAATAGAGGGGAGGCTTATTGACATGAAGTTATGAACCTTTGGTTCTTTTGGTGATATCTATATATTTCATGCTGCTGGCATACAGAGGGGGAAATGTACTAAAGAATCCAAAAGAAAAAGAATCCAACGCATAGAATAGTTCGTAAATCGGACATGAATTGAAATGATGACCTCTCATTTAGTATTATTTTGTCCAATCCAGACTCAAGACAGATACTCTCCCACTGCCTTCACGGCCGGCTCGAACTGAGCGCCGTCGATAAGGATCAAACTGCCATTGGTCCGGATACCAAGTTCCTGGAACGCTCGCTTGGAGTCGGAGTGGCCGTCATCCTGTTGGTGCGTAAACTCGAGTGTGCCCGAGCACAGTGCGTGGCGCTGCAGCACCTCATCCTCGGGGTGGAAGAAATAGTGCGGGTTCTCCTTGGATCCCTTCTTGGATTTCTTCTGCGGGCGCGATTCCTGGATATCAAGCTTGGACTCGACCTCCTCGTATCCCCTCGAGATAATCAGGTAGTGTGTGAAGGAGTAAGGTTCTTTGTCCTGGATCGCCCAGGCCATTTCTTCCAGAAGCATATTGTACATGGGCGGAACAATTTGTCCCGGCATGTTGATCACACGCTCGGTGAGAACCAGGCCGATAGATGGGACGGTTTTCTGGGAAAGGAGCTCGTTTAGAGCAGCGAGGGAGGGGTTGGCGGCGGCCTTGGTTTTGATGTATTTGATCAGGTCCTGAATAACGGGCTTGTCCTGTGTCGCTTGTTAGCTTATGCTTGGCACCGGAGCAATGCACATTGAAAGCTTACCTTGTGCTCCTGTAAATTGATAATTGACAAAAACGCATATGGGTCCGACTCGTTGCCATCCGTCTTGACGGTCGAGCCCAGCGTTGGCTGCGACAGAATCAGGTCGGCCAGTGCGGACAGATCGAAGATCTGGGCGTCATTATCGAAGAGTTGGCGGAGAGGAGATTTTTAATACCGTGGAAATCGACGGCGGGCTGCGGGTCAAACCACTCGAAATCAACATTGACCATGTCAATGTCCTATAGGAAGTTAGACGCTGTTCGCAGCTGAGTTGTCCAAGGTGGGGGAGTTCGCACAGAGTCGGAGTCGGAGTCCTGGGCATTGGTGCCGCCCATGGACACATCGCCGAGATCTTGCTTGCGCTTGACCATTGTGTTCTGATATTCCAAGTGAATAAATTGCCTAAGCGGAGAGAAGTTGAAGATGTGAAGTCACTCCACAACCCGGCGCCGTTGCTCTCGGCCGCTTTCGAAAGTTTTTTCTTATCGTTATCAGTGAGGTCAGCGTCCTCCATGCCAGCTCGCCCTACTGTTCCATTGTAGCTATGGAAGCACGCTTTTTCGAAAATGTTTTTAATTCATTGGAATCGGTTTGAAGCATAATCTTCCCAGGTGTTTATATACAATGGATTGTTGGAAATTTCGATAGTAGGGACTTTTCAAACTTGCCAGCCCTTGATTGGAACGCAAATATATATACTCTAGCCCTGGAGGGCTAGCCTCAAGTTTGAAATCTTCTACTGCCTGGGCCCTGTCAAGTGGCATTCAAGTTGGCACTCCCCAGGTGGCACTGGCTGAGAAGTGACAACCTTGTATAGGTTCGATTGCAACTTGAAGTTGCGCCTCGCCAAATTTTGTCTATACACTAGATCTATCTAAACATCATATTCCACCTGCTCAACAGTGGGTACCTTATTCAACTTAATCTCAAAGAACTGCGCAACCAGCTGCACACAGTCCCAGATAACCTGAACCTCTTCCTTAGGCAGTCCCAAGCGCCTCGTACCACGAATATGCCAATGAGTCTCATTCGGCAGATTCTGGCTCATAATGCCCGGCAACACAACCAGCTGCGTATCAACATCATCCAGAACCTGGCGATCAGAAAGGAAGAGGCCATACGTGATTTCCTCCGACAACCAGGAGAAATCCTTATGCGCATTGAACAGATTCAGTGTACCTGTCGTGTTGCGCGAATATAATTTCTGCATCCATTCCGCGCCGCGGTCGTGGTTTGCCTGGTCACATTGCCATCCCTCGCGGGTGAAGGTGTAATCCTTGTCCTCTTCCCGCTCGACTTTGCTGATGGATAGAATTGCCTCGATGGGTTTGCAGACGCCGACAATTGGGACTGATTTGATGAGGGCTTCCCGCAGACGCCGGACTAAGGCTTGTCGTGCCGGGGAGGTTGAGTAGCCCGGCTGAGAACAGATGTATTGATACAGCTGGTCTGCGCGTTCTGGGTCCGGACTCGCTACCAGTGTGGAGGTGGCGAGAATGTACCATTTATCCTCGCCCAAGCTGGTTGATTGGAATCGCTTTTCCAGCTCGGCAAAGAGCTGGTGGAAGCGGGGCTGCACTTCTGCTGATGCGGGGGCGGATGAACTCATTGTGCGGCAAGTGGTGAATTGCCGATAAGGATCGCGAGAATATCTGGTGAATAAGAGATGGGCTGGTGTGTGGGATTAGATATGAGTTGTTTATTCGGAACCCGCTGTCAAGAGAAGAAACCGGCGATATGGAGGGATGGCGAGCTTACAGCTGCAGAGTGCAGAATCGACTCCGATGGCCGGAGTGGGTCGCGGCGACCACTGTGATTCTGTGCAGCATTGAGGCCCGATTGGGGGACCTGGACCTCAATGCCGTGGGTACGACACTGGGAGGAGACTGAACGAGGCTTATACGAGATTGCCAAAGAGGATATGACTGACTTGAATTTGTCGCGCCTCAATTCGGAAGCGGTGGGCTGCAACTCTCAGGGCCCGCTTGAGCCGCAACAACTTGAACGGTATGATACATTTTAGATACTGAAAACATAAAATTGCAGAAGATGCAGAATCCTCATCATAAAGAATACGGTAGAATTAGAGATAGGATGATTAAGCACGAAATCCCTGCAATTAAGCAGTTGGGAGGTGTATTATATCACATAAGGTCGGCGGGAGGCGCAGTGGGGCGGGAACTAGTCCGTGAAGCATGAAAGTCTACCCTAAGGTATAGGGCATTGTACATTTTCTGGCACATCGTCAGTGCAACCCACCAGACTCTGCCTTGATCTTCTCTCCTCTGATGTAAGAGCCCCAGCAATCGAAGAAGGGTCCAGCACATACACGATCGATTGCTCACGGCCATGCTGGTTTTTCCAACAATTTGTAACCTCGCCCCACAGCTATGATCTCAGTGATTACAGCATGACATCACACCAGATATCCGGGCGAAGTATAAGACCAGCCTGGTTCTGATCCCTTTCGATAAAATATCTTCACTCAAAAAACCTTCCTTCTTCTGTCTAAGAACCTCAATTTCCACTATTTTTTTCTTTGAAAAAATCCGAACTCACCACCTTAATCAACAATAATGTCTGGTATGCACGGAGCCGGTCAATCCAGCGTCGGCCACGCCGCTACTTATGAAGCTGGCGACCAGCGCAACGCCCCCATGTCCGCCAACCAGCCCGAGCGTCACAACGAGGGCCAGAAGGGCAGCCACAAGAACCTGGACTCCAAGGACCAGCGTTCTATTGCCAACAAGCTTGCCTCGCAGGAGGGCAAGGGTGACCCTTCCCACCACCACAACAACGTCCAAAACCCCGAGGCCGAGCTCAGCAAGCAAGACCCCACAAAGCCGGTAAGAAATATACCTAATATGCATCGTCTTGTGAGAATTAAGTTCCAGGCTAACGGTTTCTTCAGGCCAAGATGCACGGCAACAAGCCATCCAAGGGCGCCCAGATCGATGCCGAGCTCCAGGCCGAGGATGAGCAGCGCCTTCGTGAGAAGGGTATCAAGAAATAAAGTATACCACCACGCAGTCATCAATTATCATAATACCCCTGGCATTGGTGCCTTGTGATATAGCGGGATATGGGGGGGATATAACCTATGTACGATATGACGAAACACCACTTAAATCTCGCCTTGACGGCGAGGAAAAGTCTCAAATGAAGCGTTTCAGTACCGAGAGTTGTGATAAAAAAATAGTTGCACAGACGTAGTCCTATCATAAATCGTTCCTTGTATTAATGCTCTTATATGCAGTAGAAATCGGACGGCAAAGTCAGGGCCAAATGGTTGTTGTACAGTGATATAACGCTCAATCAAGTTCGTAAAGGTGCAGTACAGATAAGTATGCATTATCATGCAACGTAGCGGGTTAGAACCGGCAGTGTTGTAATAACTGGCGGAACAATGGGAGAATATGTGCGAGGCAGCAATGAACCACGGATATTGAAAAGGGCCTCGATCCGATTAGGCATCTTGGGTGAACTTCGGGTCATCAGTGTGCGTTTCGGCAAAGACGTTATGCCAGTATTCCTCAACTCTCACGCAAAGGCCAGCTTTGTGCTCCCACGACTTGAAAGAGCCTTCGAGATGGCAAGTCACCCATTTAATTTCTTCCCAGTAGGCTCTCTCCACGTCGTAACCAAATCGCTTGAGTGTTTCCGGAGGGGCAGTCCATGCCCGTCCATCAGACCCGTCTTGCTTTAGGGTAGGCGATGTTTCCCAATTTGAACCGAAGACGTTGTCTCCTGGATTGAATTTGGGATAGTTGGCATGAATGAAGAAGATAGGCGGAGGCGGGGCCACCGCTGGGTCTTTGGTTCGCCACTGGTCTTTTGTAGTGAGCGCAAAGTCTTGGCGGGGATCTGACTGAGCCATTGCAGAGCCAGACAGACCGTCTTTAGTCGCATGACCAATCGCCTGTACTCTCTCACTGACAGCATAGAACGAGGCACCGGCTGCGGTTGCAGCTTGTAGAAACGTCTCCTTGTCGCCTTCTCCCGGACCACCCTGGCTTAAGAGCCGGAAGTAGTGGGATGGGCCGTAAAAATTATAATAAGCGGCGAGCAGAAGCGGAAGCATGTGTGTCTTCTTCGAGACCAAGAATATCCCGGTTTCAGAAGATTGGCGCGCTGTCATGGGTGTCACTTCTTGACGCGAGATTTTGTAGTATAAAGGAGACGCGGAGGAAGCCCAGAAGTCTGGCCAGGTCACTAGCCCATTGGATTTGAAGGGTTCCGAGTCGAGTAGATCCTCCGGTTTTCCCAGTGGGAAGCAGTCCGCGTCCATCCAAACGATTTCCTCGAAGGAGGAGAAAAGCACGGCGAAGATTTTCAGCTGATAATGCTCGATAACGCTTTTGCCCACGACGTCACCCAATACTAAGCATTGAGCATTGAGCATGGGAAGCACTTCACTGCATACCCGCTTCTCGTATTCCCCGGCATCTTTCATAAATACTTCCACCGGTAATGTTGACCCCGCTCGGCGGAGCATGCGGAGTGAGGAGACGAAGACTGGAAGGTAGGTCGCACCAGCGGTTGACACCAACCCCCGCTTGCCAGGTGTATGAACAGGCTTGAGGTCTTTGTCGGCATTCTTAACATCTTCCAGGAAGGCCGCATGGGCAAGCTCCATTGATTTCACATTCTCCTCGCTCATCCGGGTCAGATCAGGCCGAGGTTGGTCTTTGGTAGGGTCAAAGTGGAGGCCGCCAGCATCTTCCAGTTTCTCTGGCGAGGGACACTTTGGGTTGTGTTGCTCGATAATGGGTTGGAGGGCTTTCCAGAAATCTTTCTGGCGTTCAGCCAAGGGTACCTCGAAGGCAGTGCTCGGGACGAGGGAGACGGTCGAGGACGCGCTGGTCGGACTCCAATACAGATAGACCGTGCATACCAGGATCAGAGCGAGCATGGCGAGGACCAGGGACCTCGCTCGGCCTGGTCTGAAAGCACCCATTGTGAGAATCCGAGCGACGTGAATCTGGGCCCAAGGAGGAGGTGGTTGGTGGCTTTTGCGCTTTGTATCGGAGAAGGTCGGTACAAGTACAGGAACAGAGGTACAGGGGAAGGGTTCGAGCGAGCGGATGGCGCACGGGCGCGCGCCGATCGACGCAGTCGTAAGAGTTGAGACGATCAGCGAAGAGAAAGAGAGGGTGGGTATCCAGGTGTTCAGGTGTTCAGATGTTCAGTGTGTCGTGTTAGAATGGAGAGTGTCAAACACGGGAAGGGAAAGGGGAGAAAGTGTCAAACGGTTCGATAGTCCCCCACTGGGATGCTTGGCGAGTCCATTTTGTCCCGAATTTTAGACCCATTTTAGACAGTTTGGGACCAGTTTGGGACCAGTTTTAGAACCCCAAATTCAGTATCAAGGTTTGGAACCATTTGGAAAGGAAAAGGGAAGTCCAGCAGTAGATCATGTTAGCAGTAATCATCTCTATGTATACGTAGTAGTACTACACTCCACGAACTGGGGCGTCTAGTGGCTTCTGATGAGCTTCTAGTGCCAACTCCAAATCGGTAAAGTGTCCGAAATCCCCGGGCTTAAAATTGCGCCAAAAAGTTACGGTAGATCCTCCATGAGGTGGCATGCTGAGGGCGATCCTGGTGGAGACCATTACTTCTTTAAAAGGGTTCGTACGCAGAGACCCATTGCCTAGTTCGTTTTCCCTTTCCCTTTCCATTTCACTTTCTCGTTTCATTTCGACTAGACCGCGGATCATCCTCCACCGAGCAGATCCCATTATCCACCTGCGACCTCCGTCCGTCGCCTCCCACTTTAAATCTGCTCTCTCCCCCCCCCCCCTCGAATCCCTCCGCTCTCCCATCTTCCTCCCCTCAGCACGCGACTTGCTTTCGACTAGGCACTATGTCCCATTGATCTCGTCCTCATCTTGCATGGTCTCCATCTCAACCTTTCCCAGGACCCACACCGACTATCCGCGGGTGCTCAGATCCTCCAGTGAACATCACGCTGACTGTTCCTGGGGGAATGAACGACGAATCCTTCGCCCACCCTTCCCAATCTCCTTACCTGCCTCCGAATGGGATCTTTCAACATACCTTGCGCCCATAGATCATAATGTCCGAGAATGTAAGCCAGACGGCCCGAGAACCCACGAAAGCAAAATCCCGCAAGACCGATCCGAATGCTCCGATCCGGAAGCGACGAAAGAGAACGGTGGTGAGCGGTGCTTCTGATGATTGTTTCACTTGCTCAAAACGAGGCGCCCGATGCGACCGACGCCGACCTTATTGCTCTCAGTGCCTCGAGCTTGGTCGCGAATGCTCTGGATACAAAACTAAGTTAACATGGGGAGTTGGAGTCGCAAGTCGGGGGAAGCTTCGGGGTCAGCAACTACCCGTGATGGAATCAAAGGAGGATACTGGAGCAAGCACAGCAAAAGAACACAAACCGCTACCTTCCAAGAGTCAGAGTCAAAGCCAGCAGTCGTCGCAATCAATACCAGCCAACCCATCCTCCGCACCGGCCCCGACACAGCTACCTCTATCTCAGACACCAACCCCGCTCATCGATGTTGGAGGCTTGAAAGCAATGGAATCAGATAATCAGCGCGCATCAGAAATGCAATACACGTCGAATGCGTCGAATATGCAGAATATGCCTGATATGTCGCGGACGATGGCTTGGACGATGGATATGCCAGACCCGCATACCTGGGCTAATATGACAACTGCGCCGCCGCAAATATCAGGACTACCGCTACCTAGTCGACCCATCGCCTCTAATTATAATCGACTGAGTCCAAGTATATCTGAAGCTTCCATGCACTATGCCCCAACACTAAGCCCCGAGTCTTCCTTTGCCACACCTGTTTGGCCCGTCGCGCGGAACTGGGCCGCCAACAATGCTACACCACCCTCACAAGACGCGGACGAGGAGCTGGAAAGGTACGAGCGCGACCAATTTGTATGGAATGCCGGTCATTCGCCCTCATACTCTCAATTACTTTTGGCGCGGTCTATTGGTCGTACCCCTCGCCTTCGGTATCTAATCAGCTACTATACCGAGGTCATCGCTCCCATGATTGTTGCCTTTGACACGCCCACGAATCCATTCAAAACCCATATTCTTCGTCTGGCTCTGGGAAGTGAGGCTCTCCAAGAGGCCATTGCGACATTGGCAACCAGTAACCTCCGCCAGCGCCGTGAGAAAAACCATCACTCCACAGAGAGAACCCTGCCAGCGCGTATGTCAGGACTAGCCCACCGCGCTCTCACGGATGAAGTGTTTCAAGATACATATGGGATCTCAATGTCCGAGGGTTATGCGCGAGAGGAGAACTACCACCGTGGAATGGCAGTGAAGGCATTGAATGCTGACCTGGGCGATCCTCGCCGCAGGCTATCAGACTCGGTGCTAGCAACATTGCTCATCCTCTGTCTGTTCCACGGCTGTGATACCGGTGTTGCTGAATTCCGGACTCAGTTCGCCGGCGTGACAAGGCTACTTGCGATTCGCATGCGGCATTCTCGTATCGTGACAGACGACCTCAAATGGTTCATTCGTATGTTCTCGTGGTTTGATACTCTCACTGCCACCACCAACGACCGAGATGTCCAGCTTCGCGGTAGATGCTTGGAGATCAGCTCTACAACCGATGGGGAGTGGGGTTTAGAAAACCTGGCGGGCTGTGACGGCCGATTGTTCAAGCTCATCTCTCAGCTTGGCCGACTAAATCTCCTTAGCCAGGATCAAGAGCCTAATCTCGCCCAACCGGCCGACATGAACGTGCCAACTACATCTCTCCCACCTAATATGCTCTTCCCTGGCTGGGATACAGTTGTTCCTGCCACCGCCGCGAACACTATCCCAGGATCAATGGTAGGAGGCCCCGACTTTGGGTTCTCCATGCCAACCCCACCACAAAGTAGCGACCAGGCCCGAAAACCTTCATCGCCAGCCTTCTGGACCGAATGGTTCTCATTGCGACAGCGACTCGAGTCCTGGCGATTCGACCCGCCAGCAGAGACCTCATTCCCATCGCCACCCCCGTCCTCCTCTGATAACTTACCTCCTAATTTCTCTCCCAATTTCACCCCTACCTTTACGCCGGCGCCTCCCTCAGGTTCATTCTACGTGGCAAATGAAAACCTTCAGGATGTGTATCAAATATCCGAGTGTTTCCGCCATGCGGCACTTCTCTACTGTGAACGCTTAGCGGAACCCAGTCTTCCATCGAGGCACCCGCGCATCCAGCATCTCGTCCACCTCGCAATGCACTGTCTCTGTGCCGTCCAGTCCGATGTGTACCTTCTCTGGCCTCTATTCATTGTCGGATCAGAGTGCATCCAAGAAGACCACCGCGATGCCATCCGCCGCCGCTGCAACGATATATCTAAGGACTCGGGATTCGTGAATAATATTTCTTGCCTGGAACTGCTGGAACGGATCTGGGCGGATCGTTCTGAGGAGTCATCCTTCCCAGTTTACCCCTCTGGACTGGGCCCTCCCCCCGATGCTGAACGCCGGTGGAGCACCTCCTACCTCTCAGGCTTTCCGCTGGTCTCGCGTGATGCAGGCCAAACGAGGCGGTGGAGAGTACATGGTGGCATAGAATTAACGGCATTCCTTTCTCTTTTGATTTATATCCTTTATTGGAACATTTGGTATATAGACAGTTGCTATCGGCGCAACCTTCTGGGATCTTATTTGTCTCATTTTTGAGATTGAGTGGTGTTTTCTTGTTTCTGAGCGACCCGGGAGCTCTGCACATTTGACGGTTTGATATCGTTTATCGCTTTGACTCCATGGGACATCGAGGAAAGGCTCTTGTACATACCTCGGTCCAACTGTTTATACTTCCTGGATACTTTCGTCCAGACCAGATCTCTCTACATGAGACTACACTATACCCCCAGGCAATATACACAGGCAGCGCCTTCTTTTCTACCAGATTAATCATTAATTGGACTATTCTAGCCTTGAAAGATATGAACTCGAAGCTAAGCCCCCAGGATCTGCGATTAATAATGGCCCGTCGTCGGGAAGACTAAGAGCCGACTCGAGAAACCAAGCCACACCACTTAATCTCCGACAATCAATTGAGAAGGACCAAGAAACCCATACCCCTGACCTCGGGCTCGGATGCGGAAAGTATCTTTTCTTCCTTCCACGATCACCCCCTATTCCTGACCTCGGTCCATTGGCCCCCGTGAAATCAGACATTACTTCAGGCGTAAGCAAAGAAACTAGGGCTCAGGGCAAGGGCATTCCTGGACCTCTGCGTGAACAGTGCACTTACATTACGCACAACATACAACATACTTTTGCGAAACCTTTCAAAGTGAAAATAAAAATAAAAATAACCCCTGCTGAAAATTCTGACCAGTCCAGACCCCGAGGAATCTGTGCTCGGCCAGGCCAGAAAGAAGAAAAAAATACCTACCGATATCCCTCCGTACCCAAACATCAGTATCTATGTAGGTACTTCGTACTCCGTACATAACAATAATAAGACAGGGCCGGACCAATCAGCCGTGCAGTTGCAGAATCGCTCGCGCATGTTGTTTTGAATGCACTCGATCCTGAGTAAGGGGAGGACACGCATGATTCGTGATTCATCAGATCCGCCGCAGAGCCGCAGCTCATTGGGCGGGGTCTTCAAGACATTTGAAATGGAGGCGGGCCATTTGGTGAATCAATCTAATTTAATTTCCATGTCCATGTATTCCGTTCTCCGTGGGCCCCATCCTTCAATCATTATGCGCACGCGCTTGCCCCTGAGCGATTTTTCCTCTCTGATCTGACTTTCTTTTCTTCTTCCAGATAAGACTAGCGTAGCGGTGTACCCACCAACACCGTTCCAACATTCACTATCCAACATAGAAAATTGGAACAGGGTATCTAGGTAAGTACGTTGTGCTGCACTGTGTACATGCATACAGATATATCAGCTGCGCACTACAGTAAGCTTACTACTAGGCAAGCTGGTCACACCAACCACGGCCTCCTGCAAGATGCGCATAACATGTAAGAATCTTACGTCTGTGCACCGCATCTGGTTCCTACAGAGCTGCGCTGCATCCCGGACACCAAGACCCGTTGGCCCCACTGCCCCTGTGCCGGGCCGCGGTGCGGGCTACGACTGGCCGTATCGTGGGCTCTGGAAGTTTGACTGGACCCGGCTGAGTCTTTTGGGTCTTCTGGGTCATGGCCCTAAACCCTGTTCCAGAAGCGAAGGCGAACCTCGACGTCAGTCTCGCCCCTCTCGCTGTACCCCAGCCCGGAAAATCGCCTTAGCTGAAGTGAAGACGGTGGCAAGACTATTCTCGACTGTCACTGGTCGATCATTCAAGTTTTGCATGTGGTCTGTCCTGTATTGTAGAGCTGGAAGTAGGGGCCGACTCGGCGGATCCGAGCAGATTCTGGGTGCTTCGCATTTCCATGTATTAATAATATTCAATATGAATGGAATTTCTTTTTTTTTTGTTGCAGACTCAATCGCCCCAACACTATGTGCGACACTGGAGGATCGACGGTGCCTTTCAGTGGCGCAGGATTGTGCTCCGTTTGGCTGCCTACGAAACGCCGGGTTGATGGAACTCTGGAACTAAGGGGGTGATAATTCCTCAATTTGAAGGGCACGTTGACTCATCGCGGCTGTGATTCAATCCCTGGAATCAAGGATGAGTCCTGGAATTCCCTGTAAGGACGGGGTTGGGGATGGTTTTTCATCCCTGCGGTTGGTGCGTGAGCTTAACAGCGCGCCGTATTTGAGGGTCAGCGGACCTGACCTGGGTTGTTGGTTACTCGACGCCCAATAACTGTGAATGTGAAGAGGCTGAAAGTCATGATTCATCGGTGACTGGAGGTTTACTCATGTGAGTTGTTTTACCTAGGTTTGTAGGTATGGTACTTTTTTCATCCAATCTCGTCTCACTAGATTGGGTTGGTCGTAAATCCAACACTTGGCAACCAATCCTCGATCAAAAACGCATCTTTGTAGTAGTTTAGGGCTTTCACAGCGGTCGCAAACCCCCCCCACATGGACAATATGGATTCATGCTAGGAACCGTTGTTACGGTTAATGATTGGTATTGCCGAGATGGTCTCGTGCGAGGAATCGACACTTTTCTCCCTGCTGCCTGCGTGGGATTCTATGCCGATGCCGCCTGCGCCTTGATAGAATTAGAAACGGGCGACACAGCCGCGCCATTCCTGCGATATACCCTGACCCTGGGATGCCTCGCTAACGGGCTGGAACTTGAATTGAGGGCACACAGATACAAAATTGGTGATTCCTTACCTCCCACTGGTGCGGTTGAGAAGTGGACATGCAAGTTGCGGTCTGCGAGCCCTTTCTCAACCAACCCCATTTTCGCCCAAAGCTGTGCGGTTGCTGCCCAGCGACGGCAGCGGTAAAGCCCATGCGTGGTCCGTGGAGTGCCCAACCAGCCGGATCGAGTCCGTATATGTGTGTATGTGTGTGTAAATAAGGAGGGTTGAATGGGTTGTATCATATGAATGGGGGCTTTGTATCAAGGTCTTGCCATGGCAACATACTAGTAAGTGGGTTCATGGTTTGAAGATGGGTCTGTGGAGTTGGAACCGCTGGATGAGACGGGATCGGCCGTCCTAAACTCCGGTTGATGATCGAACAGCCGCTGCCAACCATGGAACCGGTGTATATACAGATATATTATGTATAACTAGGTACCCTAGGTATGATCTGGATGATTTGCCCTATGATTGTATCTATGTACATGATACTAGTACTAGTACATGTATGGGGCTCCATTTGATTGCTCTGCGCCTGGGTCAAGTCCATATCGCAAGAGTTAAACCTGATCTGGCAACGACATGCTGCAACGAGGACACTCAGGGTTCATGCAGATGAACTGTACATCCACTACGACCCATGAAAGCATGGCATTGTACCGATTCTGGAAGCCTTACACATGGTGACGGTCCAACAGAGGCCTGACACGCCGCAAGAATGCCGGTAGCTGGACGCTCTAAAATAAGAATTACCCCGAGTGGCTCTCGCATCCAGCCAGTGGCGAGATATGCCATCCCACCAAGTTGAAACTTATACGATGGCAACTTGAAAAGATGACTCTTCTATGACTCGTTTTGTCCTATGTTGCTGGCTGTTTGCACAGAGGGTCATCGGGGTTTGCCCAACGGAACCGCGCTGCAGTTGTCCGGTGCCCGAGGAGGGGAAAGGAGGGGGAGGGCGTCAGCAGTGGTTAGTTAGTGGTTGCATACACCTGTAGTGGAAGAAGAGGGCGAAGGTCTCCATCCGGGCTAGTTTGAGGGGTAGCAGGGGATGAGTTGGCGAATGAGTGGGTAGCTGTGATTTGAATGTGCCAGTGCGAGTATACCAGTGGGTAAAGAAGAAGAGATGTTGGCCTCCAATAATAATTCTCAAGTACGGAGGATTCACCATATATAGTATGGCAAATCCATGGATAATGATGAATCCAGGAATATGTATGTATGAATATCAAAATCTCTTTGATAATATCATATTAATTAATATCTGCATAATGACAATACAGCGTATACTAGGGCACGTAATCCGCTTACCCACAAACGCCACCCACCCACCTCGCCAACTCCCACGCTCCACTCCCTAAAGTACCACCTTTCTCTCTCTCCCTTGGGTTGAAAATTTCCCATCTCCACCCTGCTTCGGCTGATGAAAACCACGGAGCCCTTTCTTTTACTCTTCATCTCTCGGGATTCTTTTCATTAAGAGTCATTTTGGGTCCAGTTTTACCAGGATCCATAACCCCTCCCCAGCACTCGAGCCTTTTTATCAGCTCGTATATATCGTTCAAATGCACTCTCAGCACATTCAATTTCAACCCTCCTCTCTCCGATCGGAAACCGTACCACGGTGACGGTCCTACTCGACCTGATTTATTCTTGGAAAATCTCCCTCGGCGTCCATTTTGCTCATTTACGATATCCTGTATAATATACTCGGGTGCTTTTCCTTGTTCTTTTGTTCGTTGTTTGTCTCGGTTTATTTTGGAGCCCTTGCAGAGAACCACGGTTGCGATATCCGACCAACCTCACACCAACTTCGAATCCCGCGCGCGCATACTTTCACCACATCTCTCCACTCCGCTCTACTCCACTACAACGTGACCGGTCCTTGGTCTCTGCACATGCTCTTTCGATAATGTATCATTACTCCAGCCCACCACCCGGGTGGACTGCCTACGACTACACCCAGTCACCACCCACCTCGCCATACTACGCTCAATATGCCTCGCAATATGCCAACACCTACGCTTCACCTCGGGGACCAGGAACAGGAACATCGCGACGACACACCCGCAAGGCCAGCTACACGGCTACTAAAGAACCGGGCTGGTACTCGGGTTACCCGCAAAGCTACTACGAAACCACGCCCGACTATGGCATCCCGTCGCGAAAGCACGATCATGTAAGTGCTTCCTTTGCGGCAATGCCGAAACACCGTCGCACCAACACAACCAACTATACGGCGGGGGGTGGCTTTGGTCCCGGGTTCGCATTTGGATTCGACTCGCAATCGCAGCAACGACCCATCTTTTTTGATGTGGGCGGAGATGCATTCGATGTTCATCTCCCACGCTACGCCTTTCGTGAAGCCCGTCCGCCTCGCCCTGGCCGCCCCCCGGCCTCGACCTTCAAAAATGCTGACCAGACCCGCGAGGGTCCGGCCAAGCATCGTCGTACCACATCGACTTCGCACCGCAAAGCAAACCCAGCCGCTGATTCTCACTTTTACTTCAACCAGGTTCCTAACAACGAGGATTACGAATCAGCGGCCCGTCGCACTCGTCACCGTCGCCAGTCCACTTCAACTCGTATGCCCAACAAGCCGAAGCCTGCGCCCGCCTCCAAGCCGCCACCCGTCGCCACCGAGGAGGATGCCGAGAACGCAGGCATCCCTCCCGGATATTCGATCAAGAACTGGGACCCAACGGAGGCACCCATCATTCTTCTAGGCAGTGTATTCGACGCCAACTCCCTCGGCAAGTGGATCTACGACTGGACGGTTTTCCACCATGGCGCATCGACACCCATGGCTGACGTGGCAGGTGACCTGTGGCTATTGCTGATCAAGTTGGCTGGAAAGGTGAAGCGAGCGGACGAGTGTCTCCCGCGCATCCAGCGCATCGAGGCGCAGGAGGTCGTGGAGGACTTTTTAGAAAGTGGCGACCGACTCTGGAACCGTTTTAAGAAGCTGCTCAAAGCATGTGAGCTGTACATGTGGAAAGCTGCTAAAAGGGAAAGTGGTGGCAAAGGCGCGCCCGTATCGATGGGCCGCAATTCGGGCTGTGAATTTGTCGAGTCCATCTTTGGACGCGATCGCGAGCTGGAGAATACTGAGAAGCTGATGAATAGTATTCGGCTCTGGAACATGCGGTTCGACGCCAACTGTGAAGAAATCTTGCGCCGCCCGTCGGCCAAATAGACCCAACCAACCAATCTGCAACTTACAACGAAAGACAACACCAAGAGAAAATACACGGAGATATCCCAGGAGCGACCTGACAGAGATATCCAGTTATACCTTTTTTGATACACAACTTTCTTTTGTCCTTTCCTATGTCTACGTTTCCTTTGTCATCGCTCTGATTTATTTATCTTGTTTCCCCTTTCTTTACACTGGGAGCATTTGACATTTTCTGTTGAATCGCATTTGCAGCGCGTTGGGTTTGGCTTCGGCTGGCTTCTACTCGTTCCAGCTTTGCTCGGTTTTTGCTCTCATCCTGCGGGAGGGAGCCTCCAAAAGAATTCATGGTTTCGGCGCCTCTATTTCTGTTGCGTTTCCTTCTTGGGACGGCGTCAATTTGTTTCTTGTTTTGATTCCCGGCGCTCACTTTGCGCTTGGCTTTTGCATTTCTGTTCTTTGTTGTCGTCGATGTTTGTGTCATTCTGCTTTGATGATACCATCCTGCGATTCCTTGACTGCTAATTACTTATTTTGCCTCTTACTCTATATTGTTTTGTTGCTGTTTAGTGTTTGCTTTTCTGCTTTTCTGCTATTCTGTTTGCCTGTTTTCAACGTCCTCGTCGGTCGTTTGAACTCTTACTCAGGCTGTTTATCCTACCTGGCTTTTGGGTCCGAGGAGGAACCTGGTTGTATATAGGACCACGACCCCAACATCTGATAGACCTTAAAACACTCGTTACCGTGACGTCAATTCTTTCAACCATTCTTGCTTCTCAAGCTCTCAGGTAATCGGATCACATTATTTCCACGTAGTCGCCCCCATTCCCGCCTTGAGCCCCCAAAACGGCAGTGATGTGATGAGCTCCGAGTCCCGGCGGCAAGCGCTGTAAAGCCGCTGCACGGTGCATCAGTCCTGCGCGGCCATGCAGCGTGGCCGGTGTACATCTGCGTTCTAGAATATACTTTGGGGGCGACCTGTTGGAGGAAGCAGGTACCAATGACGGCAATGGCTGATGTCACCCGTCGTGCAGCCTCCAGGGACTGTGCAGCAGCTGCGGGTGATGGCGCTTGTCACTGGTTCGTCGGTTCCTAGGGTCCCAGCCGGACGTGGTGGGATGTGCAAAGTGGTGGGCTGCAGCGGGTCGTGGCGATCCTATTGGGAAGGAGGGAATGTCGTGGTGGGTTGTGGAGCCATCTTGGTGCGGGGTGAAGAGGGGTTCCAAGGACTGCTGTATGTACATATGTACTCCGTAGACATACTTGCCCTCCGTACTGGGGCTGGGTCGGTTGTGATAGGTTGGTGGGGAGGGGATGCGAGGTTATCTCGGGAGTGCGAAGGTGCCATATGGATGGTGGGTGAGAGATGTTGCACACAGGCCAAAGTACTTGTAGACTAGTGAGTTGCTGAATGCATAGTTTTGTTGGCTCTCCACATTTGATTCCTCCAACCATCTGGAAATTCCTCTCTTCTTCCCCAATCAGATAAATGTGACAGGGTGACTTCTGACTGGTCCGATGTTGATTTTTATACCCAGGTTGCCTTGTTTCCTCCAGTACATACTCCGTACTCTGGTAGGCATTCGAGTAAACATAGTATGTGTTTCATAAGTCCTTAGATAATTCCATATTCAATAATATGATATCATTCTCTCGTCTCTAAATCTTCTTGCTCCTTTTATGAGCAACCCCTTCGAATCCGTACAGTGGGGTCGTGCAAGAAACCATTCGAACCTTAAGCTGCTAGCATATTAGCCTAGTCCCATTGTCAACCGGATCTTCTCTATACTCAACTATACTCAACGACATGAATCCGCCGTTTGGACTGAATATCAAATTTCCTCCATCACCTGCAATGTTGACGTGTTGCCCGTTGAGGCGACGGAACCAACATGGAAAGAGTCACGGGACTGGGCTCAGATCCAAAGCGGCGACAGTGCTGGGTCCGCGCGAGTTGACATCACCGACGTAGAGCATGAGATACACCTTCTACTGGGACTTTCTTTTATGATTCTGCCAGCATCCCGATCTATCGAGATAGTGAATTCCAGCACAAACCAGACACAGATGCACCGCGGCCGATCCACCGGGTAATATTGCGATCTGCCGGCCTACCGGCTCAGAGCTAAGCATTCAAGCAAAGGTCCCACCAGAATCAACTGCCGAAATTTTGGTTTCTGGACTGGAGATTTTTGTTTTCCCTTGGTCTTCCCCCTTTCCTCCTCGTCTCTTCTTGTAGCTCTGCGGAACAACGAGCTCAACGGTTCATGGACGATCAGGTTGAACAATGCAGAATGGATCTCCGACGCGTCAGACCGACCATCGGGATACCCCGCCGTCTCTATGGGACCGATTCACAAGCAATTTTAATATGAGACCCCCAGAGGACGATGAGCCTCAGTCATGGTGGATTGCATCGACGGCCATCCCGTTGGTGGCAGCTGCAGCGGGACCACTGGCAAATGTCATGTCGATTGTTGCGCTCGTCATGCCCTGGCGAAGCCATGTCATCTCCAGCACACCCGGACCAGCCGGTAACTTGCCTCAAGTCGGCTATGATGATCCTCATTGGTAATATTAGACTTCAAGTTGACTTAGGATAGTCGTTCGAACAACAAGAGCTAATAGTATCTCACAGGGTCACAGCCTTCAATGCGACATCGCTGGTTTGCGGACTCGTGGGCAATATTTTCTTGCTTTTGAACTTTACACAGACGGTTCGGTACATTATTGCTTTGCCTGTAACGATTATATCATGGTTTTTAGCGACAGGAATGGTGAGTATATTAGAATCACCTCCTGGAATTGTTCTTTATGCTTACCTGGACCTGCCATAGTTGTGCGGCCTCACCGCAGCTCTTTCGATCTACGATCCTCCAACCGGCCCAGATGATGTTTATTCGCAAGCCTACTGGAGTGCTGTCATTGCAGCGATCCTTTACTTCATTCTAAGCGTCATATTGATGGTCAACATGCTGGGCTACTTTCTGGGACGCTACCCTCAACATTTCTCTCTCACTGACGACCAACGAACCCTTATTCTCCAAATGACTGGATTCGTGGCTTGGCTGCTTGTTGGTGCTGCCATCTTTCAGCGCGTGCTGGGCATATCCTTTGCCGACGGACTCTACTTCAGCGATATCACGGTTCTCACCCTAGGTTTTGGTGATGTGACTGCTAATACGCCCGTGGGAAAAGGTTTAATATGGCCGTATGCGGTGATTGGAATTGTCATGCTAGGTCTTGTGGTCGGGAGTATACATCAATTTGCCCGAGAAGTCCACTATGATAACGTGGTGCGCAAGCACATCGAGCAAAGACGGCAGGCCACATTTGAGCGTTCAATCACTATCGGCGACCTTGACATGGCTAGAGCAAGTTTATCTGCGCAAGGAAATGGAGTCCCTGCGGTACTTACCCGCCAGCTGTCCCATATCCCATTACATCGGAAACACCGCCGCCAACCAATTCGCGACACCATCCACACATTAGCAGTTGGTCATAGACCTCGACTCCTTATTATGAGAGAAGAAAAGGATAGATTTGATGCGATGCGTGCGATCCAGTATGACACCATGCGCTTCCGTCGATGGAACGACTTGTTCATAAGTATCATCGCATTCGCAATCGTTTGGACAGGCGGAGCCGTTGTCTTCTGGAGACTAGAGGAGATCTCGTACTTCGACGGGCTGTACTTTTGCTTCTGTTCTCTCCTTACCATTGGCTACGGCGACGTCACGCCCCAGTCAAATGCGGGCAGACCATTTTTCGTAATGTGGTCACTCATCGCAATCCCAACGATGACCATGCTCATCTCGCAAATGAGCGATACCGTCGTCGCGGCTTACAAAAAGTCCACAGAGAAGCTCGGAGATTACACACTGATGCCTCGTTCTGGTGCATACCGGTCCTGTCTTAATCATTTCCCTTTCATCATGAACTTCATCCAAAAGCGCCAAGAGAAAAAGCGACTCAAGCGAGGATTTCCAGTCGGGGCAGATGCGGATCCTGATCAAATTGAAGATCGACCCTCGACAGCTCGGACTGAAAAGGATGTCGAAGGAGCGCCTAACGACCGTCGATCTCAAGACCGTCCACATCGAACAATCGAGGAACTCGCGAGTGAGCCGAACCCCTCCCCGTTTGAACTTGCCCAGCAATTGGCCTTTGCTATTCGTCGTACCTCTGAAGATGCACGAGTAGGTAAAAGAAAGCGTTATTCGTATGAAGAGTGGGTTGAGTATACCCGCTTGATTCAATTTACAGATCCACGATCTGGACCCTCTTCGGCCGGGAGCCAACAGCAACACAGAGGAGTATCTGTAGATAAAGACGAATACGGTGTACTAAACTGGGATTGGATTGGCGAGAGTAGTCCCATGTTGGCCCATCAGACGGAACCAGAATGGGTGCTAGACCGATTGTGTGAGAGCTTAGTTCGTTATGTGTCGACCCAGGAACAGGCTAGGGCCGAGTCACAGGGCCAAGGAGATGATGCGGCCGAGGCGCCTACCTTGAAAAAAGAGCAGGACCTTGGACTTGAGCAGAATTAATTTGAATAATGAATACATGTCTGGTATGTCGCCTATGATGACTATTATACTATTCAATGTGCATAGTAGTACTAGTAGCGGAAGTGGCAAAGGATAAATCTCGGCTTTCTATTAGATATCTTGCCAATTCTTCTGATAGTACCTAGGTACACAGTAGCACTAGTAGATGGAATTATTGATGAGAGTCGGCTTATAGTGAAGATGAGGCTGTGCAGCATAACGCATCCCATTTCAAGTCTGCCTGTCAGCGATAATCTAATATGCCAAGGCGCCCGTTTCCCTCCAAATAAGCCCGGGAGCCGCATCTTCACTCTCTGTCATATCTCTTAAACCATTCACAAGATGACTTCAAATATCCCTGAAATCCTCCTCCTTTGCCAGGATGTAGATTTCATCGATGCCTTCAAAGATGCGCTGCGGACCCGTTGGCCCAAATACACACCCGACAAAGTGAAAATCACCATGATCAACGAGCGCCTCAATTCTCTCCCTGAGTCATTTAAATACGACTTGATTGTTTCTCCAGCCAATTCATACGGTCGCCTTGACGGCGCATTCGATCATGCCATTTCAAAAACATTCAGTCCACTCGACGACTACCACGCTGTGACACGCTCTGCTCAAGCCGTCCTCTACGATAAATGGCGGGGGTTCGCCCCGCCAGGATCCTGCACCCTTGTTGAGTGGGGATTGACCCTGGCTAGCAACTCGCGGGGCTGTCGCTGGCTTGCGGTCTGTCCGACTATGAGAGAGCCGCAAAATATCAACTGGGACCGGGAACTCATCTACGAATGTACCTGGAGTCTCATGTGTCAGGTTGAAGGTCATAATCGTCGCCACTCGAAGAGGATCAGGACGATCCTCATGACGCCTTTTGCTGCGGGTGTTGGGAAGGTCAGTAAGGAACGGTGGGCGTCTCAGACTGTCCTTGCATTGAAGCAATTTGTCGAGTCGGTTGAGACGCCTCAGCAGTGGAGCAGTCTGCAGTGGGATAAGATTGAGCGGATTGGCAATGACATAACTAGTACTTGGAAGGGCACTGAAAGATCATAATGGTCTTCCTTTGTTTAACTTCCCAAGGCTCTTATTTTCATGGTATTCGGTATTTTAACCTGATAGATCCAAATCGATGGATCTGAATTATAACAAAACGCCTAATTTCCAACCACTCTTGATGTACATGCATTACTTCGTAAGATAGAAATAGAACTTTCCTGCTCTACCAAAACTTTTATTTTCCATGACACCTGCAACCATGTTTGGACGTACAGCTCGATAGTATACGATGACTGGCCGTTCGTCGTAGACCAGAGAAGCGGAGACCACGCCTTGGTATTTTACCTCGCGTAACTTTTCAAAGAGAAGATATCCATGGATGTTAGTCTCAAGAAAGTTGGAAACAGAAGTGTGCTTCTCTATGTACACTCACCGAAGCACTTCCCCAATCTTCAAAACGTATCCTCTCCCCATTTCTCGCCACTATGAGCGGAGCGACATCCTCGGTAGAATCAAATGTGTTGCCGAACCAATTCAACTCGTCCAGTTCTTTCTCAAACGGATGCCCTGTAGATAGAACGAATCCGTCCCACTCTCCCATTAATTGGTCAGGATGCACGGGCTTGAGACCACGAAAGATGTTATCGATATAAGCTGGACCAAGGAAGCCGGGACGCTGTGTCAAGGCCACGAATCGTTTGGCAGGGCTCGGCTGGAAACGGTCGAACGATGGGACAATAGGGAAATGTAAATCCATGACCGGGAGGTCTCGCAGTTATAAAAGAAAAAATGACCAGAAAAGGATCATTACTACCGAGTATGTGTCTCCTAGACTACCAGGAAAGGAAAGCAGGAGAAGGGAGCGATATCTAGATCCCCATACTCGGCTGTAGTAAACAAGGTGTGGATCAAAGTTGATGTACATCCGGGGTAGACTTCAGCTTATAAGTATGCCCAGGTGTCTCCATGGCATTAGCAGATCGGGGTAGATAATGCTGACACGAGTCGCGAGGCAAGGCAAATATGTGAAAGAATCCCCCTCCATTTCCCTGGACATCAAAGAAGCAATATAGCGTTTCGTCGAATTCCAGAGAATCACAGAAACAGACCAATCCGTTCTAGCCCTCCTTTGACTGGCAGGGATCGTCTCCTTGCAAAAATGCCACCGAGTCTACACTTCGCTAACCGCGCATACCTTAAAAAAATCTTCAATGGGACCGTGCAGGCACCCGACCCCATACCTAAAATGGCGAAAGACATTTTTATCTGATGGCCCTAGCAAAGGCAACAGGCCCCCTCTGTCGTTCTAGCTAATTGCCACATTCCAGTTGCCGGTCCGCCCCGTCCTCAAGGGTTGATCCACGATCGATAAACACTGGCTATTAACGGGCCAGGCTACATATGCGCCACTCCGAATGTGAGACTTGGAGTCGGTGGAATTCTCAGGCGAGCTGCCGGTTTCACTCGGTCTGGCATTTGGCGTGGGGACACGATTTTCAATTGCTGTCGTACCATAGGCTATTTGACATAATTAGGCATATCCTCAGATCGGCTTTTGCCAGAAGGGCTTGCTGGCTCGAGTTCATTATTCTTTGTTATATAATAATTGTCCCCTATATACAAAAGATTACACCACTCGCACCACTCTCAGTGTAGATACGGCTTGAACCAGTACACAGCCGCATTTCTCGCCCTCTCTAGGCCTCTCATTTCAGCCTTGTTGACTTACAAGTCAGGACGTATCTAGATAGACTGTGGCGTCTACTTCCTCCGCATAAGAATCTGCCAAAGGCCGGATGTTGGGGAACGCCCATCCAAACAGGTCGTGAATTACCAGGATGGCGACCTTGCGGCTCGACCTGATCACTCAGGTCGTATTTATCGCGAAATTTGTCTCGTTGCCTTTAGGCTAGCCGTCCCACTGGTAGCCTTTAATAAAGCAGTCGTTCATGTTGTAGTGAGTTGGTTAGGTTCAAATTGTTGATCGTGGGGTTTCCTACTGAACCCAGGTAGTAACTACTATAGATGCATCCCTAGTCGTTACCGCGAGGCACTATTACTAGAAAGTTTATCAGCTCCCCCCCACTTCCTTGATATGACACGGTCGCAATCAAATATCTACTTCAAGTTAGACCGTGACCCACTGGGCTGAAGGGATACAATATTCGGGCTTACTCTATGGTGGCCTTGCATTATCTCCGAAGGCTACGCTCTACGACCGTATACCGTAGGCAGTAGGTGATAAATGAGACTTGACAGTTGAGTAGTACATCAGATCCTAACTATTTGTATACTATGTAAAATGGCGATATCGAAGCCCTGGAGGGTATCTTAAGGTAATAATGTTCTGTGATAGAGTTTCCTCAAAAGGTTCTTGTCACCTGAGTACTACTCTGAAGTCTCACAACATAGAATACCAATTGGCATCACCGGCTGTTTGGGTGCTGCCCAGGTATGACGATAGAGGTAATGTTGAGAGCCGAAGTGATTATGCAACAACATTATTAACCAAAGTGTGATCAAATCCTGGAAGACCGAATAGGACGAAAAATGCCTCTGAGCTTGTGACCAACTGAGTTGTACTTCCGTCTATTCACTGGCTGGACCGAGTTCTTCGCTCAGAATTAAACTTCTTTCGCCACCCCAGGTCTAATAGCAATGTTTGTTTTTGCCAAAACCGGAGCGTAGGAGAGAGCTTTGTGGCGAGAATAATTCCCGTGATGAGGATGGACCCGCGCCATGGAATTGCCTCGACCGAAGCCCCGCTCAGAACAAATTAAATTGAATTTCAGCACTTAATGGCCAGTTCGATCATGAGTTCGAGAATAGAATCGAATCGGTGGCACGAACGAGTAAATGGCCATGGCGAATGCGGGGAGAGACCATGGAGTGGTGGTAAATGCCATCGTCATCAGTATATCATCGCATGGCCCTCCGCCACCTTTCTCCACGGGGATTCTCTCATAAATATAGGGACCTTGTGACTCCAGAGAGCTTGTTAACTTTTTCTTATGAGGTGAACTACCATTATTCAGTAAATCCATCACTGATCAACAAACAGTACTACTTGGTATGCATGTCCATCCCTATCCCCTCTACCTGGATACACTCGAGATGGGGTGTACATTGTCAATAATTATAAGATACTAATGTCTAGATTTCACGAGAAAGAATCAGTACACGAAGTCCTTTACCATGTCATCCAATAAGGAGACTATCTTGCGCTTCCCTGGCAGTACCGACCCAAAGTTTGCTGCAAAGCCCTCGCAATCTCAATCGCAGTCGCAGGGATGGAGTGAACAGGACAGCTCCAAATGGAGTCCTATTCAGTCGTTCAGTAGCCACATGGACAGCCAGGGCCATCCAGTGGCCGATCCTATCGGTGGCAAAGATGGACCCATGAAAGGCCAAAAGAAAGGCCATATCGATGAAAATAGCGATCTGTTTGATGCGATGAATGCCGAGACCGAGGACTTTGATTAAGAGGGACACGTGTATATGTATATTTAAAAAAATTAAAAAATTTCGCAGTACTATTTGAAATGAATTTGCAATGCAATGGATTAATGTGGAGCAGTGAACGTAGTGTAATGTAGTGAAGCGTAGAGTAGTCCACTAGTTAGTTCGTAGTTAGTTAGCTGCTAATAGTGGATGTACTTAGTGTATGCTATTGCCGTGGCAACGGACAACATTGACCATAGCGCACCTCATGCACCGCGATAGTCTTTCTTGATTCAATTGCATTGCACAATATCATTCAATCCATCATCGTTTATTGGGAATATTCCAATCAATCTTTGCAGAATGCGACTTGTCAACAACTGAATCCCTGAAACCGAACTCCGAACCCTGAAAGCCCAATAAGACTGATTGTTTGAATCGCGGGGGGCCCAACCGAGCGAACCACAGGAAGTTGAACTTGGAACTTGAAACTCCCAGAGAAGGGAACCGCGAACCAACGCGCATCAACAGTACCGACCCCCTCCCTTTTCATCCTTCACTTCACGTCACTCTTTTCTCCCCTTTCATTCCTCATCCCAACCAATATACTCTCATTCCCCCCCTCATTTCACGTGTATACGATTCATTGCATGTACAATCATCTCATCGACCGACGACGCGAGGCCGTCGACGCTTGTGTTCAATTATTAAAGGATCGCAGCAGGGAAATGGCGCTAGATCCGCGCTTCTTCAACCATATCGACCAGGCAGGGCCTGGTTCGATCTCCTCCGCTTCTTCCTCCGAGTTTTCGGCTACCACAGGCATCACGTCGCCTAGCATCCTGTCCACCTCCGCCTCCGCCGCCACGCTCAGATCCACCGCGTCTAGCCCCTCACTACGCGCCCGAGAAGGCATCCCAGTCCATCTCGCACGCCAGGATGCACCTGGCAGTCCGTCGCCGGGAGGAAATGTGCGCGTGGTGGTGCGAGTCCGAAAGTTTCTCCCTAGAGGTATGATAACATATCCCACAAGTCGCGCAGTGTGCCCCGAGGAGACTTTGGACAGCATAGGATACGCTAGACTCTACGATTTCTAACCACTATCCGACACAGAAATCCAACGTCAGGCGGAATGTCTTATCTCCATGGATCCCCACACCCAGACGACGCTTCTACATGCCCCTCAGCGCAGCCCTTCCGATCAAGCAAAGCCAAAGTTTCAAGCCCGTGGCAAGGTCCTCGAAGACAAGTCGTTCACATTCGATAATTCATTCTGGTCCCACGAAGAGGAGGATGAGCATTATGCGCATCAAGAGGAGGTATACAACTCGCTTGGAGAGGAGTTTCTAGATCATAATTTCGAGGGTTATCACACTTGCATATTCGCCTATGGACAAACGGGTTCCGGCAAGAGTTATACGATGATGGGTACACCTGAGCAGCCAGGATTGATCCCTCGTACCTGCGAGGATCTCTTTCAGCGCATCGAATCATCACCTTCGCCCGACATCAGCTATAATGTCCGGGTATCCTACTTCGAAGTATACAATGAGCATGTGCGAGACCTTTTGGTACCACGGACAGACCCCCCGCATTACCTTCGAATCCGCGAATCTCCATCGGAAGGCCCATACGTCAAGGACTTAACGGAGGTAACAGCAAGGAACTATGCAGAGTTGATGAAGTTTATGCGCAAGGGCGATGGCTCAAGAACCACGGCAAGCACCAAAATGAACGATACTTCTTCTCGATCACACGCCGTTTTTACAATAACTTTGAAGCAAATACATCACGATCTCTCTACAGACGAAACGACAGAACGCACGGCTCGCATTCGCCTTGTCGATCTCGCAGGTTCCGAGAGAGCCAAGTCGACCGAAGCAACTGGCGCACGGCTCCGTGAAGGTTCGAACATCAACAAGTCTCTTACAACTCTTGGCAGAGTGATAGCTGCGTTGGCAGATCCTAAAAAAACCCGTGGCGGCAGAAAAGGCAAAGACCTGGTACCATATCGTGACTCTATTCTCACATGGTTATTGAAAGATAGTCTGGGCGGCAATTCGAAGACGGCAATGATTGCATGTATTGCCCCTGCCGATTATGAGGAGACACTTTCCACTCTACGATACGCCGACCAGGCCAAAAATATTCGGACTCGTGCACGGGTTAACCAAGATCATCTATCAGCTGCCGAGCGCGACCAGCAGATTGCGGAGATGACCGAAACTATTCGCACCCTTCAACTGAGCGTGAGCCAAGCAAATGAAAACCAGCGTGCAAGTCAACTTCAAGACGAGAAATTGGATGAATACCAAC